ACTTTGGCCCGTCTTGGCCCGGCCCGGCCCGACTTTTAGGCAATGCCAATTTGTAGCATTCGTCTAAAATGAGATTGTCCGATGTTTTTACACGACACCACAGTCGCTACTTTAGGCCCATCTTCCCGCATCTTCCCAGGGCAAGAGAGTTAACTGACTTTAAAAGTCCAGTTCCACCAAGGCCATACAAAATTAATAAAAAAGATTTTCATCCTTTCCCACCTGACTACAAAACATCCCGCCTTACATTATTATATTGCCTCAAACTTCCTAGAAATAGAAATATCGCTAATATGTGTGTTCCTACTCCGAGCACGTAGCCCTATGGAACACGCATGATGCATGTGAATCGCATCCTTCGACAGCAATTGTACACTGATGCCTTAAATAGTTCGATGAGAAAACAATAACATGTTTATACTGAATAAGTACCCCCAATATCCAGCCTGAGGGACCGGCATGGCTCTGAAAAAGTGAGTGAGTTTGGCTTAACACCGCTTTGAACAGTATTTATATTTCAGTTATTCCCTGGCTTGTCAGCTTGAAACGGGACGAAACCCACCATCATAAGTTTCTGGCACGCCCAAGGGACGCAACTCTACGTACACAGCGAACTGCGACGCCTCAGACGACTGAGCCACTAGGTAACTGTATAGGTAATTGGCAGAAAAACGCGAGATCGCGACATTGGTCAAGTTTCGCAATCTCGCGTTCTCGCGTATAACTGTATAAGCAATTGACACAAAAGCACAAGATCGCGAGATAGCGACATTGGTCAAGTGTCGCAAACTCGCGTTCTTTCGTTTTTGAAAATAGTTACATATAACTGTATAAGCAATTGACACAAAAGCACGGGAACGCGAGATCGCGACATTGGTCAAGTGTCGCGTTCTCGCGTTTTTAAAAAAAAGTTACATATGACTGAAAAGGCAATTGACACAAAAGCACGAGAACGCGAGATCGCGAGATAGCAACATTGGTCAGGTGTCGCGATCGCGCATTCTCGCGTTTATTACGGTTGGAGCCGAAACATGCAGCGGTTGCCAATCAGAATTTGCATATATACACACAATGACATGTTATAATAAACATACTTCATTTGCACTGGTAGTTACACTGATTAATTAATTGAATTGATTATCTTTGAATAGTTTTTGTGTACTCCAACCCTGCATTGAAGCCTGCAGCAAAGTCGGTGAAGAACATGTTCCCTTCAAACAAACATAGGCATATTTTGATAAATGAAACATCTTCGTGTGCATAAATGGAATCCCAAATGTCTACTTCGTTAGCAGAATTCGTTCAGGATAATAATACTCTCTGTCAATGCGTTCAACATGTACAATCATTTCATACATGATGTATTGACATGGTCCCAGCTGGCAAACAAGAGTTCTAAGAGTTTACTGTTTCGGCATTACTTCATCTATTCATCTGAGGCAACATCTTCTTTTTGCAAACAACTGGGTCATCACTGATCAATGAATATATTCTTATCACTATTGTCAACGTTGACAGGAATTTGTTTCGTTGGCAAATCGAGATTGGTTATTCACTAGCATTCTCAAGCATTGATGTTTCATATTTCTATACAGGAGTATTGGTTGATAACAACATCTGGTGTCACATGACACCAAATAATAAGTGTATGTCTGAAGTAAATAATATTTTATTCAGGAAACAATAGTTAGAATTAGTTACCCGACCAGACTAAATGTTTATATTTCCCTTTAAAATAATACGTGTTTCAACACACAAAAAATGTTAAACAAACACACGTTTGTGTTTACCGTTATGCTTGCCCATGTAGCCGTCGTATACATGTAAAATATATAAATGTTGTGTACAGCCATGTGTGGAACCGAATACAATATTGAAATAAGGAACGTGTTCATGAGGCGAGACATTTCAAAACAGTTTACAATTATAAGGTGTTGAAGATCTTCTTTGGTTGACAGCAAAATACAGTTTTTACAAGTGCACGTGCACGTACCTTAGCTACATCATAAATTATATATATATATCCTACACCACGAGATCTGACTTGGTTGTGGTTAAGGGAAATTTGACAGAAAATCGCTACATGAATCAAATTGTTCAACCTCACCTTCTTCCAATCATTGACCACCAGAGGGAGCTGTTTCAACAGGACAACGCTCCACTGCACACAGCTTGTGTCACGGTCATAATCATGAGAAAATAAATGTTTCAAATTCATGTATAATACAACCCCTAGATGCTTTGCGGTATGTCTGTAGAACTCTTCCTGGGTCCAGATAAGTTAAATTGTATTTTGAAACTAAATATGAACAGATGTCGGGAAGACGCAGATTCAAGAACAAATATAATTTATGGAGAATCTCCCCGGGCGTCTTTGATATCAGACTAAGTCATTCAAACTTGTTCTATTACTGCCACGGTTTTAGTCGTAGACTATGTGTTATTTCAATTGTCGGATAGATTTGTTAACAATGGCCAGCAGCCCAAGGGATGGTATCAGTCCTGCTGGGGCACCATGCAGGTAGCAGTGGTACCGTAAGTCCCCATGGTTCCTGGCAGAGACCATAAAATAAGTTAAGTGTATGGTCTTTGTTCCAAGTATGGTGGCCCAACTTTGGTTGTAGGTTGTTTTTTTTAATCATATATTGTTATGTATAGTATTATCTTTTTATGGTTGCATACCACTTCTAGTTGTTTGTTAGTGTGTTAAGTCAATACTGGTTGCGCCCTATCGTGCTGTGTGCATGGTGATTCGTACCACATTACTGGCCTTACAAGTTGACTCTCTATACATAGTTGTGTTTGTTTGTTTGTTGTTTAACGCCGCACTCAGCAATATTTCCAATATGCTATATGCAGTCTGTAAAAAATCAGTCTAGACCAGACAACCCATTGATTGATATCATGAGCATCGATCTATACCCAACTGGGATACGATGATACTCATCAGTGGTAGTGTACTTTTACCAGTTGTAATTTAGGCGCACTAGTTTGTTTGTTTGTTGTTTAACGCCACACTCCAATATTCCAGCTATATGACGGCGGTCTATAAATAATCGAGTCTAGACCAGACAATCAAGTGATTGACATCATGAGCATAGATCCACGCAATTGGGATCGATGACATGCATCAACCAAGTCAGCGAACGTGACCACCCGATCCCGTTAGTCGCCTCTTACGACAAGCATAGTCGCCTTTTACGACAAGCATGGGTTTTTGAACACCTATACTACCCCGGATCTTCACGGGTCAAGGAGCATTAGGAATCCGGGCGGTCGATTTGACAATTTGAAACTTATTAACATGGGTAACATAATCACAATAGATAAACATTGCAAAGCACGCGTTTCAAGAAATGACGATTTTCTGAGAGATAAACATCATCATTGAGTTTCGATCACTTTGCTTTTTTGTCATTCTTGTTCTAAAGTAACCGTCCTTATCGGCGGAATGGACGTTTTTCACAAGTGTTAGTATTAGCACACGTGCAGCTTACTTCGTTGATTAATGATCGCGACACTTTCTTAGTAAAGTTAGCAAAGCACAGATTCTCGTACGTGTTGGCGATTAGGTGTGGCAGTGTGAGTTCGAATCCCGGACATATAGCATTTGTTACATTTAACCACTTTCTAAATGGCATTGTGTGTTCTTAACTTTCTGCCATGGGAGCCATGCCAATTTACAAAGTACGTGATCTAGACTACCAGTTGTCGGACTTTCATTTTTGTGGACGCCTCGGTGGCTGAGTGGGTCAGTTAGATCGCTGACTTTGTGTGCTGGCGATTCGGTGCCTCACTCTGCACATGGCAGTGTTGGTTCGAATCCAGGACGGGACTCAACCCAGAATCTGTTATTTACTAATAAAGTGTTATCCCAAATATAACATTTGTTACATTTGACCACTTTCTAAACAGTCAGTACATTCGGTCAGTAATAGGTGAGGTGAGGTGAAATGGGGTTTAACGTCGCGTCTAAGATTATTGCACTTATATAGCGACGTGCATGTACGTGTGTGTGTGTTTATGTGGCTGCTTGTACTTGTCCGGACTGATGCCCATTTATAGTGCTAGCTCACTGAGATACCATGCCGCAGTTTAACATGAATACCCCACTCAGACACAGTATACTGACTCCGAGCCGACCAGTCCTTGTTTTAGCCCCTTAACGCCGAGCGCCAGACAGGTTAACAACAAGTACCATCTTTTAACGTCTTTTGGTATGACGCGGTCGGTGATCGAACTCCGGACCTTCCGCTCTCCGGGCGGACGCTCTACCACTAGACCACGGAGGCGGTCCGGTCAGTAATAATATAAGGCGAAGATGAGAGGGTTTGCGGCTTCCGCAACCGATACTTGCTAAAACCACATCCGGTAACCCAAAGCACATCGATTATCTCATCTGATGCATACATTTAATTGCATAATCACATACATGATTACAACACAATGTGGTATTATTACCAATATCATGCTTTGTGATACTTTAAATTACGTGTGCTCGTGCATTAGTCGTACATATTTAATTTATACACAATTAATATAGGGAGAGCAGGCCAAAACGGGAACCATCATCAGCTGTTGTCCCACCTGTTCACACTCGATATTCATTTATTATTTTCACGGACCTTTAGACTTTTGTCCTGTTTCCGTAACGTTATGACTTTTTGCATTCGCGACCAACTCGTGTTATTCCGGGAATAGCCGAATGAAAAGGGGCGAGCGGTGACGAATGGACTTTTTGGTGGCCGTTTTGACTTTTATTTTTGGTGGCTGTTTGACTACAACCCTTTATCGATAGGGCTCACAGAAACAGCAGAATATTATACCTATAATTCCCCAACTTACTATATACAGAACGAACTGCGCTTTTATTTCGTTAGTGTGTCTGCTATTATTTATTTGCTGAACATGTGGTGGTAGTTGTACAGCAAGAACATGCACTACCTGGGTCCCACTTTGGAACAAAGTGAACGAATATAAAATTGACGAGTGAATTCTAGAATATTCACTGCTTACTTTTTAGCCAATCAGAGTGTAGTGAAAAGTTCACTGCGTTCGGCCTTACTTCCGAATTATAACTTCCTGATCAGAGGCATCGTCCCTTCCACACTATGTCGCAGATTAATTACAGCAAGTGGGATCACATCGAGGTACGCATTTAGATACACATATGATCTATGTATTCTATTTTGAGTAAAAATTGTTTTGTCGCGCCGTCATGGGATTCGGAGCTCTATGATAACGGGAACCCGCTCAGATGTAAGAGAAATGTCCAGTTTTCGATCTCTAAAACACAAACCCATTGTGTACGATCATTATGACGAAAATGTTTCGAAAGTGACAGTAGCCCAACAAATATTCATGCAGGTCAAGGCCCAGTCTTCGCAAAGGAATGCGTGTCTAAAATAACGTCATGTGAAATAGTTGCGAAATATTGCATACATGTACTGATATCTGACATAGCTTAAAATTCATGTCTGGCATTTTCTTTCACGTCATTCAATAACAAGCATACTACATGTATAACTGTCAATTACTGTACTCACTGATGTTTTATTATTATAATAAATAAAGCTTGTAGACACGTATATGTGCTACATGTAACCGAGATTCATGATTTAGGCCTATGTAATTTGCAGTCTGACAAGCCTAGTGTAGACCAGCATCAGACTTCAGAAGAACGTAGCCTAATTATGAACATTAGAGGCGGTTATGTGTACGCGAAACAGGTCCCCCATTATGCATACAAGTGACAACCTGTGAGGTAACAAGGGTTACAGTCCTGCAGTCAAGACATGACCCTACATACAAGGACACCACCTTCACAAATCTTATTCAGACTGTGGTGGCGGATTACCCTCGTATTTCCCTCAGGATTTAAAAAAAGATAAATCCCCGTTGGTTTGAGACTGAAAGGTTGGTATCGCTGTATTACCAGATAATTTCCCTGTCTTACACGTACTTCAACTTCTTGTCATAATGATTTTGCCACAACTTGGGGCAATATCAGACCGGTAACCTGTTCATGTTTCAACGATTGCGAGTTGACATGTAGACATGGTGTGCGCATGCAATCGATTTGTATCAGCATGGGTCTTCTACAAGCTGTATTTAGTACTCCCCAGCAGAAAACATGCGGTTTCATTTTCTTGCAAGGAGGTTGCATTTCAACTTTAATTGTATATACCGATGATACTGTGCTTCTATCGACAAATGCATATGAAACACAAACAACGCTATCTTTGTTTTTATTGTTATTGTAAATAAGCCTCAATAAAGCCATTTATTTATGTTTGGAGTCAACAGAAAATGATTAAAAATAATAAGGTTTGAGGCTGCCAACATCCATTTTGGTAACCATTACGTTGCCCCTCACAACAAGCACAGATTGCAGGGGACCTATTTTAAGCTGGAATTCAATCATGGCTGTATGATAGCTGAAATCTCTGAATATTGAATCATAAGCCCTACTTGTTGCCTTTGAAATGCAAAAACTATAAATTGAAACACTTCCGTAATAGCAAGATGCACCAATACAGAGCATTTCTCGTGTATATACACAGTTTCATGAAGACATGTTGAACGGTATCCGAGTTATGCCCCAAAAACAATGTGGGATGCGCGAATCCTGTTTCTCTATCCACACAAAACATTAGTTTGGAAGGGGTATGATCTTTTTCTGTCGCATCTAAACATAAAAAAATTGCTACCGGGTACTTATTTATATCAATAAACACAAAGATAGCATTATTTGAATTTCATATTATTTCATTTCAAGCAATATGGGCTGCCAGATATGAATGGTATTATGAGCCGTTGCTTTGGCCTTGACTTGGGGCATTGTTAATGATGGGTTTCATTGTATTGTTTTGACACTTACCACGTTTAAGATCTCCGATGATGAGGATGACACTCACCCAAACATTGACACAGCCAGTTTGCATCGATGGCGCCACCAGGCCAGGGTGGACAGGATGGAACAACAAAAGAAAAAGAAAGATGATTTGACTAAGGATTTTAACAAGTGAGTACCATGAACACTATCTTGCTGTGTTGGGAAGATTTAATCATTTTACCTGATATATGGCTTTTCCGTCTGACGAGAGTTTGGTCACATGGCCACGAAACTGAAGTTCATAAGTGTATGAACGACACACATTTTTTTCATGAAACTCTATTCTTGAAATGACGTAAACACTGACAGACTATTTCTACATTACCTGGGAACCCCTGGGAATTCCCTATTACAAATAAATACAGAAGCATTGTTTCTCATCAATTAGACCCTTTAATCTTGAAGGGGGCACGGGTGGCCCAGTCGTCTAAGGCGCCGCAATTCGCTGTGCAGAGTTGCGTCCCTTAGGCACACCAGAAACCTATGATTGTGGGTTCGAATCCCGGTTCGCCCCGATTATGTTTCTAGGTTTGTCAGCACCAAACCCGTGCTCGTGGGTTTCACAGAAGTGGTAAACGTCAGAGACCTGCATCACTTCGGGCTTTCCTCCGACATTAAGCTGACACGCCGTGATATAACTGGAATACTGTTAAAAGCAGCGTTAAACCCAACTCACTCACTCACTTTAATCTTGAACTTAGTGTTTTAGCATACATTGGGATAAGTCAGAGAGTTTGATTGCATGCCCTTCAAGGATATCCTCACTACTACCCATCAGAGAGAACAAAACGAAGTATCGACACGATCTGTGTCTAGATTACAGTGACAGTCTACAGTAATCTATGAATTTACCTTAGTATCTATTGGACACATCTTTACAATCACTTTTCAATGATCAGCCAATTGATCAGTGATGACTAACACTTGTAATAGCCACAGATTCATTAACAACTTTGGAAATCCCTCTCGTCACTTTATCGTATCAGCCATTTTGACATCTTGTACTTGATATAAATGTATTATGACTCGCTGTCATTGTGACTGACTTACTGAGGTAGTTCATAACAGATCTTTCTCATCTAATGAGGATATTATTGGAACATATTTGTTGTGAAGACACTACAAAATTTGTTCCTGTAGAGCATGTTGAGCATACACACCTCTCGTTTTGAGGAATTATTTTATTCCCTGATATGGCTGATTGTTGTATGGCTGTCAGTGTGAACATGAAGTCACACATACTAAATATAATTGTGTATAGATCTAGACCTACATCTTTTGAGGTACAAAATAGTGATATGAACGTCGATTCACTAAATCATGATTTATACACAATAACCAGTCTTCAAAATTTTATGCCAGTCTGCTAGCCCAAGACTTCTTTAATTAAGTAAAGATCCAATGATGGTAGTCCTCATTGACTAGTAGCATTTGAGAAATATAATTCTGAACAAGTTCTCAAGGCTACAATTTGAACTATTATAGTTAAAGCATGATGATGCTTGAACCGTGTCATGCCCATGACATCTCATTTTGATGTTTTGATTCGAAAAGTGATTTTAGCCAAGCTTAGAAATTATATCTTTGTATGGCCTTCAGATTATGAACATGTTGAAGTGACGAATTGTTTTATTGTTTACAGACATCAGCAGAAGTTAGTTGAAGTGAAACACAGGCTGAAAGAGGCAGAGGAGGTAGGATATTTTGAGATGATGAGAGACAAAAGTCTGAGAAGATGCAGGTCTTAGACATTTATGACTTTAGTACAACTTTTGAGTACGGGTAAAACCGTATGGTGCGGACAACCCTAGAAACATAAACTGTAAACTACGTTTATAATGAATTCAAAGGGACCACTAATTTTAGTTCATTATAACCGAAGTTTGTTATGCATATATATAAATATATATACAGCAAATGGACAGGACAAAAAAAAAGTTTGTTTTATCCAACATTTCATTATATGCGTGTTTGTTTTATAAACGTAGTTTACTGTAGGGTGAATTTGGCATTCGAATCCATGATCATATCTTTTTTATTTGAATCAAGTTGGGGACAAGTGATACTTGTACAAATATTTGAAATCAACATCCGGTTAAAAAAGTGCAATGCAGATTTCGGTCGATTGCAGGATTTGCAATGCTTAAACCGCGCTTAATTTAACATTTGAAACCTCGGTTCGGTTCCAAATTCAATTTAGCTCAGATAAATCTACAGGTAACCTAGTTCTACATTGAAAACATGGTATGTTTATCTCCTGGATGACTGGACCAGGGTGGGATAAGAACAGGAAACAACATTCAGTGACACCACACTGCTTTCACACGTGGAGATGTGAAGCTTTTCAATTCAAGTTTCTTATGTCTCATGTGTCCCCAAACTTTGCTCATAGTTATGCTGGAGGAATCTACGACCACGTTTCAACTGAGTGTGTTATTCCTGACCTAGGCTTGTCATAACAGGCAAGTGTGCCTTAGACGGATTGGTGGTTTTATAGAATTGATCATGTTGATGTGTGTTTTATTTTAACTACAGCAAGCATCAACTGACCTGGAGAAGTTGAAGATAGAAGTGTCTGAGTTGGAGAAACAAGAAAGTGACTTCAAGAAAAAAGAAGCAGAACTCTTGAAAGAGGAAAAGGTAAGATGGGACAGTTGCACATCCAGACTGTGATGTGGGACAGTTGTAGACTGTAGGATGGGACAGTTGTAGACTGTGATGTGGGACAGTTGCACATCTAGACTGTGAGGTGGGACAGTTCTAGTCTGTAGGATGGGACAGTTGTAGACTGTGAGGTGGGACAGTTGTAGACTGTGAGGTGGGACAGTTGTACATCTAGAATGTGATGTGGGACAGTTGTAGACTGTAAGATGGGACAGTTGTAGGCTGTAGTATGGGACAGTTGTAGGCTGTGAGGTGTGACAGTTGTACATTTAGAATGTGATGTGGGACAGTTGTAGACTGTAAGATGGGACGGTTGTGGGCTGTAGGATGGGACAGTTGTAGACTTTGATGTGGGACAGTTGTACATGTAGAATGTGATGTGGGACAGTTGTAGACTGTAAGATGGGACAGTTGTAGGCTGTAGGAATGGGACAGTTGTAGGCTGTAGGATGGGACAGTTGTAAACTGTAGGATGGGTCAATTGTAGGCTGTAGGATGGGACAGTTGTAGACTGTGGGGTGTGACAGTTGTACATTTAGACTGTGAGGTGGGACAGTTGTAGGCTGTAGGATGGGACAGATGTAGACTGTAGGATGGGACAGTTGTAGACTGTAGGATGGGACAGTTGTAGGCTGTAGGATGGGACAGGTGTAGGCTGTAGGGTGGGACAGTTGTAGGCTGTAGGATGGGACAGTTGTAGGCTGTAGGATGGGACAGTTGTAGACTGTGAGGTGTGACAGTTGTACATTTAGAATGTGATGTGGGACAGTTGTAGACTGTAAGATGGGACGGTTGTAGGCTGTAGGATGGGACAGTTGTAGACTTTGATGTGGGACAGTTGTACTTGTAGAATGTGATGTGGGACAGTTGTAGACTGTAAGATTGGACAGTTGTAGGCTGTAGGATGGGACAGTTGTAGGCTGTAGGATGGGACAGTTGTAGACTGTGAGGTGTGACAGTTGTACATTTAGACAGGTGGGACAGTTGGAGACTGAGAGGTGGGACATATTTATCTGTATGCATGGCAAGACAGGACAGTTTTGTCTGAGGTGACTGTTGATTTCCCTTGAGGTTTGATGTCTGTCTTTCTATGTTCCAGCTAACTCCCCTTAACATCGACACAATATGTCATGATGGAATGTCAAAAACAGTGAGTACCTTGTACAGCTTTCAACAACATCTTTTCTACTGTGTATCATATATAATACAATGGTATATGGGTTTTGAGCCAAGTGATGTCATTGACATATTGTTGCCCTCTGCAGGTGATCAACAAGCCCAAGCCTGCACCAGAAACACTCTCAGATGATGAGAAAGCCAAGAAACAGGTAGGTCTTCACACTGTAACTTGGACATGTTTACAATAATAGAGGATGATTCTACCATTAATTTGGTAAACATTTTATTCTGATTGGTCAATCAGAGGTTTCAAATCACAATAACAATCTCTCCTTGAAACGACCTGAAGACCACATCCCCAGGAAGATGATATTTATAGAAAAATGCTTCTTTGTAGTTGCCAATTTACAATTATAGGTAAATAAATACAGATCTGTGGTAACTCTAATACTCAAAGTGTGTGTAGCAAAACATTCTGTGCAAAATCTTGATAGAAATCGACTTAAAAAGTTTATTTTAAGTTTTAGGGACATCATAGAGGTTGAAATTTTGCTTTCTTCTATAGCCGACATATTTTCTGCATCACAATGAGCAGTTCCAACTTGAATATATTGTGGTAAATATTTACAGGTAAACCAGCTCTAAATTGATAACACTGCCTGTGTATCTCCTAAGTGACAGTACTACATCAGGTTATAAAACTGTTCCTATTTATCCCAAGACTCGAGGTCCGAACAGCATATATTTTGCCCGAGAGATCGCTTTGTGCAAGTGGGCCCTGGTCTGATCCGGTCTTTTTATTAGTAAATTGGTAGTTGGGACTGTATTTTTAGTCTGAAGTGTAGAAAGTCCTAATTAGAGAGTTGTAGGTCATGTAGTTTGTAGTAATGATAATATGTAAAGAAATGAGTGGACCGGGGGGAAAGTCCGGTTTTCACCTAAATTCAAATTTAGCCGAGTCTGGTGTGGACAGATGCCACTGTACCTATTTCATGACTAAGACTTGTGAGTGTTTCTCATAATATCAATCACTGGTTTGTCTGGACCAGACTTTATTAGCCAGACTGCCTTCATATATATAATAAAGCTGGAATATTGCTAAACTGGTACAAACAACATACGTAGATTTTTCTAGGTTTCCAAACTAAGTGCCTTTGGCAAACACTTGGGGAAAAATCTTTTTTAACCCTAAACCGGTCAGTGAAATACTAGTCACCTCTACAGAGCCATTACATTAGTTATTTAAGTATTGACTGTTCATTTTAATAAAAAAAAATTTGTTCATTAAGATATGAATAAAAAAACTTATGTGCAAACTGTATGAATCCGCATAGACACTGTTGGAAAAATGCGGGTTAGAAATGAATCCCAAAGACATGAAATTTTTGGAACCCAGGCGAGCGGACAAAAAAACAGTCAAGCAAGCCTACATGTTTGCTGTTTTATTTCTTCTCGGTCTTCAGTCTAAAAGGTAGTTTAGAAATGAATACGAATGAATTTCTCTAAATGTCTTGTGCATGACGATACACATGAGAAGAAAGCGATTTCCCTTGATTATAATTTTGGGATTCCCCGGCACTCTGTAGTAATAGTCCGCTTCGGTGGGCTTGACTTATTTTTTTACATTCATGGGGAAATGTATGCAATAACACATGACCAATTTCAGCTAATCAGAATACAGGAATTACAATGTACATAACAAAAATTTAATTATTACAACAGGACATAAATTGACAAATTTCTAATTCCATTTGGGACAATGACGGCAGTCTTGGCGCCGAACATCAACATCTGGGCAGCTCCAGATAAATCCATGACATATACTCAACAACAAAAGTTCCTGTGACACCAATATTTTAGTGTATTTTTCAAACAAGTAAAGTTTGGTTTTCAATATTGTAGTACATGTATGGAATCAAGTCACAAAGACGCAACTGCTACAGAAAAGCATACATTCCATGCAAAAGTTGACTTTTATGCAAGTCCCATGCATTTCACTACCCAAGAATGGGTATAAAAACATGTGCATTAACCGGATTCCATATGCATTGTTTAGCATCGTGCTGACAACCACTCAGATAAACAACAAAATTACGCAATTATTCAACATTACGAAATGCGACGCCTGTCCGAAAATGAGCGTCTACGAGCCATTGGTATGCTTAAAGCAGGATTGAGTCAACGTGATGTTGCAAGACAATTTAACATCCTCAGAAACACCATTTGGTGTTTGGATTCGAACAACACACCTACAAAATCGATTCCAGCCAGCAACAGTGACTGCAAGAAGCATCCCTGGCCTTCGACGAATATCTTCACAAATTGTATATCGTCGCCTCAGATGTGCAGGGATTGTCGCCAGAAGACCCGCCAGACGTCCCATTTTGACAGGAAACCATCGTCAAGCACGTCTACAGTGGTTCAGACAGCGTCTACGCTGGACGGCCATGCAGTGGGGACAGGTTCTATTCACTGACGAGTCTCATTTTCACCTCAGCCACAGCGATGGACGGATTCGAGTGTACCGACGTCGAGGTGAATGTTACGTCAATCACTGTGTCATGGAAGAAGATCGTTTTGGGAGCGGCAGTGTTATGGTATGGGGTGGAATTATAGCAAGAGAGAGGACCCGTTTGATAGTGTTAGAGGGAAATCTCAATGGACAGCGCTACCGCGACGAGATCATGGGCCCTGTTGTTCTACCGTTTTTGCGTCGTCATGGTCCTGGTATTACCTTTCAACGTGACAACGCCCGGCCTCATATTGCTTGACTTGTTCAGGATTCTCTTCAACAAAACAACGTGAATGTCATCTCCTGGCAAGCTCGCTCCCCTAATCTCTCACCAATCGAGCACATGTGGCATGAGATGGATCGGCGCCTTCGACGTGAACCACGTGTTCCACAGACACTCCAGCAACGTTGAAACATGCTCCAGCAGATATGGACAGATATCTCACAGGTCTTTGTGCGACACCTGGTCCATTCCATGAGACGAAGATGTGTTGCTTGCATCGCAACCAGAGGACGAGACACACGCTTTTGATTTGTAAATTGAAATTTTGGCATGTTCATGTTTTTATGAAATCGCGCATTTTCTGGCAAATTAAACCATTTGAACACTTACAGAATTCTTTTATCTGTTGCAAACCGAAATTGTTTCAGATTTGGTAAAAAACATAAATTTGCATTAAATCTTATTCAAAGTCACAGGAACTTTTGTTGTTCAGTATATTAATTGAAATGTCCTGCGTTATAATAATTTGTGTCAGTCAGCGCAAACAGTGGCTTGTTATATCATAGGAGTTGTCTGTGACTGCTTCCAGAAAGAGTTCTCCAACAAATATAAAGACAAGATTAAGAAGTATGGGATGCTGAAACGCTACGAGGACAGCCAGCAGTTCCTGGCCGACACGCCGGACCTAGTGTGTGACGAGACTGCCAACTACCTGGTGCTGTGGTGTGTGGATCTCGAAATAGAAGAGGTCAGTAATCTCTCTCCGAGACATGGCAGAGATCAGACAACATGGAGATATTGCCAGTATTTCCATGCTCTGTTGTCTGAAAAATCCACATGCCATTGCCAATTGAAATTTTAGTAATTTATGTCTCTTGTTATGTAAACAATTTTACACTTATCCTGTCTTACACTATGCTTTTCTTCTTTCTTTTTTGATCCTATGTGAAAATGTGCTACAACAAGTTTCCAGCTTCTAAAAAACAATTCACCCAAACACATCCCAGCCTCACCATGGTCACACACTGAACAGCTGGGACATACTTTTTCCGTCTCCAATCATTGGGTGTGATTGATAGCCTTGACGAAGCGTTGAAAGAGATGCTGAGCAGTCACATGCTATTGTCTGTGGGAGATAGCATTGTGTCCTGTCTTGTAGAACTGATTGACTGGAGCCCCCCTCTGGATTGATTATAACTCGTACGCTGTATTGCTTGTTTTCATGTAACGATGTCATACGTGAAAACATGTTCCGCATGTTATACCCGATCACATGCCTTTACATCTAACTAGCATATCAGGATCATTTCACCAGTTGGTGGTGTGTTTTCCTGCTCACAAGATATTGTCATTTATGATAACTGGGCAGTGTTTTAAATGATTTATTTATTTCACTGTTTAGCACCAGCTTCCTTGTACGTCTCGCGGTTGTAGTCTTTATAGGCTAGAGTATCTGCACCCACCTTCCAACTGGGGATAAATGCATAGTGTGAGATAGGATAAATGTAAAAATTTGGAAACTTTCCAATAAATTGTATATTTTTATACTTATCCTATCTCACATGCTATATTCCCACCCGACCATCCATGCATCTTAGCTCCTCTAGCCTGTTAGCTCTGATAAAAGAGAATGATGTGGTAGAGATAGACACGTTATCAGATCATGTAAGGAGGAGCTACACACTAGATTACGTGTGATGCAGTTGTTGGGTGCATGACCATGGTGATGCTGGGATGTGTTCGGGTGAATTGTTTTTCAGAAGCTGGAAACTTTGTTCATGCATGTTTCCACATGTAAGATAGGAAAAGTAAATAAATGTACAATTTATTGGAATTTCCAATTCTTAACAGATAATGGTAGGCAGAGTTCCTCTTCAGCTTCACTATCTTTCTAATTCTAATCCAACTTTCCATTTCTTCATTTGTGTTTCAGAAACATGAGCTGATGTCCCATGTAGCTCACCAGGTGATTGTCATGCAATTTATCCTGGAGCTGGCCAGGTCCCTGGAATGTGACCCGCGTAGCTGTGTCCGGGCATTCTTCTCTAGGTAGGTCACGGTCGGGGTCAGATGTATCACACGGTCAGGGTCAATTTTACACACCATCAGGGTCAATGTCAGGGTCAAGGTCTTAGGTCAATGTCAAAGTCCAAGGTCAATGTCACTGTCAAGGTCTAAGGTCAATGTCACTGTTACTGTTATGGTTAATGCCATTTTCACAGCTGCAGTCTCATGTTACATTGATGGACATGGTATCCATTATGATGAATGGAATTATTTTCATTGGAATCCAACTGTATTTCTTCAGTGTCCCCTACCACGTTTTGACTGGATATATATCGCTCAATATTGTTTATATTGTTGTAAAACCTTGATCACCATCTGCATAGACTTGTTGTCATTCAATGGAAAGACATTGATGTGTTACAGCAGTTTTAGAAATGTTGTTGCAGCATTGATAACATACATGACTGTCGTGTTGGTGTTTTAGGATCAAGCTAGGGGAGAAGCAGTACATGGATGCTTTCAACGATGAGCTGTCGGCCTTCAAAGGTCGCGTGGCGACAAGAGCGAAGGCCCGGGTAGAGGAAGCTATGAAGGAGTATGAGGAGGTAAGACACCTCCCTTGATAGATCCATCAGTGTGTGTCATTAGCTCCACTGTTTGTTTGTTGTTTAACCCTGCACTCAGCAATATTCCAGCTATATGATGGCTGTCTGTAAATATCAAGTATGGACGAGACAGTCCAGTGATTGACATCATGAGCATCGATCTACATAACTGGGATACGATGACATGCGTCAACCAAGTCACTGAGTCTGACCACACGTTCCCTTTAGTCTCCTCTTACGAAACGCATGGGTTGCTGAAGATCAATTGTAACACGTATCTTAATGGGTACATTAGCTCCACAAATGACAGACAAGTTGAGCTATAACCTGGACGCCATCGTCAGACTGCCATTGCGGAAGTCTTGAAAATACCCATAGTGTACAAATGCTGTATTACTTGTGTATCTAGAGTCAGTAGGTCTGAACATATATCTGATGTTTGATCCTTTGTTTGAGAGATGTTTGTGTGAATGCAGCCTGTAAATAACGGACTGGGGTGACCACTGGTTTGCCTGGTCGGCGATTATTTCCTACCGTTGTGAGACAGATGGAATTTTGCTGACACACAGCATAAAACAAACAAAAAATACAATCGTAGGACTTAATTTTTTTTAGGTTTCATTGGTCAGAAAATATTTTCACCAGATCTAGGATTCATTTGAACTACCGGTAAGCACACTTGAGAGACAAATTTGGAAAAAAACATAATTTTGTTCACAATTGTGATTTTCTTTAAGAGTCCTTATCTTCTTAAATTCAGGGGTACTGGTGTTTTACATAAAATCCTCACCTTGTTCATTGGTCCTGTCATCAGTGTGGAGCTAATGTAATGTTGTCTGATACAATTCACTTCTGCAAAGCAATAACATAAGTTATTACTGTGATTACCCGGTACATGCCTTTTTATCCCCCCTGTTTGAAAAACGGAGAGATATCGATCACCATGTGCTTCCATCCGTCCATGTTCCATTTCCGGAGCAGAACTCCAAAATCGTTAAATATTTCTTGTTGAAACTTGCTATATTGATCAGTCTAGGGGGGGAGCTGGTGCCTTTTGATGATTTGTGATTTTTGAAAAAGATTTATTTGATTTTTTTTCCATTACGATAAGTTGGAGTTTACTGAAAATGAGGGTAGTACTTGTTTCCAGGGAAGAACTCCAAAATCGTTGAATATTTCTTGAAGAAACTTGCTATACAGGTTAGTCTATTGATGAACTGGTGTCTGATTTGGGATTTTTATTTTTTTTATTTTTTTCGGTTTTCATGATGATAAGTTTGACTTTATTGAAAATGAGCCTGGTGCTTGTTCCCGGACTGAACTCCAAAACCATTAAATATTTCTAGATGAAATTTTGTCAAGTGGTGAACTGGTGCCTTTTGATGATTTGGTATATTTTTAAAAGTACTTTTTGTTTTTTATTTTCATTGAAAGTTGAAAAAAATGAGGGTAGTGCTTGTTTCCAGAGCAGAACTCCAAAACCGTTGGGATATTGAAAAATACTGAACAGCGTTATGTTTTTCTTCACTGAATTGAAGGTATCCAATGACATTGCACCAAAAGTAGGGCATAAGTAGCCAAACTCCATTTCAGAATTGCTCCAGACCGGGGACATACGTCATCTCCTGATGACTCTTGTAGAGTATAGGATTGAGATCAGTCCCTAGACTTCCCATAGACAATAACAGTGTATCTCACATTAACTGTTCAAGAAACAGGCTCAGTGGTAAACAACTTTGATATTTTGCAATCTTCGAAGGTTGATACTTTCTTGATAATTCTGTCAGAAGTGAACACGGCATGTTAAATTTTGCATTCTCTTTAGTCTCTCCTTAATGTACACAGCTACACATCATGTTTTTCAGGAGGAGCGACAGAAACGTCTGGGACCTGGTGGCCTTGACCCCCTGGAGGTGCTGGAGACACTACCTGAGGTATGTACAACTGTCTGCAACATGGCGTACACCTGTCTGTACAACTGATCCCTGTCTCACCCATTTCTCCGGACTCCTGCATCCCTCACACACAAGCGTATCTTCTCACAGAATCATCTCTGATGCATGCATCCACTCTCATACACACATACCCTCTCTCACACACAAAGACCACCTCTGTGGACTAGTGGTAGAGCGTCCATCCGGAGAGCGGAAGGTCCGGGGTTCGATTCCCAGCCGCGTCATACCAAACGATGTTAAAAGATTGTACTTGTTGTTACCCTGTCTGGCGCTCGGCATTAAGGGGCTAACACAAGGACTGATCGGGTCGGAGTCAGTATACTGTGTCTGAGTGGGGTATTCATGTTAAACTGCGGCATGGTATCTCAGTGACCTAGCACTATAAATCGACATCAGTCCGGACTAGTACAAGCAGCCACACAAACACACACACGTACATGCATGTCGCTATAAAAGTGCAATAATCTTGGACGCGAAGTTGAACCCCATTTCACCTCACCTCTCACACACAAGCATCTCCTCTCCTGCACACACATCCCCTTTCACACACACATACATCCCTCGCACAAATTCACATGCATCCCTTCTATCACTTGCTCTTTGTTTGCTGTGGTTTGAGGGAGGGATTTCTGGCTTTGTTGTTTCACCTCTGCCTCTGATTGTCCAGCTGATTTTATCATCCATGACATTCTATGTGCAATAGTGTATGTTGTCTAACGTCTGTACCAACTGATAAAGAAACTAGAGTTGTCATGTCTTACTGCATTTCCATATACCAAATACCTACTTGCAGTTTTCTTTTCTTTTTTCCAGACTTTGAAGAACTGTTTTGAATCAAAAGACATTGAATTGTTGAAGAAAGTGATCCTGGATCTGCCCAAAGAAGATGCCGAGTACCACATGAAGCGGTGTGTTGAGTCCGGGCTGTGGGTGCCCAACGCAGCAGACTTGCCCGGGGGCCTGAACACAGAGGATGCGGCTGGAGGACAGAATGGCACATCCGTGGAAGAGGAGGAAGAGGAATATTATGACACGGTTGACTGAGAGGGAGATGGAACCACTTGTTTTTTGATAGCTCTACCTAAACAACTCTGGTGAATGTATCAGTATTGTTCTTACATGAGACGTCAGTTCTGTGGTCTCATTGTTAAGCAGACCATGATACAACATTGGCTGTGGTCTCATTGTAAAGCAGACCATGAGACAACATTGGCTGTGGTCTCATTGTAAAGCAGAACATGAGACAACATTGGCTGTGGTCTCATTGTAAAGCAGACCATGATACAACATTGGCTGTGGTCTCATTGTTAAGCAGAACACGAGACAACATTGGCTGTGGTCTCATTGTAAAGCAGACCATGATACAACATTGGCTGTGGTCTCATTGTTAAGCAGAACACGAGACATTGGCTGTGTTCTCTTTGTTAAGCAGAACAATTGGGTGACTGTATGAAATAGTAAGATAGTGTACAAAGGTCTACACAATACTCTGCAGTCATGGCTTTGATTAAACAGAGCATTCAAGTGTTAAACAAATGAAGACAACACAAGTCACCAAACATCAGCTTTGTGATTTTATTCTTCATAGGGTATTTTTTTACACAAACTCCAATAAGATTTGATAGTGTGATAAGGATAAGTCATTCAATGCTCAAAGTTATTGATTACTCTCCCAAGTGGCACATACCTTGCCGAGGCATGGGATAGAGGACATTCATTCAACTCAGTCAACTGGGAAGGATACTTCACTGTACCTTGCAGCTTGTAATTGTTCCTGTGAAAGTATCTCTGATCTGAACATATCATATGCTCTGATGGATTTCCTTGTTGGTCAGGTTGTGGATCAGGGTTTACAGTAGTGTGCTGCTGCTGTTGCCACTGCCAGTCCACTGCTTCCTAGCTGAGAGGGTTTCCCCTGCTTTGTGTGCTCCCTGTCTGAGACGGTTTCCCTGGCTGAGAGGGTTTCCTTGTCTGAATGGGCTTCCCTGTCGGAGACAGTTTCCCTGTCTGAGAGGGTTTTCCCAGGTATGTGGGCTCCATGTCTGAGAGGGTTTTCCCAACTATGTGGATTCCCTGTCTGAGAGGGTTTCCTTGTCTGAGAGGGTTTTCCCAGCTATGTGGGTTCCCTGTCTGAGAGGGTTTCCTTGTCTGAGAGGATTTTCTCAGTTATGTGGGTTCCCTGTCTGAGAGGGTTTTCCCCACTGTGTGGGTTCCCTATAAATGGTTTCCCTGTCTGAGACGGTTTCCCCTGCTATGTAGGCTCCCTGTGAGTGGTTTCCCAGTTTGAGGGCATTTCTACTGTGTTGGTTCACTGTCTGAATGGGTTTCCTTGTGTGCCTTTGTTGCTGGTCACTGTAGTTTGTTCTCACCTGGTGAATCAAGGTAACCATGGTAATTGGAAGTAATTTTTGTTTTGTTGTATTTTCCAGTAGTGAAACACTGTTACTGTGGTGGCCATCTCGTCATTGTAGTCCAAACTGTCTGTGCCAAAAATTGTTTGGGTCCACATCCTAAATTTGTCATTTGGCATTTCTCACTGCAGCTGCAGTTGTTTCTATGTGGACTATTGTTAGCTGAGCTTACTGGACAAATATCAATTTCACTTAACATTTGACTAGTGGCTAAAGTTACTCCAATTTGGAGCTGTTGTAGGTAGCGCTACAACTATCGTAAGTCTATGTTAAGGTAAGGGAGTTACGATCATCTTAGCTTTAAGATCACTTTGTACAAGGGGACACTGGGCCCCGTTCCACAAAGCGATCTTAACGCTATGACTGTCGTAAGGCAATGTTAAAATATAGGAGTTACGATCATCTTAGTGCTACGATCGCCTTGCAGAACAGAGCCGTGATGTGTTGAATGTATGGATAACTGTGGTTTTACTGTATTTTGATATTCATGTTCATTTGTTAATGAATTGATTTTAGTTGAGATGTTCGTATGGTTTGCTTTCAAATACTTGAAACTCTTTAAGGATGTTATGTTTATTTCACAGTGTGTGCTTGTAGCGTTGCTGTCTGTGTAACATAATTGTACATAGTATGGTGTAAGTTGCGTATTGAAGAAACTTCCCAAGAAAAAAACTGTTTTGTGTAACTCTGTATTAAACATAGACTGAACACTTAAGATTTCTTGTGCTTTAATATTTATATGGTCACATTTAGTTTCTGTTTGAGTATCTTTGTAAGCTGGTTTGTGAGAACCTTCAAAACAAAGGAAATGTATGAAATATACCTTCAGCTTTCTTGTGTTAACTGATGCTTATGACAAAACATTCATATATAAAGCTATTCTTTTTGTATTTATATGGAATAAATTATGTCCAATAAACGTTCTTGCATCATCTCTGCACAAGGTCTCAAGTGCCTCATGTAATTTACGCAGAATTGTTAATGATGTGTGTATTTCTGACTTTTTTTAAGTCCTACTCAGCAATAATTTGTAGCTATATGATGTTGGTCTGTAAGTAATGTCTGTAAGTAAAGTCCGCCTCCATGGTCTAGTGGTGGAATGTCTGCCTGGAGAGCGGAAGGTCAGGGGTTCAATCCCCGGCATACCAAAAGATGTTAAAAGATGGTACTTGTTGTTACCCTGCCTGGCACTCGGCGACCCGTGAAGATCCGGGGTAGAATAGGTCTTCAGCAACCCATGCTTGCCATAAAGGCGACTATGCTTGTCGTAAGAGGTGACTAACGGGATCGGGTGGTCAGGCTCGCTGACTTGGTTGATGCATGTCATCGATCCCAATTGCGTGGATCGATGCTCATGATGTCAATCACTAAATTGTCTGGTCCAGACACAATTATTTACAGACTGCCGTCATAAAGCTGGAATATTGCTGAGTGTGGCGTTAAACAACAAACCAACCAACCAACCTTGCACTCGGCATTAAGGGGCTACAACAAGGACTGGTCGGCTCGGAGTCAGTATACTGTGTCTGAGTGGGGTTTTCATGTTAAACTGCAGCATTGTACCTCAGTGGGCCAGCACTATACAATTGGCATTAGTTCAGACTATTAGAAGCAGACACAAACACACACCAGGGGTTGATTTAGCATTGCAAGGGTGCGCACCCCCCACCCCCTCAAAAAATAGATTAGTAGCTGGAGCTAAAATTTTAATTTTAATTAAAACATGTTTTTATTTGACTTGTTTGAAAACTATGTTAAAGAGGATAAAAATCTGCCCTCAAACTTAACCTAAACAGTGGAGCCTGCATTTGTTCTTTGCTCTGAGGAGTAAGTATTGTTTTAGCTGCCTTATCATTATGGCAGTAGATGATCGTTCAAGACATTATGAGAACCTGCACAAGGCACACGTGTGACCGGTTTCATTATTCCTATATTTGGATAGCATGAAGCCAGACTGAACCAAGCCACACAACTATAAAACAAATGAGTTTGGGGTGAATTCCTATGTACGAGTACAAGGTCTTTTGCCTTACACCAACCAACATGGTTGAGGATGACACAAATAGCATACAACTGGCCATCACTCATAACAACCCACAGAGCCTGAAACTGTCTAATTATCAGTGTCAAAGAGAGCCATCCAGTGGTATCAAAAAGTATATATGACAACCAAATGTTTCTAGGTTTGGTTCATTACATTCAAAACAAAATTGTGATTCATACTTTATCTAGTCATGCAAATCCCTATATTCTTATGTTGTGGTTTATGGCTTCAATAAAATGTGTGTTTTTATATTTTAAAAAATGATGTAAGGCAGGCATAGTTCTTTGGGGATTTTTTTTCAAATCATTATTACATAACATTAGCCATACTGAATATTTATTATAGAGGTTACCAGTGTAAATAATCGTATGTACAAAACATAAAGGTTATCAGTTTGTTGCCAAGGACTTGACCAGATACGTTTGAAAGTTCCTTCATATAGCTGGAATATTGTTGTTTGCAGCGTTTAACAACAAACAAACAAAGAAATCATTTAAGTATCAAAGTTGAACATTTTAAATGAATGATATCTCAAAATGATGCCTTTGTGTTTTGATTCTATTTGGCTTCATGATATCTATTTAATACAAACATTCTGCACAGGAACTCGGTATTGGTCAGTTTGTGTAGTACTCGATCCCGGGGCAGAGCACGTAAAGTAACGTCCCTTATACTGTACCTGGACCGTATGCTGCTACAAATGACGAATAGCGAGTTCATGGTCACTCAGCATAGATGACGTACATTGATAAATGGTAAAATATGCTCCCCTCATCCCTGCACCCGTCATCCCTGCACCCGTCATCCCTGTACCCTTCTGGAAAATCTGTGTCCCCTTCAGCATGAAAGTGTGGTGTTTTAATACGAACTGGTCGTGAGAATGAAGCAATGGCGCTATTTTGTGTTAATATTTTATGAAAATATGCACACACACACAAACACACCCTTCCCAAAAAACCTGTCTCCGCCACTGCACACACGTGCATGCACGTCGCTGCAATACGCGACGTTCAACCCCCATTCACCTCACCACCTCACCTCTGTGTTAAAAAAAGCGGTCTGCGATCAATCATGTGATTGACTTCAAGTGAATTGATCCACGCAGATTGGTTTACGATGACGGACAAATCACCGAAGACACCGAGCCTGACCACCTGATCCATTTTGTCACCTCTTGCCACAAGCAAGGATTGCTGGGGACCTACGAGCTACCCGGAATCCCCCCAGTTATGTTTTAACATGCACTATGGACACTGTTCGCTATATCACGCTGTCAGCGGATTCCCCAGCTGGTCCATTTAGTCGTGTAGGACAAACGTCAGAGTACTGGGGATCTAATCTGACTAGGAATCCCAATATATGAACACCAACTTTCCCTGGAGAGAAAAACATTTTAATACCTTCTCATAAGCTACAAGACCCGTGAAGATCCGGGGTAGAATAGGTCTTCAGCAACCATGCTTGCCGTAAAAGGCGACTATGCTTGTCGTAAGAGGCGACTAACGGGATCGGGTGGTCAGGCTCGCTGACTTGGTTGATGCATGTCATCGATCCCAATTGCGTGGATCGATGCTAATGCTATTAATCACTGGATTGTCTGGTCCAGGCTCGATTTTTTACAGACCGCCGCCATTGAGCTGGAATATTGCTGGAGTGCGGCGTTAAACAACAAACCAACCAACCAACCATAAGCTACAATGTATTGAGTTGACTAGGTTTATGTATCGAACCGTGTCTTTGAGGTATTTCACACATAATTACCCTTAAAACCCATGGGGATTCCGGGCTGCCCCCAAGCAACTTGTGCTGGTCGTAAGAGGCAAGTTATTGGATCAGGTGGTCAGACTCGGTGACTTTGTTGATGATGTGTCTACAGGAATCGTAGCTCATACTATCAATCACTAGTTTGCCTGGTCCAGACTAGGCTCTTTACAGGCCATTGACATATGGCTGTAATTTTACCGAATGCTGTGTTAAATAATATTATTTTTATTATGATAAGTAGCGCCTAGTTTCCACCATTAGATGCTCAGCAGTGCTCACAATATATACGACATATACACAAAAGAGATGATGTAAAGAACAGGTGTACATTAACTTTGCTGGTGATAGGGGATCGCTGTGATCTCGCACATCACCAATGGGCATGCCATGAAACATAATTATAAATACAGTCGAACCTCGATGTGTCGAACTTGATTGTGTAAAATCCTTGGTTGTCTCGAACTCATCTTATGTCCCTGCGAATTCCTTTTATATTTATCATCATTTATGCTCGAATCTGTCGAACTGGATGTTCCGAATTCCCGGTTGTCTCGAATTTGTTTGTTTTTTAGTCAATAGTATCTAAATAAAGCATAAATTTCTCCTGATGGCTCTGAACAGTGAAAAGTGGACTTTTTTTTGTCAGTTAACACCCTTGCCTCTGGAAGATGGCAGCGCAGCAGATCGAAGCTTTTTTTTGCCTACTTTAATGGTGTATCACAGCTACAGTTCAGAAAATATCATTAAATACAACTGAAGATATAACATTTCTGTTGGCTATTTATTTTGTATTATCATTGAATACTGATTGTATGGTACAGTAAAACCACTGAGAATCTTGCCACACAGACTGGATGGCGTTATGGGTGAGAGGAATCGTTAAAAACGATTTATCATCCAAAACTGGCTCCCACAGGAGATATCGTTTGGGTGAGATCAAGCGATGTCTGTACTGTAGCTATCGCTGCAATGAAATTGCCACACTCCGTCGCAGTGGTGACTCAGCATAACACCACTGCCACAGGCTAATTTGCATATCACGTGACCGGACTTTTGTCTTGTTTGTAAACAAACGCGCTTTTTCAGAAATCAGTATAGAACGGACTAATACAAGTATTTGGGGGCGCTTTACATATTGTTTTGCATAACTATATAGATATGCTACTACAACTGCGACAATGAGTTGCATGACAATATATATTTATGCATCAAAGTGACCGTGTCGCTAGCTCTCCGTTGGGCTTCGATGACAGCACGTGGAGCCGTACAACCACTGTAAACATAGGATAACTGCGCAAAAACAAGTAGATTTTTACGTATTTGCATACTTTCTCAATGAAAGTTAACCATTCTTTGACATTTGTTTATGAAAATGTGTAGACTTGTCAAACATGAAACGGATGAAAAGCATATGCAATATCTTGAATGGACTGTGAAAGATGTGACGAATCGTCACTTGGCGCTGGCCTGTGGCAGAGGTACTATGCTAGCTGGCTGCCGGCCGCATGGAACTCTGGGTAGGAGAGTGTGAAATTGCATCACAATGCTTTGCAGACCATTTTGACGTCATTGTTACCATGACGTCACAATCAAATGACACCACTAATGGCTCTGCTACTGAAGCTGTTAGCAGTTTTGGCGTGTACACTGCTTATTACTTTCTACAAACTGAAAAAGTATGAAGAATGATGTTGGATGATAAATAAAATCTCGACCTCGTGTCTTTTGATATCAAATATATCAACACTCGTTGATAAAAGTGGAAAAAAAATCATTATATTGCTGGAATATTGCTAAAAGCAGCATAAAACCAAACTCACTCACTAGCACCAGGTAATACAGGTACTTCCTGTAGGGTCTTGCGGGTCACACACAAACACACATACAGAAAGCACACCAGAGTGCCTGTCCCTTTGTGTAGGACTATGATACTTTATATTTTATAATATACTGTGTTAAATCAACCTTAAATTGCTAACCACCAGTCTACCATAGCGCCCCTTCTAAAATATTGAAACAGATGTTCTCTTAGATTGTTGAAGCCACTCGTCAACATTCCTGTTCTATGGCCTGTAATAATCTTACTCTGGACCAGACAAACCAGTGACTCGGGTATGATGACACAGAATTACCAATGCCTGCAGCTAGACCACCTGATCCATGTAGTTACCTCCTCTTATGACAAGCATAGGTTACTGGGGCCTATTCTAATTCGGGAACAAAGAGCAAACAGTTGTCGATTTATTTCAAGTTTACACCATGGAATGCCCACAAAATACATAGAGTGGACAGATAGTCATAGTGGTCGTGTCCTGCCAGTGATGTCCCTATCCCAGAGTTTCAGTCAGCCTACACAGCAACTGTAAGGAACAGAAAGAAGGATGAATGAAGGAGATACCTTCCCTCTACACCAAAGTAACATGCTTATTTCTTGAATGGATGAAAGAAGATATATGAGCCAGAGCAAAGTTTGTCAAACTCTTTCTTTTGTGGGTACATGTGTGTTTTTGTAGTCTTGGTGACACAATTTGCTGTACAGAGTTGCTTCCCTTAGCTCTGCTGGGATGTGCTGATCTTGAGTTCTGATCCTATGTTTTCACTGACCCTTGGTTTGTATGGACCATAGAGAGTTTGTGAGTTCCACCAATATGATGACCTCTACGGTCTGCATCACTTTGACTTTCCTTGGCATTAACGAGACACCCATGATAAAACTGAAATACTGATCAAAGAGGTGTTACGTCAACCGCCTTCTTGTATTACACGGTACAAGAAGTGTCTAGACTGTGTTGGATACCAGATATGAAATAGGTACTTACGGTAGTGCAAGGTTTGGCTGAAAGATACAAGAACAAGTTTAATCACTCAGTACAACGTCACATGGCATGTGCATTAAATAATCATTTAATCAACACGTCTGGAAATGACCTAACTAACCTTGGAGGAACATTCCAATACCTAACTTGGATCTTTACAGCTGAGGTCTGGAGTAATGTGGTTATTCTGAAGGTCTTAATGAATGTAAGAGTAGCTATCTTTGGTGTGAGGTGAAATCTGGTGTACCGTCGTGATTATTGCACTTATGTAGCGACCCCACAGCTGCCAAGAGCGCCACGTTCCGTCTACGTTCGACACCTATCCCCTACCCCAGTACGATGTACCCTGGCACTCCGTGGTGTAGCTGAATTTGGCGTCATAATAAACTCCCCCAATCCCTCATCACACTGACACGTAACGTACATGTTCTGCAGGTGCACGTCTTGCAACCCCGACTGTCTTTCTGGAAGCCGTAAGAACACGTGAGTGCGCCGCAGTCGACCGGATCGCAGTGGACTGGAAAGGAGGACAAAGAGGTGTTCTGTATTATCTGTTATCAAGCGTACATAATACAAACTCAAGCTATGGGATAGTGATGACTTACAATTTCATTTCTAGTTACGAAACTGTTTCATAACAACAAACCAATAAGTTTCTCCGGTCTCCTTTTACCCAATGAGGGATCGGGCGATCGGGCTCGCAGACTTGGTTGATCGTGCCATCGTATTCTAATGCTCATGATATATGTCACTGGTTTGTCTGGTCCAGACTGGATCATTTACAGATCGCCGTCATATAGTCGGAATATTTCTGATTGCAGCGTTGAGCAGCAACACACAATACATACATGCTGTTTCATTTCCATGAGTGTCACTAGCACGTTGTGGACCTATCTGAACACATGTGCCTACCGTACCCGTGAAGATCCTGGGTAGAATAGGTCTTCAGCAACCAATGCTTGCCGTAAGAGGCGACTATGTCTGTCAAATCGACCGCCCGGATTCCTAATGCCCCTTGACCCGTGAAGATCAGGGGTAGTATAGGTCTTCAGCAACCCATGCTTGTCGTAAAAGGCGACTATGCTTGTCGTAAGAGGCGACTAACGGGATCGTGTGGCTCGCTGACTTCGTTGACGCATGTAGATCGATGCTCATGATGTCAGTCACTGGTTTGTCTAGGTCCAGACTCGATTATTTACAGACCACCGTCATATAGCTGGAATATTGCTGAGTGCGGCGGTAAAAAACAAACAAACAAACAAAAACATACACCTACATGTCTGGACACATGTTTCTACCTGTCTGAAAACATGTACCTACCTGTCTGGACACATGTACCTACCTGTCTGAACACATGTACCTACCTGTCTGAACACATGTACCTACCTGTCTGGACACATGTACTTACCTGTCTGAACACATGTACCTACCTGTCTGAACACACGTGTCTACCTGTCTGAACACATGTATCTACCTGTCTAGACATACGTACATACCTGTCTGAACACATGTACCTGTCTAGACATACGTACATACCTAACGTAACACACCGGGCGCCGCACGTATGAGGACAACACCTCTGCCCTGCATCACAGGACCCGTCCCCGAAGCACTGTGGCGAGTACATACACCCATATACCATGCCCGGGGGGTCAGTCGGACACACACCTGCAAGGAACCAACATTAAGGAATCGACTTGACTGACTTGACAGAGTTGTACTCTGCATGTTCACATTTCCCAGCTGTTAATATCGGACAAAAATTCTCTTATCGTTACACTACGCCCCCGTGGGGCTTCCGTGATGGAAGACATCCCTGCTGCATGGTTAATACCCTTAAATAAGGACTGGGTGGTCATAATATATCATAAGTCGGAGTGTGTTGTCATTCCGCGGTGGTGTTATCAATCACTTATACTATCAGGTTGGCAAAAACAGAAGAATTATTGCAGATCGCAGATCATCCTCGCTTATCCAGGGTACTATATTCCCCTTCAATAGTGATGAAAATAGTCTTCCAATCAAATTACACTCATGAGCGAAAGTTCACCTGAAGCGACGTCCTATGGAGGTGTAGAGAGGTATGGTATCGGAGCTATAGATCTGATTTAAATGAAATTGAGGTCACAGTAAGCGACCGTTGCCTGGCTGTATGGCACGGCATGGAACAGACATGCTTAAGCACCATCCTTCTTCATTTACATTTATCATAAACGTCCGTTGGGGCTATGTACAAATCACATTGACCTCATCTGACAAATGTCTGACATACCACCTGCACCGTACAGGAACACAGGATGCTTCTCCAGATGGTTCTACTCAATCATATTGTAGGATGCAAAGAAGCAAAGGGTTGTGTTATAACTATTTCATGGAACAGTTTCAAACCATTCTTTTGATCACTGACTTCAGTAAACAAAAACAAATAATGCTCAAGAAATTAATACTGGATACATATTTTGATATAAGCGACAAAACCCTTCCCATATTCATTAGGAAAACAGGATGTTTCTCCAGATGGTTCTTCTCAATCATATCATAGGATGCAAAGAAGCAAAGGGTTGTGTAATAACTATTTCATGGAACAGTTTCAAACCATTCTTTTGATCACTGATTTCGGTAAACAAAAACAAATAATTTTCGTCAATTAATACTAGATGCATAAATTAATAAAAGAGACAAAATCCTACCCATGTTCATTAGAAATATCTGCCAGTAAGACAGCCGATTGTACGATTTCGATTATATCATGAGCAAATATATATGGTTATTTTAGTTGGAAATATGCAGTAAGCAGTGCGAATATGTTGCTCTGACATATTATACTTTCCAACATTAAACGTTTTCAAGGTCATGGCTCTGCACCGAAAGTAGTCTCCTGGACGTCTTCAAACTCAGCGTCCTGTTTACCAGATGGATGCGACAGCTATCATCACACGCGGGCAAGTCTGTCTACAGACACAGTACAATCGACTCAGTACAACAGACATAGTACAACATATTCAGTACAATAGACTTAGTACAACATACTCAGTACAACAAACATAGTACAACGGACACAGTACAATCGACTCAGTACAACATACTCAGTACAACAGACATAGTACAACATATTCAGTACAATAGACACAGTACAATCGACTCAGTACAACATACTCAGTACAACAGACATAGTACAACATATTCAGTACAATAGACTTAGTACAACATACTCAGTACAACAAACATAGTACAACGGACACAGTACAACATACTCAGTACAACAGACATAGTACAACATATTCAGTACAATAGACTTAGTACAACATACTCAGTACAACAAACATAGTACAACGGACACAGTACAACATACTCAGTACAACAGACACAGTACAACAGACACAGTGCACTAGAGAGCAGATTTACCGACTGACTCGACTATAACGACAGTCGCCACCAGACCTGCTACTAGAAGATGCAACATTGTCCCTGTCTTGTCAACGTGTGTTCTGCTTATGCCACAAGCTGGTTCCTGATTTGCCGACTAATTTCCAATCTTATCTTTGTAGAACTAGGCCATATATTAATACTTGACCTTGACGACGTTGCAGCAGTGATTGTTATTCACCTTGTTTTTAGGCTGAACCATTTAAACATAATATACTGACTTCAAAATCTGTTTCAAAATATAAAAAATAAGTAAAGATATTAACAAATTCATTATCTATTCATGTAAAGAACGAAATAAAATGTTGTTTTCAAAAACATTTTTTATCATTTTCAATAGATCGAATGTAAGATATATCATGTAATAATCCTCAGTTCTTTATAGGTTTGGAAGCACCACTCATGAGAATAAATTGCGCTCTCACGAATATACCTAATATCGAATCTACATGTGTACAGGAACATTGTAATAGTTTCTCTAGGAATCTATCTATGCAATATTTTATTTTGGAACCAATCTTTGTAATATTTTCTCGGTTTCCTAACAATAAAAAGTTCCACTTTATTTGACTTTTAAAGGGCGACGGTCATATGTTTACAAGTACATAGAGGGTGTCCTGCAGGTAATATGTTTAACTTATTTCATGACCTGATAATGTTGACAGTAGTTGACTCGTAGCTACATTCGAAACCAACTCGTGTCTTTCCTGGACCAGAGAATGGCGACTCGTCTCTTCTTGAAGTGAAAAATGGCAATTGGTGACGAATGTCATGGTTGCGCCTCTCATAAAATCTCAACTTTGTCACGTCACTATGTGCTGAACATACACACCAACCTAGGGCCGTGTTACCGTCCACCATTGTACACGAGTCAGGGTTCAACCATCACGTGTTGTACATACACACAAACCTAGGGCCGTGTTACCGTCCATCACTATACAAGAGTCAGGGTTCAACCATGACGTGTTGTACATACACACCAACCTAGGGCCGTGTTACCGTCCACCACTATACACGAGTCAGGGTTCAACCATGACGTGTTGTACATACACACCAACCTAGGGCCGTATTACAACCACTATACAAGAGTCAGGGTTCAACCATCACGTGTTGTACATACACACCAACCTAGGGCGGTGTTACCACCACTATACACGAGTCAGGGTTCAACCATCACGTGTTGTACATACACACCAACCTAGGGCGGTGTTACCACCACTATACACGAGTCAGGGTTCAACCATCACGTGTTGTACATACACACCAACCTAGGGCGGTGTTACCACCACTATACACGAGTCAGGGTTCAACCATCACGTGTTGAACATACACACCAACCTAGGGCCGTGTTACCGTCCACGACTATACACGAGTCAGGGTTCAACCATCACGTGTTGAACATACACACCAACCTAGGGCCGTATTACAACCACTATACAAGAGTCAGGGTTCAACCATGACGTGTTGTACATACACACCAACCTAGGGCGGTGTTACCACCACTATACACGAGTCAGGGTTCAACCATCACGTGTTGTACATACACACCAACCTAGGGCGGTGTTACCACCACTATACACGAGTCAGGGTTCAACCATCACGTGTTGAACATACACACCAACCTAGGGCCGTATTACAACCACTATACAAGAGTCAGGGTTCAACCATGACGTGTTGTACATACACACCAACCTAGGGCGGTGTTACCACCACTATACACGAGTCAGGGTTCAACCATCACGTGTTGTACATACACACCAACCTAGGGCGGTGTTACCACCACTATACACGAGTCAGGGTTCAACCATCACGTGTTGAACATACACACCAACCTAGGGCGGTGTTACCACCACTATACACGAGTCAGGGTTCAACCATGACGTGTTGTACATACACACCAACCTAGGGCCGTGTTACCGTCCATCACTATACACGAGTCAGGGTTCAACCATCACGTGTTGTACATACACACCAACCTAGGGCCGTGTTACCGTCCATCACTATACACGAGTCAGGGTTCAACCATCACGTGTTGTACATACACACCAACCTAGGGCCGTGTTACCACCATTATACAAGAGTCAGGGTTCAACCAAAACGTGTTGTTCATACACACCAACCTAGGGCCGTATTACCACCACTATACAAGAGTCAGGGTTCAACCATGACGTGTTGAACATACACACCAACCTAGGGCCGTGTTACCGTCCATCACTATACACGAGTCAGGGTTCAACCATCACGTGTTGTACATACACACCAACCTAGGGCCGTATTACAACCACTATACAAGAGTCAGGGTTCAACCATGACGTGTTGTACATACACACCAACCTAGGGCGGTGTTACCGTCCACCACTATACAAGAGTCAGGGTTCAACCATGACGTGTTGTACATACACACCAACCTAGGGCCGTGTTACCGTCCACCACTATACACGAGTCAGGGTTCAACCATGACGTGTTGTACATACACACCAACCTAGGGCCGTATTACAACCACTATACAAGAGTCAGGGTTCAACCATCACGTGTTGTACATACACACCAACCTAGGGCCGTATTACCACCACTATACACGAGTCAGGGTTCAACCATCACGTGTTGTACATACACACCAACCTAGGGCGGTGTTACCACCACTATACACGAGTCAGGGTTCAACCATCACGTGTTGTACATACACACCAACCTTGGGCCGTGTTACCGTCCACCACTATACACGAGTCAGGGTTCAACCATCACGTGTTGTACATACACACAAACCTAGGGCCGTGTTACCACCACTATACACGAGTCAGGGTTCAACCATCACGTGTTGTACATACACACCAACCTTGGGCCGTGTTACCGTCCACAACTGTACACGAGTCAGGGTTCAACCATCACGTGTTGTACATACACACCAACCTTGGGCCGTGTTACCGTCCACCACTATACACGAGTCAGGGTTCAACCATCACGTGTTGTACATACACACCAACCTTGGGCCGTGTTACCGTCCACCACTATACACGAGTCAGGGTTCAACCATCACGTGTTGTACATACACACCAACCTTGGGCCGTGTTACCGTCCATCACTATACACGAGTCAGGGTTCAACCATGACGTGTTGAACATACACACCAACCTAGGGCCGTGTTACCGTCCACAACTGTACACGAGTCAGGGTTCAACCATGGCGTGTAGTAGATACACACCAACCTAGGGCCGTTTTACCGTCAACCAATATACAGGTGTCAGGGTTCAACCTTGGCGTGTAGTAGATACACACCAACCTAGGGCCGTTTTACCGTCAACCAATATACACGAGGGAAGATTCAAACATGATGGGGTGTACATACTGTCGAATCTGGAGCAGGCAAACCAGTGAATGTTGGTGCGATCAATGCCGTGAGTGGACGATGACACCCTCGTGCTTGGAATACACGGACGGCCAAAAAAAACTTTCAAAAACCGTGTTCGATTGATTATATCAGACTAGGCCTGGGACGAGTCCAAATTTACTTACCCGGGTACCCAACCCCCTATTATCCGACCCTACCCGGGTACCCACTGTAGGTATCAAGAGATATAAAATGTCCGATTTGGATTTTTTTTACCACAGTCAAAAACGTATTAAGATACATGTATTTAACGATCTGGTCATGAATACACTGAAGTTGACTTAAGTTTTGTCTTTATTCAACCATATGAAAAGTCAGAAGAAATGGGTGCATAGTCAGAAAGACATGCGAACATAAGTGACTTGTAGTGTAACCATAGAGTTCTGGATAATGTTTGTCATTAAACTATATATCACATGACTAACCAGGGTAGTCCTGTGGGTACCCAGGTCCTACTCAGTAGCCACCCGACCCGGGTACCCGAGTTACCCGTCCCAGCCCTAAATCAGACAGTAACTTTTACCATTTATCATATGTACGGGAGGGCCAAATAATCAAAAGCGCAGCTTTTGGAGTTGCAGAGATGCATTCCTGCTAGTGTAGGGTTCGAATCCCAAAGACCCGCTATTATGATCGGCAATCCAATGCGCGTGGGCTTCAGTGAAGTGGTTCAAGTCAACTATGTGCATCACTTCGTCAATAACTCACACCGTCAGGTATAATGACACAGAATTACCAATGCCTGCAGCCAGACAACCTGATACATGTTGTTGCCCACTTATGACAAACATGGGTTACTGATTGGTATTCTATAATTGGAAACAACAGTACATAGTTATCGAGTTATTTCAAGTTAACACCATGGAATGTCTACATTCATAGAGTGGACAGAGAGTCTCGATGGTCGTGTGCGCGCCAGTGATGCCTCTATCCAATAGTTCCAGTCAGTAGACACTGCGCCTGTAAGGAACAGAAAGAAGGATGAATGAAGGAGATACCTTCCCTCTACTACAAAGTAACATGCTTATGGCTTGAATGAAAGAAGATTATATAAGAGCCAGAGCAAGTCAAATTCTTTCTTTTGTGGGTACATGTGTTTCTTTGTGATCTTGGTGCCATGTTTTGCTGTACGGAGTTGTGTGCCTTAGCTCTGCTGGGATGTGCTGACCATGGGTTCTGATCCTATATTTTCACTGATTATGACCCTTGGATTGTAGGTACCATAAAGAGTTCGTGAGTCGTCAATATGATGACCTCTACGATCACTTTGACTTTCCTTGACATAAACCTGACACCCATGATAAAACTGAAATACTGATCATAGAGGTGTTAAGTCAACTTCCATCATTTATTACACTGTACCAGACGTGTGTTGAATGTGTTGAATGCCAGATATGAAATAGGTACTTACACCAGTGCAAGGTTTGGCTGAAAGATACAAGACCACGGTTAATCACGCAGTACTCCAAATGTCATGTGCATTAAATAACCATTTAATCATCTCTTCTGGAAATGACCTGACAGTAACTAACCTTGGAGGAACATCCCAATACTTGGATCTTTACAGCTGAGGTCTGGAGTAATGTTGTTATTCTGAAGGTCTTAATGAATGTAAGAGTAGCTATCTTTGGTGTGAGGTGAAATCTTGTGTAACATCGTGATTATTGCACTTATGTACCCCACAGCTGCCAAGAGCGCCACGTTCGGTCTACGTTCGACACCTATCCCCTACCCCAATACAATGTACCCTGGCACTCCGTGGTGTAACTGAATTTGGCCTTATAATAAACTCCCCCAATCCATCATCACACTGAAACGTAACGTACATGTTCTGCAGGTGCACGTCTTGCAACCCCGACTGTCTTTCTGGAAGCCGTAAGAACACGTGACTGCACCGCAGTCGACCGGATCGCAGTGGACTGGAAAGGAGGACAAAGAGTTGTTCTGTAGTGTCTGTTCTCAAGCGTACATAACACAAGCTTGTTCTCACACTGTTTCATGGCAACATACCAATATGTTTCTCCAACTTACATAGCCCCGTGGGGTTTCCGGGGTAGAACCGGCCCCCACTCACTCCCTGATGGATCGGTCGTCCAGACATGGTTGATCGTGCCATCGTATCCTAATGTTCATGATATCAATCACTGGTTTTTCTGGTCCAAACTGGATCATTTTCAGACTCGTAGTTGGAATATTTCTGATTGTTGCGTTAAGCAACAACACACAATATATGCATGCTATTTCATTCTCATGAGTGTCACTAGCACTTTGTGGACCTGTCTGAACCCATGTGCTTACCTGCCCGAACCCATGTACCTGCCTGCTGACCGTCTCCGTGGTCTAGTGGTAGAGCGTCCGCCCGGAGAGCGGAAGGTCAGGGGTTCGATCTCCGGCCGCGTCATACTAAAATACGTTAAAAGATGGTACTTGTTGTTACCCTGTCTTGCGCTCGGCATTAAGGGGCTAAAACAAGGACTGGTCAGCTCTGAGTCAGTATACTGTGTCTGAGTTGAGTTGAGTTAAACTGCGGCATGGTATCTCAGTGAGCTAGTACTATAAATCGACATCAGTCCGGACTAGTACAAGCAGCCACACACACACACACACACACACACATACACACACACACACACACACACACACACACACACACACACACACACACACACACACACACACACACACACACGTATCTACCTGTCTGAAGTCACGTACCTACCTGTCTGGACACATGTACCTACCTGTCTGAACACACGTACCTACCTGTCTGGACACATGCACCTACCTGTCTGGACACATTATCTACCTGTCTGGACACATGTACCTACCTGTCTGAACACACGTACCTACCTGTCTGGACACATGCACCTACCTGTCTGGACACATGTACCTACCTGTCTGGACTCATGCACCTACCTGTCTGGACACATGTACCTACCTGTCTGAACACATTATCTACCTGTCTGGACACACGTACCTACCTGTCTGGACACATGCACCTACCTGTCTGGACTCATGCACCTACCTGTCTGGACACATGCACCTACCTGTCTGGACACATGTACCTACCTGTCTGGACACATGTACCTACCTAACGTAGCACATCGGGCGCCGCACGTGTGAGGACAACACCCCTGCCCTACCCCACAGGACGCGTCCCCGGAGCACTTGGGCACGGGCAGACACGCATACATCATGCGAGGGGGTTCAGTCGGACACACATCTGGAAGGAGCCAAATTAACGAATTTTGGGTCTGACTAGACTGATTCACCGCGACTTGTACTCAAGGCGTTAATAAAATGTCTCTTATCGTTACATTACGACCTCTATTGGGGATTCCGTGATGAAAGATATCCCTACTGCATGGTCAAGCCCCGTAAATAAGGAATGGGTTGTCAGGACATATCATCAGTCGGACTTTGTGTTTTCAATCACTGGTTTCCCTGGGGTTTTTTAGGTGGGCAAAAACAGTGGAAATATAGTTATCCAGGGTACTATAACCCCCTACTATTGTGATAAAAACTCTTAAACGATTAGCTTTACAACAGCGTCGTTTTGAGCCCGAATCAGATTGCATGACGATAGAAATAGCCTTCCAATCAAATTACACTCATGAGCGAGGGATAATCTGTGGTAAGAGAAATTGTGATGGTGACGTCACTTCAGAATAGAAACTATTGTGGCCAAAGGGTCCAGGGTTTGTAATATGATAGCATGGAGACATAAAACCCGAGGTAAGCGAGGTAGGACATTCACCGACTCGCGATCTCATCTTGGATCGAACCGTCGATCATATGTAATCATCAAATCAAGAAGGTCATTTCAAGTGAGCCGCCTGTAAGAACGCAGCATTAAAATTCTGTGTTCATTGAGAACAGTGTACAGAAGATCGATTTAACCACTGTTCAGGCATCGGTTATTCTGGCAAGACTGCCTGCCTACCTTAGTTCGCGATTGATAACAGTGAACCAGTTCTTGAGCACAATGCCCTTAAGAACATGTCAACGTGAATATAAATTTTACAGGGCTTGTGTCGGGTAAATCGACAGTCCTTGCAAGTTTGAGTAAGGTCAAGCAACACTTTAACCGGCTGGTGATTCAAAGTTGTAGTCTAGATCGATTCTCCAATCAGTGATTACCCTAATTAAATGGAGACAAATGTTCCATGTCATGCAAGATTTATAGTGTTTTGAACTGCAATGAAATGGGCTTCAGGCTGCGGAGCCCCGTTTTACATGGGCAGTACAGATACAAAATGCTTCCATACTTTGCCATCTTCGAAGGTACCCTTTGGGTTTTGATATAATTCCCCTAGATACGACAGGGTGAATGGAACATTAACAACGATATAATGCCGTCATTTTTATCGTCTACATACCGAAACAGCCGACTAACTTCGTTTTCGAAAAAAACCCACCAGAAGTCAGAGTTCACTAGTACCGGTAATTTAGAAGCTAATTAGAACGTTCACCTGAAGCGACGTGAAATCCACGTGCAGCCTGCCTTGCTCGTGGCGGGGTATAAGAGATTTATTCGCCGGATGAGAAATTTATTCCCCTCTAAGGCGGGATACATCGTATTTTATTAAGATCACATGGATATCATCATTCAGACATCGAGCATTCTTCATTTACATTTATCATATCTTTTGGAGCGATGTACAAATCACAATGACCTCATCTGACAAATGTCGAACATATCACCTACACGGACAAGAAAACTGGATGTTTCTCCAAATGGTTCTACACAATCACAGAATGCAAGGAAGCAAAGGGTAGTCAAATAACTATTTCCATGGAACAGTTTCAAACAATTCTTTTGATAATTGACGTCAGTAAACAAAACAAATAATGCTCAAGAAATTAATACTGGATACATATTTTAATAAAAGCGACAAAACCCTTCCCATATTCATTAGAAATCTCTGCCAGTAAGAGAATCGATGGTACGATTTCGATAATACCATGAGCAGTTAAATATGGTCATTTTGTATGGAAATATGCAGTAAACGGTCACATTACAATAGACATAGTACAGCATACGCAGTACAATAAACACATTACAATATAAACAGAACAACAGACTGAGTACAACAGAGAGCAGAATTACCGTCTGACTCGACTATAACGACAGTCGCCACCAGACCTGCTACGAGAAGATGCAACATTGTCCCTGTCTTGTCAACGTGTGTTCTGCTTATGCCACAAGCTGGTTCCTGATTTGCCGACTTGTTTCCAATCTTATCTACGTGCAACTAGACGAAGTATTAAGGCTTGACCTTGACGACGTTGCAGTAATAAATATCATTGTCCTTGTTTTTTGGATTTAACCCATTAAAAAAATACTCGTTTCCAATAATAAAATATAAGTATAGATATTAACAAATTCAAATCATCTTTTCCTGTAAATAACGAAATGAAAATATGAAAAATATTTATTAATTTTGCAATTGATCGAATTTACGATATAGCATGTAATAATCATTAGTTGTTGGTAGATTTGGAAGCATCCTTCAATCATGAGAATAAGTTGCTCTCTCACGAATATACCCAATATCGAATATACATATGTTATCTACAGGAACATTCTATGTAATAGTTTCTCTGGGAATCTATTTGTGTAATATTTCCTCCTCTAGGAACCAATCTAGGCAATATTTTCTCTTGGAACTATCCTTCTGACTATTTCTCTAGGAACCAATCTTTGTAATATTTTCTCGGTTTCCAAACAAAAATATTTTTATTTTTATTTGACTGTTTAAGAGCGAAGGTCATATCTTTACAAGTACATAGAGGGTGTCTTGTCAGGTAATATGTTTAATTTATCTCATGACCTCGTGGCTACATTCTACAATCATTCCGGGACGAGCGAATGGCGACTGATCTCTTGTTAGGGTACGGAAAGTCGCGTGACGAATGTCATGGTTACGCCGCTCCATTCGTCACCACTCGCCTCTTTCCGTAACCTGCAAGCTTGTCCCGGAATAACACGAGTTGGTCACGAATGACGCCGCTCATGAAATCTCCACTTTACTACGTCACTACCTGCTGTACATACACACCAATCCAGAGCCGTGTTACACTTCACCAATATACAGGTGTGAGGGTGAGGGTTCAACCATGGCGTGTTGTTCAAAGACGCTGACCTAGTTTGGCGTAAACAGGGTTTCTTCTTTCAGAATGCTGTTTTTAAATACGGTTTGGGCCATGTCTGGCTTGCACAAGATGTATGTGACAGAAGGGTATTTCTGAATATTTTTTAACAAAGGTGTAAAGGTACATATAAACCAGAATGGTTCATGGGTATTCGAGAATCAATTGCGTACATTAAAATTCTGAATTCAAAAGTTCTATTGCATCTGAGACTTATCTTATCTAATATGTAAATAAAACAGTGCATCTTCGTCGAATCGTACCGAAATATAAGTGTAATGTACATACTTTTAACATTAGCGCAGCTACATTTTTTTAATAAAAACAAATCCTGTCCATTATGTGACCGCCAAATGAGTGAGTGAGTGACTTACAATTTAACGTCACATCGACAATATTTCAGCCATATCGTGAAAAGAAGTTATACATTAATAATACCCACCCAAATGAAGATTAATATCACGTACTATTAATATGCCCAGAACACATCATGTGAGATACTGTTCCTTCCAGGATATGACACACTCGTCTGGCGCCGTGTTTCCGGGGTTCTATCATGACGTGTTGTACATTATTGCCATACACACCAAACTAGGGCCGTGTTACCGTCAACCAATATCACCTGATATATGTAGTTGTCTCTTATCACAAGCATGGGTTACTGGTGCGTATTATAAACTCGGAAACAAGAGTAAATAGTTGTCGATTTATTTCTAGTTCACAGCATGGGATGTCTACATGCATAGAGTTGACAGATAGGCGTGCTGGTCGTGTCCTGCAAGTGATGTCCCTATCCCAGAGCTTCATTCAGCCTACACAGCAACTGAAGAGGACAGAAAAAGAGATGAATGATGAGGATGCCTTCTCACAACAGCAAAGTAACATGCTTATGGCTTACTCTGTGTTTGTGTGTTTGTGCGTGCGTGTGATGTGCGTACGTATGTGTGTGGTGATGATTGTTGTTGTTGTTGTTGTTGTTTTACGCCACAACCAGCAATATTCCATACATGTGACGACGGCCTGTTTATAATCGAGTCTGGACCAGACAATCCAGTGATCAGGGTACAAAGATACGCAGATAATGCACATACAGAGTTGTGTCCCTTAGTACTGCTGATCATGGGTTCGGATCCCAGTTTTAGACTGATTATGACCCTCGGTTTGTTGTTTCTTTGTGGTCTTCGTGCCACAATTTGCTGTACGGAGTTGTCCCTTAGCTCTGCTGGCACGTGCTGATCATGGGTTCGGATCCTAAATTTGTACTGAGTATGACCACCAATATGATGACCTCTACGGTCTGCATCGCTTTTTCATTCCTCGACATGAACCTGAACCCCATGATAAAACTAAAATACTGATCAAAGAGGTGTTGGGTCAACTTCCTTCTTGTATTACACTAGAAGTGTCTAGACTGTGTTGGATACCAGATATGAAATAGGTACTTACGGTAGTGCAAGGTTTGGCTGAAAGATACAAGAACAAGTTTAATCACTCAGAACAACTCCATATGTTATGTTCAGTAAATAACCATCTCGCCTGGAAATACCATACACGTGGAGGAACACCCCAATACTTCACTACAGCTGTGGTCTGGGCTTATTGTATGTTCTAAAGGTTTCTGTGAAAGATGAGAGAAGCTATCTCCTTTGAAGCACGTGTGTACGTGTGTGTGTGTGTGTGTGTGTGTGTGTGTGTGTCTTTGCGTACGTGTGTGTGTGTGCGTGCGTGCGTACGTGTGTGTGTGTGTGTGTGTGTGTGTGTGTGTGTGTGTGTGTGTGTGTGTGTGTGTGTGTGTGTGTGTGTGTGTGTGTGTGTGTGTGTGTGCCCTTGTTTTATCCCCTTATGGACGAGAGCCTGGTAATGAAACAGAAAAGACGATCTTTTAAAGTCTTTTGGTATCAACTTGACCACGTGAACATAAGGTACCAAGCCCGCCCCCACCCCCAACCAAACCTTTAAAACAGAAACCCCTCATCACATTGGAACGTAACGTACATGTTCTGCAGGTGCACGTCTGACAACCCCGACTGTCTGTCTGGAAGCCGAAGGAACACGTGACTGCACCGCAGTCGATCGGATCGCAGTGGACTGGAAAGGAGGACAAAGGGATGTTCTATGTCATTTTTTCACAAACGTAACCAAATACAAACTTAATACAGGGTATTGATGACCTCCTGTTTCATTTCTTGTTCTGAAATCATACCACTGTCTCATGACCACGTGCCATTGCGTTTGTGTTTGTGAACACATGTACCTATCTGTGTGAACACATGTACCTACCTCTCTGGATACATGTACCGCCTATCTGGACACATATACCTGGAGACAAGCGCTTACATATCTGGACATCTGTACCAACTTGTCTGAACACATGTACCTACCTGTTTGGACATATGTACCTACCAATCGTAACACACCGGGCGCCGCACGTGTGAGGACAACATCTCCGCCCTGCCCCACAGGACGCGTCCCCGAAACACCTGGGCATGGGTGCACACGCATATATCGTGCCCGGGGGGTCAGTCGGACACACACCTGGAAACAGCAACATAGATGAAACAGTGCTATGAATGGAAGGTTAGCCCGGCGACGCCCAGTTCCAGGGCTTTTTGGAAATATAACATTGATACCACCAATACAAGAACACTTTGTTTCGCCAGATGGTCGCAAGTACAAGGCCACATCATAAGATGCAAGTAAGCAAAGAAAGCCATTGCCAGGGTGATCAAATAACTGTTGCCATGCAATTTTGTTTCCTTTTTTCAATATAAGTATGTTACTTTGTTAACAAAAACACATATGTTTTGTCAGTAAATAAACATAGGATATGACTAGAGTGAGTGAGTGAGAAGTTTTTACGCCGCTTTTGGAAATATTACAGCAATTCACGGCGGGGGACACCAGAAATGGGCTTCACACACATTGTACCCATGTCGGGAATCGAACCCGGGTCTTCGGCGTGACGAGCGAACGCTTTAACCACTAGGCTACCCGACCGCCCCGATATGCATAGAAACAATGGCACGTATTTGTAAACGTACAGTGGTGCTTAACTATTTTCTAGGAGAATATACCCTTAAACTTGTTTTTTTAAAATAGCTGTGCATGTTATTAAATCGTGCAAATATGAATCAACCGTTCCGTGTTTTCGTTTTAAGATACCAATACATTACAACATTGAAAGTGTTCAACCTCATGGATCTGTACCGGAAGTAGTCACAAACGTCTGGACGTCTACCAGGGGGATTCGACAAGATACAGAAGAACAGAAGAACAGCAGACACAGAAGAATTACCGGCTGACTCGACTATAACGACTGTCGCCACAAGACCTGTTATTAGAAGATGCAACATTCTCCCTGTCTTGTCAACGTGTCGTGGACTTGTGTCACAAGCTGCGTCTGATCAGCTGACTCGCTTCCAATCTTATCTGTGTGGAACTAGGCTTTATTCATACAGGACCATGGCACTGTCTCTGTAATAATGGTCTCTCCCTTTTAGTTTAGAATTTATCATATTTTGAAATTTATCAACTTCAACATATGTTTCAAATCATAAACAATTGTATAAATATTAACAAATGTTAATTATCTATTCGTGTCAGGAATATAAAAATATATTTTATTTAATATCTTGTTGTTAACAAGCTTTAGTTATTGCTAATGAATACGATCAATCATTCATCAGAATAAGAGTCACTCCCACGAATAAACCTAACATCGAAGTTATGCATGATATTATCTGTAGGTCATTGTGATGTCTTAACAAATATACCTGTCAAATAATGCGTGTATCTTATCTTAAAGTTGACAGATTTAACTCACGGGTGTCCGACTGACATAAACTTTGAAAGGTCACTCGATGAAATCAAAATGTGTTTCTGCCTGAGATACTGTACTACCGGGCAAAAGAAAATGTACACTTTAAAATTCGATTTGACCCAAAGCGTTACAAACGTTATCAAAAGTTTCGAGGTTGAAAAAACACTGCAAACTCTTTAGACTCAAAAGACAACACTGATACACCACCATCGAATGACTCTTTCTTGTCAACATGGTGCATACTTTATTGTGCCTGTCTGTTTACCAAGCTAGGGCCGTGCTACGGTCCACCAACAGACAGGAGGAAGGACAATCACGGCGGGCTGTGCGTACATTTGGAGCAGACCAACCAGTCACTGAGCGTGCACTTCATATCGTCAGGGAACGATGACACACTAAATCAGCCAGGCCAGAATGTGGCGACCCTTCCAAATACACTGTCCGCTGTAAATAAACAGACGGCAAAGGGAGGGCTAAATAGTCAAAAGCGTCGCCTGTCGAAGTACAGAGATGCACAACTTTTAGCTGTTGGTTTCGGGTTTGAATCCACGATGACCCGCTTTTAGGATAGTCAATCCAATACACTGGTTGACGTCAACTGACTGCGTCACTTCCGGATGTCCATCCATATTAAACGGGCCCGCCTGCACTATATACCAATAACCCACACTGTCGGTATGACATAGAATTAACTATGCCTGCAGTCAGGCCACCTGGACAGTGTAATTGTCTCTTATGACAAGCATACTATTCCAGCCCGGGAACAAGAGCAAACAGTTCTCGATTTATTTCCAGTCCACAATATGGAATGTCCGCGAAATGAGTGGACAGAGAGGCTCGATGGTCGTGTGCGCGCCAGTGATGGCCCTATCCCAGATTTCCAGTCAGTAGACACTGCAACTGTAAGGAACAGAAAGAAGGATGAATGAAGGAGAAGCCTTCCCTCTACATCAAAGTAACATACTTACAGCCTAATGAAAGAAAAACTATATAAGAGTACGTTTTGTCAAATTCTTTCTTTTGTGGGGACATGTGTGTCTTTGTGGTCTTGGTGCCAGGTTTTGCTGTACGGAGTTGTGTCCCTTAGCTATGCTGGGATGTGCTGATCATGGGTTCTGATCCAATAGTAGATATATGGTTCTGATTATGACCCTTCATTTTATAGGCACCATAGAGAGGTCAAATTCTTTCTCTTGTGGGGACATGTGTCTTTGTGGTCTTGATGCGAAGTTTTGCTGTACGGAGTTGTGTCCCTTAGCTATGCTGGGATGTGCTGATCATGGGTTCTGATCCAATAGTAGATATATGGTTCTGATTATGACCCTTCATTTTATAGGCACCATAGAGAGGTCAACAAGAGACTTCCTCCAGCAGAATGGCATCAGAACCATGCAGTGGCCTGCCCTCAGTCACGATTTAAATCCCATTGAGCACCCGTGGGACGAGATTCAAAGACGGCTGAATGACGTCCGACCAAGGCCGACAACTGCAGCTGAACTGCGTCATGCATTCCTCAGAGGTGAGGTGAGGTGAAATGGGGTTTAACGTCGCGTCCAAGATTATTGCACTTTTATAGCGACGTGCATGTACGTGTGTGTGTTTGTGTGGCTGCTTGTACTAGTCCGGACTGTTGCCGATTTATAGTGCTAGCTCACTGAGATACCATGCCGCAGTTTAACATGAATACCCCATTCAGACACAGTATACTGACTCCGAGCCGACCAGTCCTTGTTTTAGCCCCTTAATGCCGAGCGCCAGACAGGGTAACAACAAGTACCATCTTTTAACGTCTTTTGGTATGACGCGGTCGGGCATTCCTCAGAGTGTGGGCTCAAGTGCCTATGGCCTTCATCAACCGCCTCATCCATTCCATGTGTCGACGTTGCACGGCAGTCATCAATGCACATGACGGACACACGAGATACTGACTTGTGATGCCATTTTCTCAGAGACTAGTGTTGTATTTCACTTTAACAACATTTGACACTTTAGTTTCAACCTTGATGATCAGTTTTGCCACGTTTCATCTTTTTAATATGTCTCAAAGTATGTTTACGGTGTTTAGACAAGTAAAGTTTCTCATATATGTATTCATGGTGATGTTTCTTTTGCGGTTCAGTATATAATACCCTGGATAATCGAGGATCATTGCTCATTGTGGACGGCCTCGACGTTGTGCATAGGTAACATTTTAACCACCTCCTAGGAATCGGTAATCCTGGAAAGGCGTTCTTCTTACCACTTTTTGACCACAATACCTTTAAGAACATGTCAACGTGGATGTAAATTAACACCGCCACTTGTAAATGACTAGGTAAAAAAAGGTAAAAAAAGCAGTCCTTACAAGTTTGAATCGTGTCAATCAAATTACCCATCTACTAACTCAAGTTGGTATTCAGATCTGTTTTCCAATAAACGAATACCATTATATGATAGAAACAAAGCTTCAGTGCCATACAAACAACAAAACAACGTGAATGTCATCCCCTGGCCGGCTCGCTCCTCTGATCTCTCACCAATCGAGCACATGTGGGATGAGATGGATCGGCGCCTTCGACGTCAACCACGTGTTCCACAGACACTCCAGGGACTTCGGGGGCGGTCGGGTAGCCTAGTGGTTAAAACGTTCGCTCGTCACGCCAAAGACCCGGGTTCGATTCCCATTTCTGGTGTCCCCCGCCGTGATATTGCTGGAATATTGCTAAAAGCGGCGTTAAACCATACTCACTCACTCACTCACTCACTCATTCCAGGGACTTCGAAACATGCTCCAGCAGATATGGACAGATATCACACAGGACTTTGTGCGACGCCTGGTCCATTACATGAGACGAAGATGTGTTGCTTGCATCGCTACCAGAGGTGGACACACACGCTATTGATTTGTAAATTGACATTTTGGCATGTTTATGTTTTTTTTAATGAAATCACGCATTTTCTGAAGTCAGTATGGCAAATTAAACCATTTGAACACTTACAGGGGTCTTTTATCTGTTGCAAACCGAAATTGTTTCAGATTTGGTAAAAAACACAACTTTGCATGAAATCTTATTCAAAGTCACAGGGACTTTTGTTGTTCAGTATATGTTCTTTTAGATGTCTCGTTGTTATTATTATTTTATTGCAGATTAGTAGTATTATTCGTCCAACAGGTTCACTCAAACGAATAAACTCAACATCGAATTTATAAATGATGTTTTCTATAGGAACCATTTTATGTATTATTTAATATTATCTTTGTCGATAATCATATTCAATTGTATAGCGAAGGTCAGTCACAGTATGTCATGTCAAATAATGCGTTTTTCTTAAAGCTGACACAGAAGTAGCCATGCCTGTAGCCAGACCATCTGATCCATTGAGTTACATCTTATGACAAGCATTGGTCAATAACTGCGTCACTTCCAGCTGTCCATCCATATTAACCGGACATACCGTAATTTAGCATTACAATTCTGTTCAATCGTTAACACCAGATCGCCCTGTCTTCTTTAAAGAATTGTGTGAGTTGGAGTGTATTTTCCCCCACTTTCCGTGAAAGCATGCCGGGTTGGATATCATTGCTCATTTCGTGTTTACTTTAAATGTGACAAATACTTACGATGAGTAAATGTTAGGAAATTTATAACGTCAGTATCACAGTTTCAATGTTGCTACTGTGATTTGTCGATTATAGAGGCAACTTAGATAACAAGGAATATGTATGCAAATATTGTGAAAGAAGAAGTATTGAAGATGAATGTCATGTCTTGTTTATTTGTGATTACCTAAATAACTGCGAATGCCTTTAGTTATGTTCCAAACAAATATTTTGAATGTCCATCAAAAAGCAACGTTTATATTCTAAGGTCAACAAGTCACCACAATTTATTGCATCACTTGGCTTTGTTCATCAATCATACATTGCAAAAAGAAAGCTTGTCACACAACCCATGACATGAAATGATGTAACTATTGTACTATGGACCGTGTTCTTGAAGGCATGGAAATACAGAGAGACAACATTGATACCAGTGCTTACAGAGACTCCTTCGACGGAAATCATACTTGTTTATTCCATAAAAGAATTTATTTAAAAAAAGTAAGTTTCCAAGTCCATATACACGCTGTAAACGCGAATTTCCTACATACAGTCTATAAAATTACACAGCTAAACACAAGTTGACGCTTACAGCGTTAAAGAATCCTTTCAGTGAAACACCTCTAGTCAAGACCCGATTACTCCGGACACCTGATGTTCAGGACAACTGTTGGGAGCGTCTATACATGTACAAACAGACTTTACTACGAACCCGTGACTCGATAAAGCGACATGTGTTCATCCCATTCAATGGGACTAGTACTTTCCGGATAAACCGTGTTTCATTGTTTAATACAAAACATATTACCAGAAGGCCCATAACTGATCTTCTTGCACTTGTGTTATTTCAATGCTCCGGGTCATGTAGGCACATATTAATTGTGTTAAAGGAAATTAACAATTAAGCGACAATTATATAACAAACAGAATTGAATTGATCGGACGTTAACGAATGTTTGAACTTTTGATTGGAAGGTATTTGACGTGACACTTTGTGACTCTGTCTGGAGCCAACTGGAGACTGTATAAACCTCTCTGCCCATACCGTCCGCCTAATCGCCTCATCCAAGTTACTTCCAATAGAGCTTTGTACGGGGAAAGTTGTCCATCGCTATCAACTATCAGAGCTAATTCACTGTTAAGTGTTGGCTTTCATTTGTCCATTGCTTATCACCTATCAGCGCCAATTATCTGTTGGCTTCCTGTTAAGTTTCCACCTTTGTTATCTTGTCACTTTTGTTGTTCTTACAGGTACATATATATATGTTCTCTGCCTCATAGCCTTTATTCACATGATGAAGGAGTAAATATATACTCCGAAACGTTGTGCTCCTCATCTTAAAGAAGTTGACATCCACAAATTCTCTTCCTCGTGTGTATCACTTCTAAATGTCTTTCAAAGACTTGAGCTAGGTATGGGTCTATCAACACGAAAGACGAAGGTGTTTCAAAATATTTTGCAAATTAATGACCCAATTTCTTCAGAAAATTACAAAAATGAAAGAAATAACTATAATGGTATGTGAAGATTTAGAAAAACAAGATTACACAAACATACAACGTGATACACTTGAAAGCTCTTTTACTGATGCAAAATGCTTTTGGTGAACTCTGAAGAACTTAAACAGAGAGACATAGACACATGGCATGAAGTGTTTGCATTCGATAACAAAGAAGATATAAAAGCGGCTGAAGAGTCACAATATGATCAGAGTTGTATTTTGAATGATCTTTTTGATACTGATATATCAGGGGAAGGCGTTATTGAATGCACTGCTAGTTTAAAGAATAATAAGTCACCTGGACTTAATTCTATTTTTGAAAATTCAACATATCCTAAAAATTGGTCACTTGGTGTAATTATCCCCTTCATAAACTAGGTTCAGGTAATGATACAAATAACTACCAAGGTATCACATCACTTAGTATTTTAGCAAACCTTTCCCGCATATCATTAATAAAAGACTTGTGTTTTGGGCTGATTCTCATGCTAAAATAGTAGAATCCCAGAGAAGGTTTCACTACTGCAGATAATATTTTCGTTCTGCATTCGTTAATTCAACGAAATCATTCAAAAAAAGAGAGATAGTTGTGGTTTATACTTAAGAATCGTGGCCTATAAAATCTCATAATTATTGTCACGTATCTATGAAGACGTAAAAGCTTTGGTACGATGCAACGGTAATTTCAGAAAATACATTTGAATGCATAAAAGGAGTAAGACAAGGATGAATATTAAGCCCTTTCCTGTTTTTTGGTTTATTAACGAATTAGTCATGAAAATAGAAGATAAATGCCAAGGTGGTATACAATTACATCCCGATATTGTACAAATAGTTTTACTGCTATTTGCTGATGATATTGTAATTATTTCCAGCACCATAACTGGATAACATAAAATTAATGTATTAGAACAGTTTTATTAAAAGTCATGTCTAACGGTCAACATGGGAAAAACTAAGGTAATTGTTTTTAAAAACGGATGGTAAATTATAAAAACGGGGAAAGTGGTTTTATAAAGGCAAAGTAATAGATGTTGCTACTAAATACAAATATCTGGCTGTCTATTTCTCCAGGAAACTGTCATGGAACTTCCATTCAACACAAGCTGCCATCCAGGCAAAGATTTCTTTGGCATTATAAAAAAAATCTCTGAAACATGGGTGTTGTAAACTTTAATGTTTTTCTTAACATCATCGATACAAAAATGAATCCTATTTTGTTGTATGCGGCTGCGAAGTCAGATCTTATTAAAAGAGTACACGCCTATGCATGTAAATGATTTTGGGGAGTTAAGATCAATTTACGAAATACAGTTGTGTACAGTAAACGAACTCAAAGAGACTACTAATTTGTAGTTCGTTATAACCGTAGTTCGTTTTAAGTACATATACAGCATGACTACAGCGAGTAGTCGGGACCAAAAAGTAAGTTCGTTATATCCGTCAGTTCGTTATAAGCGTGTTCGTTATAACCGTAGTTTACTGTATAGTGAAAGTGGTAGATTTCCATCATTATATATGCACGGATTAAAGTCATAAAGTATTGGATAAAAGTTTTAAATATGCCTTCTCATAGATATCCAGAAGATGCAATAACGTTATTGTATGATAGTTCTGAAAGCGTAAATTGGGTCTCAACTGTTATGAAAACTATTAATGAAATTGGTATTGGCAATGCATGGCAAAGTCAGAAGCTAGAATGCCCTGAACATTTTATAAACATTGTCAATCAAAGACTAAAGGATTTGTATATGAAGAAATGGAACTCGGCACTATTATTATCACCAAAATATAAATTTTATCTAATGTGTGAAACTGAAGAATGTCTTTTGGAACCTCTTTTGCAAAAGTTGGAATATCTTTTTCTCGAATAAGATGTTCATAGCATATTCTTAACATTGAACAGGGTAGACACACACACACACACACACACACACACACACACACACACATGCTAAAAGTACATAGAGTTTGTTAAATGTGCAATAAGCAGGAAGTAGAAGATGAGTACAATCTTCTCTTTTTGTATCCAGTATATGATCACTGAATATGAATTGTCCCTATGTCTTCCGTAAATATCAACGTATTGAAGCGTGTGACATCCCATGTATTTCATGCATTGAATTAGAGAACATTGTATGTTAAAGATTAATTACACTATCCATGCAATTTGTACTGAAGGCCTGTGGCCTTTCGGTATATGTGTAAATAAAGCTATTGAATAGCTGTTGGCCAGTTATCAATATAAGTTACCATCAATGCGAGCTACACTAATGCCAGCATAGTCCATAGATATGACAAAAGAATGTTATGTTTATAATTTACTTTATTTTATTATCCATTAGAAAAGGACTAGAAAACGTTAAAGCGGTAATCTAATAAAACATATCTCACTAAAATCACAAAGTGAGATATGTCTGCTGAATATAGAATGTAGCAGATTTGACATTGTGCCTAATACTTCAGCCAAATCTACACTGTAGAATAGTAGAGACTCTTAAATTATCGTAATAATACTATAATAGTTTACATATACTGCAGTATCATCACAACAGTATTGCGATATGCATGGATAGTCGCCTCTACTAACTAATACTAACACAATGCTCTAAAAGAGTCAATACGAGGGCTGGTCAAAAAGTTCTAAGCCTAACCAACTATGATCCTGAGTCAAAAGGTCAATCCATGGAGTGGCACCATTCCACTTCTCCGTCACCAAAGAAATTCAAGCCAATGAAGAAAGTTTGGCCAATGTATTCAGGGACACAAAGGGTGTGATCCTTGGTGACTACTTGTACTTAGAAAGCCAAAAGACGATTACCGGTGTCTACTATGCTGATTTGCTTCATCGCCCCAGAGACTCCATCAAAGAAAAGCGGCGAGGAATGATGACTGCCGACACTTTCACAAATGTTGGTTTTGTTTGGCTTAGAACTTTTTTTACCAGCCCTCGTAATACATAGGAGGAACCCGTGGAGGATATCGACCCACAGTATGTAAAATCTAAATGCTTACGAATACTTGAAAATGCGTCATTTGAAGAATGGATTACTTTGCAGGTAAACATGTGTTTTTAAATATACTTGAGTATTCGATGTCTGGAAATTTAACTTGGAACCGAGGCGTTTGTTTGTTGATATTGTCAAAGTTAATAGAATCCAAAGTAAAGATCTTCCGACGGAAACTATCCAGGTAGCCACATCCGGGTTCGTCGGGTAGCCGGGGTACCACGTGACTGTATTTCTTCCAGTATTGGATACCCTCCCATCTGTACTCGGGACAACCGTGTCCTCTTCGCCTCCAGGGGGAGCTGCAATGTAATCGGGGGGGGGGACGTTATTGTTGCATAAAGAAGAGAATATATGGATGTCAATATAATTATTATGAGAAAACACAACGTTTCGGAGTATAACTCCTTTTTTTTAGCAAATGTTATCATTCAAATTCAACATTTCAATAGTAATAATTAAAACGCCCTAATTTATATCATCCTTTTAGAAGAACAATATAGTTGTGTACAGGACCAAATGAATGCACTTCAACATTTTACAAATGAGATCAATGATCATGAATCTATCAGTGTAAATTGGTCAAAATAGTTTGTTATATATACACACAAAACACCCTGTTCTTCACTCTAATAACACAAACATTCATGATAACATGTGTTTCAGTCGGCACAAAGAACAGATACATGTACACGTTTTTGGTCGTATTTTGTTACTTTACCAACATCATTCACGCACATTTAGAACTTTTTTCTTTTTTTCATATATATATTTACTTCAAGCTAATCCATGAAACTATGGATGCGATGTGTTGCCCCTATATTATTTCGTCGTCAGTAAACTTTATAGACTTTGATTATATATATATATTGGGTAATCAAATTGATTATATATATATATATATATATATATATATATATATATATATATATATATATAATGTACATAGGAAGTCGTTCTGTATTATCGACAATTGAAAGCTTAAATACTACAATATCATTCCACATTCTCCAACATGCTACAATATCATTCCACATTCTCCAACATAATTATACTACTATCTACATAATACCATATGCTAACTGTTCCGTTTTGAAATAGGCCTCTCTGAAATAATTATAAATTGGCAAACCTACAGATCCTAGATCCATCCATTTTACGTTTCTAAATAGTCCTACTTTGGTCGTGTAAGGCGTGTACCAGCTGTGCAGATGTAATCTAACAATCACGATTGCTTCACAGTAGACCACTAATTCTTGATTTTATGTTGACAACTGTGGACAAGTTATGTGTGTACAAACCTTGCAAATTCGTTAATAAGATTGTGCTTATTACTTAAAATAGTACACAAAATAAGTACCTTTTGCAAACATAAGGCCACAAGGCACTGTAGCTCACTTGACTTATGAAGTAATAATTGGACGACACTTCAACCTTTACTTCAACCTGAGTAAAGTGGTGCAAATGATTATGTGAACAAGAAATAAAAGAAGTTTTACAACATTATTTAGAAGAATGTAGAGGAAAACGGCTTCAAGTTAAGCAACGTGTTTGCTTTAAATACGATGAACAGTGACATTATAAAGTGGTATTTAAGTAGGTATAGTACTAGTCTAAAGATGAAAATATATATGTAGATCTACATTAAAAACTGTTTGTATTATATTTCATTTTCTTCGATATTTTTTCAATAATTTAACTTTAAATCGCATACTTTTCTCAATGCCTTTGTTATTTGTTTCAATTAGATCTAGTGTTCGGGATTGGGTAAACAATGAGAAAAAGATTGATGGTATTCGGGGTTCAGGTGAGGAGGGAGGTGGCACCCCCAATTCTGCGTCGATTTCAAAATTTTGCGTAAGATTCATTGTAGTCGTGTAAAATCATCGTAGATGTAAATATTATCGAGTGCGAAGTCGCGATCTTTCTCAGAAAAAGTTCTTGCTGATGTGTTTGCTAAACCGGTTCGGGTGGGACCCGCCCATTGCTAGCACTGCGTGGTAGGGCAGATTTCTGTATATTCAGTTCAGCTTCGAATGTCATACTTCATACGACAAAGACCGCTTCAGTCTTAGTGGCAGTGATGATTTCGGAAGAGTAGCGAAAGTGTCGGTTTGTTCGGTCAACGGTCAAAGGGAGACAACTCAATACACGGTTTCATGTACTCATCTCAGAATTTTGTAGTTAGTGGGATATATACTGAGTGGACACGGAAATGGTTTCATAGGCCGCGCCCTGACGATTTGAGTTCCATTCGTGTCCACCCAGCTTATCATGTTACCTACATACTACATCGATAAAACCAATTGGATTTGAGGACCCGTACCGTTAATGGTCGAAGGGAATTAACTGTAAATCCAGTTTAAATTTGTAACACAGATTTACCTCCCTTTGAGATAAGGGACATAACTCTTGATTCGCTGTACGCGATTAGCTCCCTTTGATTGAGGGCACACGCTGTGTGTGAAGTTTAAAGGGAGACACTGTGTGGAGTTACGACAAGGGGGTTAACTCTTGCATGACCACAATTATCTCCCTTTGACCATAAACAAACCTACTGCGACAACAATGTTTTTTGTTTGCAGTGTTTTTCCCCAAGCCAAATCCATTTTTAGAAAGCGCATAATTAGAAAAAATATTCAAACGTGCACGTCAAGTTTTTATTCACGTAATGAAACCAGCTTGGTGGCAGGGATGATATCAGAAGAGGGAACCAAGCCACTATATTACTCAGGCCAGCCCACCCCAGCCCCCGTACTACTCACCCTCGAGAACACAGGCCCCTCCACCCTGAATGAGGGCACACCCAGCCTGGATACCGTCACGTTCCCTTTCTGCTGGTCCTCCACGAACTGGATGATGGACAACATCGTCTCCATGTCCTCGCGTTTCTTGCGGACTTCTTTTCTGAGTGCATATTTACAGCTCGGTATGTGTGCTTTTAGACCCCGGGTGTAGAGATATATCTTCCTGCAGGTGGGCTGACCAGGACATTTCCACATAACAGGCATGGCGACAGAAGCTGGGTGGATCTCTGGAGGTCACGCGGTAATGGCGATTACTGTCTCAAAATAAACACAAAGTTTAAAATAAATAGTCTGGCCTTAATCGTGTCAGAAATTGATTTATTCCAAAGCGTCTTACATAATAATGAATAGGCCTTATGCAACCCATGCTTGTCGTAAAAAGCGACTATGCTTGTCGTAAAAGACGACTAACGGGATCGGCTGGTCAGGCTCGCTGACTTGGTCGATGCATGTCATCGTTTCCCAATTGCTCATGATACCAATCATTGGACTGTTTGGTCCAGAATCGATTATTTACAGACCTCCGTCATGTAGCTGCATTATTGCTGAGTACGGCGTTAAACAACACAAACTCCGAAATGTCCCTCTGAGGGGCGATGGGTTAGCCTAGTAGTTAAAACCTTCTCCCTTCACGCTGCCGGTCCGGGTTCGATTCCCCCACATGGGTTACAATCTGTGAAACTCATTTTGTGTATCCTCAGCCAGGATATTGCTGGATTATTGCTAAAAGCGCCGTAAAACACTACTCACTCCAATCTGTTGGAGGTTGTGGTTCAAAAGCAACACTGTTTAATACAGCATCTATTCACCACCTTGAATAATACGGGGCACTAATATCCATGTTTTCTCAAATTTACCTACGTTTACCTACGGTCACTGTCTCATTTTCACACACAAAGTATAGACAAATACTGGAATGGATATCGGACAATAAGAAGCAAAGTCTCCCTATGATAAATAATATTATGTTTCTCTTCGTTGGTTTTAGGTAAGGAGTTAGGTCCCCAGCACACCATGCTCGTCGTAAGAGACGACTAACGGGATCAGGTGGCCAGGCTCCTGACTTGGCATGTCATCATATCCCAATTGCGTAGATCGATGCTCATGGTGTCAATAACTGGATTGTCGATTATTTACAGACCGTCGTCAAAAGCGTTAAAACGACGGCGACGTTAAACCACACACACACATAAAACGCAGAAATCTTTACAAGAAACTCCACTAATTATACAGAGTACCTCAGAGACTATCATATCATTGGGAAAGGGAGGTTTTTTGTGTTGGACAAAGTATATGTGTTTCCACTCGTACAACATACACCCTATATAGCTTATCCGTGTGTATCAAGTTATACTTTCCGTTGTTCAGCAAATGAAATATCCATGTCGGAAATGTCAGAATAATCCTGTTCCTTTGTTTATATTATTCAAGCGAACCTGACCATCCGATCCCGTCATTCGTCCATGACAAGCATCGTCCCCTGTTACTGCAAGCATAGGTTGCTGAAGACCTATTCTAATCCGGAATTTCACGGGTGTTCCCTTTTAAGAATGAAGGTATGAGCCCACAGAGTTCGTCGCTGAGATATTATGATTAAATATGTTTGACAAATTTGTTTTTAAATATAACTTGGTATTCATGACTCATTTGTATGTATATCAACTTGCTTTCGTCGTTATATGGCTGAAATAATACCGATGCGACGTTAAATTTTAACTCACTCACTCGTTTAGAATATATACAGAACCCAAGGCCAATATTAATCTTGAAAAATAATTTAACATTAATATAAAAACAACACCAGACTATGTGTCATGGGCAACGTTTCAAATACATGGAAATGTATCGCGCGTTAAACATTGCAGATTAATAGTCAACCGTTTGACTGTTCATTCCCGCACGTACAACAGCGTTCAATCTGATCGCTCCCTGCACGGGTGTATACAACAGCTCATGTCTACTTCTACAATGGTGGTCGTGTCATACGGCGATACAGACCAGTTTCTCATTCAGTCACAGCCCAATATCCACCAATAAGTCTCTCTTATTCTGTAGCTAAAGTGCTTGTGTAGATCACGTAGCATTTACACGTGCGCGGAATGGCTGAATCCATGTTAATAATCTATGGACGAAACTGCAGTTATTCTCACGGGTCTTAATTCATATAAGATCAAACAGTACGTCGTATTCAGTGTTATTATATAGCCATATAGTAAAATTCAGACAAGACAATGAAGGTGTACCTTATTTCATCTGTAGGTTTGAAAGTACGGTAAACTACGTTTATAACGAACACGCTTATAACGAACTGACGGATATAACGAACTTACTTTTTGGTCCCGACTATTTGCTGTAGTTATGCTGTATATATGCTTTTAACGAACTACGGTTATAACGAACTAAAATTAGTGGTCCCTTTGAGTTCGTTATAACCGTAGTTTACTGTACAGTCAACTTATACATTAATGAACTTTATTTTGTCCGAACTGTTATCGTTCATACTGATATTGACTAAAGTTACAAGTGAAATTAATCATCTGTTTCACATAGAAGTCATTACTTTTGGCTTACAAGTTTTACTTACCCTTTCAAGGAAACTCGCGGCAGGGCGGACGACAATTCAGGATGTAGCCAAGACCGCTCTAGTTAGTCGAATATATTTTCACATTACATTTTTTCCCAGAACGCAGGAGGTCTACACGAGATAACATCAGGGTGAAAGAACATGGCGAATGTAAGGAAACTCCATAATGACATAATTGTAGTCCAGTCCCTACCACGTACATTTGCACATACTTACGCCGCGAGTGTCGGATTACAGCCTTAGCGGGCAAGTTGGGTCGCCTGCCACACAGACAGATATACCGTACATACTATTCCTTACATTTAAATTAAATTTCTAAATATCCGGGACACCTTAGAAAATATTAACTATTTCAAATATTTTGTTGTGAACTATTCAGAAAAAAAACCGTTTATTGACGCCGTTGTAATTCATTATGGAGAAAAACTATATTCGTTTATTTTCTGATGAACCATGCCTTCTTTGAGAACGAAATGTGTAATTATTGGCAGTTTTAAAGTTTCGTTGAACATTGAATGTACACTTGCTCTACTGTTTTTAGAGAAAGCATTTTGACTGAGACGGTGTGATTTTACTCTAACTTCCTGAATAAATGCGAATGTTCAAATATATTTTCGATTATCAAGTATATTAACCATCCTTGTTTAGTCTAAGCAACAATTGATTGGATTGGTAAACATTTGGTAGATTTCAGATTATATTCAACTTCTGGTGACTGATTTGCTATTAGATATTCTTCACGAACCGAAAACCAACGCTATAATGAACCACAAGCATGCAGACTCCTTCCGCAACAGTTTGTTGTTTAACGCCGCACTCGGCAATATTCCGTCTATAAGACGGCGGTCTGTAAATAATCGAGTCTGGACCAAACATTCCTGTGATTGACATCATGAGCATCGATCTACGCAGCTGGGATACGATGACATGCATCAACCAAGTCAGCGAGTCTGACCACCCGATCCCGTTAGCCGCCTCTTACGACAAACATAGTCGCCTTTTACGGCAAGCATGGGTTGCTGAAGACCTATTCTAACCCGGATCTTCACGGGTCCCTACCGTAACAGATGTATCCACCGTAAAGATGCCTTTACTCCGACAGTTTTCTTCACTCCAACAGTTGTGAGATGAGTTTAGATGTGGATGTCTTCACAGGCGTGTTACCCGCCCAGCCAGCAGAACCCCCACAAAGCCGCCAGTCTACAGCACAGCGCCAGCAAGGTGGGGAGGTGTGATTGACTCAGAGGGACAGGGGCCAGATTTGCCGTGATTGTACGGATAATACCCGTTGTTCGCTGCTGGGCCTGCGATCCTGAACCTTCTTATCACGCTCTTACGCACCTGGCTGTGTTACATAATAATTGTATTAAACGCTGACTTAACCTTTCTGTTGCGAGTGTAGGTCTCTAATCCTACGACAGATCATCTCTGTGTTCGTTAACATTATTAAGAATAGTGTTGATTCAAGAATACAGTTAGTCTCACCACAAACACTGAAACTGTTATAGCATGAGTTTGAGGTAGAGTGAGTGAGTTTGGTTTAACACCGCTTTTTACAGTATTCCAGTCATATCTGAACTTTTATTTACACTCAGGCCATATAGCGGCATCAGAGTTAGAAAATTATTGCAACAACTTAATACATATAAATATAGAATAAATAAAAAAAAACATCTTTGCCCTGCCTGCATGTACATTTATACAGATAGCAATATATGTGCAATTCAATAAGCGAGAGAGACATGATGAATTTACAGAATTTGGACAATTTTCTCAATGTTCCTAATCGTGAATTATTGAAAAGTAAATTCATTTTATGCATATTGGGTTTGATGTAGTAGAATCTGTGTAAAAAATGTTTTCTATCGTTTTCTTTAGATAAAATATGTAATTCATCACCTATGTCTGATAGTTTACAAAGTGAACATTTCCTTTTAGCTAAAGGTATTTTCCTCCATCTCTCAATTTCAATAGGTAGATTATGGTTACAAGTTCTAAACTTAAGTAAGACTCTCCAAACATTTACCTAATATTCAAAATTTAGGCAGTCCTTTTTTATGAGACAATACATTGTTCCTTTAGAAGACTTATCTCTTGCACTTGTCCAACACTGTAGATTAATGTCATTTAATTTTTCATGGATTAAATGTTTTAGACAGGTAAGATTTTTGAAACTTTTAAAAAGCCAGATGTAGATAAGTCCAAGTTCATCAAAAGTTTGTTTGATGTTGTCATTGAATAACACAAGAAAGGATAATTTAGATGATTCCCGGAAAGTAACTTTGCCCCAAAACTTATCATTCTCAATTCACAAATTCACAATCATAGGTTTCTGGCATGCCCAAGGGATGCAACTCTGCACAGCGAATAATGGCGTCTGAGATGACTGGGACACCTGTGTCCCTGATTGAGGTAGAAGTGTGGGTTGCCTTCTGTTCACAACCATAGGTTACTGAGGACAAGTTCTAACCCCACAACCCCCATGGGAAATTCAGAGTGGAATATACCAGTTCTTGAATTGGTGTGTGTATAAATGGAACAGGTGACACACAACGGAATGTATCTCTTTGCTTCAAACTACATGACGATCATAAACTTAGGACCTTAATTTTGCAGTGTTTCGGAGAAAGTTTTCAGCCAAACCTTGACAAATCTAGAAACATAAATGGGGCAAACCGTGATTCAAACCCACAATCATAGGTTTCTGGCATGTCTAAGGGGCGCAACTCTGCACAGTGCCTTGGATGACTGGGCCACCCTTGACCCCAGACCACATGAAGCCAGTTTCCAGTTACACTGACTATAACTGTAAGTTTTATAAATATATTTCTGTTGTTTGTATTATATTAATCATAATATTTGTTTAAAGTGGAAGCTTTTAGGAAAATAACCAGTTTCCAATCTGACAACATTTTGTTGTTGTTGATCTCCTCTTGCATATCAACCAAGAAAAAAACAAAACAAGATTTAAATTGATGTGGCCTTTATGATGATGACAAACATATTTTCCACACACATATCTACTGGAACATTTCAACACTTTTCTACCTTGGACATCACATTCGTGTTGCAAATCTCTTGTCAAAGTCTCGACATGATTGTTAACGTAGTAGATACTAAAAACACAATACAATAAAGTATAAACAATGATAAATGCCTACAATCTAAGCTGGACACATGCTATAACAATCTCTCTTTATCTTTGCGGGTCATGTGAACCTTCTTCAGCACCCTCCGCTTCCACACTCGTCTCTCGTGGTCAGGGTTCGGCAGCTCATTGAATAAACACGGTCCCCTCAAACATGGCCGCACGAAGTCCTCATCCCGGCGGAGGATGCTGGGTCTAATGATGTCCACATCTCTCTTCAGGTCGTCTTGGATATTCGTAACAGACTCTGTGGAACTGTCAAAGTTAATGAGAACGTAGCTGAAACAGAAAACGATAATCCAAAATAATGTGAAGTTTACACGAAATATGGCTTTTTCTATTGGACGAGAGGTCGGTCACATGACCACGAAATTGACGCTTTTAAGTGAATGCACAACACAATTTGACGTTCATATGCTTTTCACGAGACCGTATTCTTGAAATGGCGTAATCACTGATGGACTACTTCCACATTCCTGGGGGAAGCCCTGGGAATTCCCTGACACGAATACATACAGAAGCATTGTTTCTGATCATTTAGACCCTTTAATCTTGAACTCAGCGCTTTAGCATACAGTGAGAAACATCAAAGAGTTTGACTGCATGATATAGTTGTGGTAGCAAGCTTCGATGTTCATACAGTGTGACCCTCACTCTATGAAGGTTCATACTGCAATGAATCCACACAAAGTGAAAGTCAATTTTTTAATAAATAAGGTTAGCCAATGCAATGCGATAATTCTTCTGTTTTTCTCGTCCTGTTGCCAAATGATACAGGTAATCAGATGTTTTATTTTATTCAGCATGTTCACATGAATACATAAGGGACTGATCACTCATTATGGGGAGTGTGGGGTGTGTTCATACACAAATGTGACTTTGAATTCTATTTACGATTAAAACTGTACCATGAAATTTTTTAGATTTGCACATTTTCAGCTTAAAGAATCAAGGTTACGATATAACACACTTATTTTTGATATTCCAAGGCATGGATCCAGACTGTAGGAGGGAAGCACTGCAAGTGTGGGCAAAGCTTTATTGAAAAGGAGTTGTGCATTTGGGGATATGGCAACATGCTTTCAGTATTTGAGTTCTTTTCAGTTAAATTCTGTTGCCATTAATTGATTGTGCATGTACAACTGATTATGATTTGTTTGTGAGTTGTCTAAAGCCGCTATATGACAGTGGTCTGTGAATAATCGAGTCTAGACCAGACAGTCCAGTGATTGACATCATGAGCATCAATCTAGAATATAATGACATGAATCAACCAAGTCAGCGAACTTGACCATCCGATCACATTAGCCGCTCTAATGACAAGCAGGAGTTGCTGGAGACAAATTCTAACCTGTATCTTCAGGGGGGGATCGACTATCAACCTGATGAATCTGATATGTGCAAAACAAAACTTCCTGTTACTTACTTTCCTTCTGTCTGTTTTTTGCCTTGACATGCCATTTTGTAGGGTAAGGGTCTAAGACCCAGGTTTTCCATTGACCTTATTATTCCTCCTTTTCCGATCAGCGATTCACATGTTCTGCGTATGACATGACTCAATTCAGGCTGAAACATGTTACATGAAACAAATTATGACCAAAGGTTGAGACAATTTCGAATGGCCAGTATATTATTGTTTATTCTGAGCATCTGTATCAGCAGCCGAGAAGATTACAGTGCATATATTGCTTGTAATTAATTAAGAAAATGTGAATAATAGTTATGTTTATCGATCAATTCTATTGAGAATTGGTTAGACTTATTTTTCTTTTCCACTATCCAACTATAAAGAGGCCGAACACACCAAAATAGATAAAACAACTTGATGGATACTTCTGAAAATTATGCACGAAAACTGAAGGTCATCCACAATAGGACAATCTTACATTGAATGTCTACGTGATTCTGTTTTTTTTTATATTTAAGAGATTAAGGTCTTACTCTTTTCAAAGCAGCCTTTATGATCAATGACATTTCATAACTCGGCATGGCGGCGTATCTCTATGAAAGTTTCCGACTGCTGCTGAGCACACTTTGTGCCACCGGAAGTTTAGGTTTTGTATCTTCCCCAGCATTACATCCACTTCCGGTGTCCTCTCCGGTCAAAATGGCGTCTTTCAAGTTCATGCAGTTGGTAAGTTTGTGTGTTAATGCAAGTTGTAACACGGCATAAAGAAGATATTTCTTCCTTACCCAGGCAACACGCAACTACAATAAAGATGAAGGATTGTTGAATATGGCTTGGTTCAGCTTACTTGTTATCAAAAGAACATGCTTACCGGTTGCTAAAGGCTCCTGCGGGCCTGGTATGGGCTGCGTCACATTTTCTTATATTCATTTTATTCCAACTTTTCTCGAAGGTCACTACTTATTGACATCTATTTTACTAAAATTGCAGTTGGTCTTTTATCGAGACATTAATGTACCCTGCACTGGTGATTTCGCTTGCAAGATACAATAAGCATGATGACTTCTTTCTATCACCTCTTTCATGGGTGCACCGTCCTCTAACCTAAGAATACATAACCCTGATACACTAAAAAGGGTTGTAGACCCTACGGAAGATTGTAGACTACAGTAAGCGTAGTAAATGGGTACAAGAATGGCCAAGGGCCAGCTTGATCATGTTGCTCCTTCTCCCCTTGAACACACTCATGGTGCACAGATGTCCTGGTGGTCTAGGGGCTTCCAATCCCTGTGGCCAAACCAGGATACTTTTTGTGTTTGAATCACATATTCCCCATGATTTTTATCATTGGTTTACCAACCATTGATGTACATATGTTCATGGGTTTCATAAAAGTTTTACATTCATAAAGGTCCGTGACCCGTATTTCTGTCTTTTGTGGGAAATGTGAAAAAAGATTCTGTGACACATGATGATTCCACATCATTTGTATAAAAAATGGTCATATGAAAGGTGATATGAGTATGTGAATAGCAATTTGCCAGGTCCCAGCTCAGTTAGGTCTCACTCCATGCAAACTTTTTGAGTTTATCGGCTAGCCTACTAATGATGCGTTTGCAGCAAAGTAATTATTTTAGATCTTATTCAGGACATGCGGAAACGTGGTTGATGTTAGGATTTTCCTGATGTTGGACTTCCCATTCTTGTATCATGTGTATGCTTAAATGATTAGTCTGGTGCAAACATTTGAGATTTTCTTTCTGATATAATTACTGTGACTCAATTTACAATGATGTTATATGTCTTCAGACCCGGTCCTTCAGTGTCTCAGCAGCAAGTCTGGCCAAACTTGTCACAGTAAGTATGACTATGATAATCTAGCCATCTTGCACTTCCAGATTACTTTGTCATGCAGATTCTCATTTTTGTAATTTTGTGCTGTGAGATATCACAAAACTAAGACTCATATTCCACACCTTGAAAGACAGTGACATTGACAATGACTTGATCAGGGATGCAACTTAACATGAAACATTACCAGCCAGAATAGTGATGATATATAACGTCAGCCTCTAAAACACACTGAAATTCTACTAGTCTTCATGGATACCTTTAACATTAAACAAACATTTGGGGGACTGCCTAATGCCTCTCTATCAGTCAGGGTGTATCCAAGCCAACTTGACAATGAGTATGATGCAGAGCTCCAGATAAGCTTTTAGTGTTGTGGGTATTTTGCCCGTGCATTTTAAAATCATTGGGTATCAGTAATTCTATCTGGGTATTTAAACTTCTGTTACCCACTAGTTTTTACACATGTGGGTGTTTAAGTTAAATATTTAAAAACACTATTCATCTAGTCCCTGCAAACTGGTGTCTTGTGGGTTCGAGAGCTTTATAGGACTCAAAAATACCACAATACTTCCACAAGAAAGTGTGATGGCAAATGATCATGATGTAACTGTCATCGTGGAGTTTGGCAAGGTTGACGGAATGCCCGTTTATGATTTCAAAACAAGTTGCTGATTTGCTAATCGAATACGCAGGGTTACTTCACAATATTTTGATGATACGCACAAGTTTTATTTTTGTAGCGTATCTGTAATGTTCGTTGTGTATTTGATACGCTTGGATTTTATTTTACTGCATATTTCTGCATTTCTGATGCATATTTTACGCAGATACGCAGCTTATCTGGAGCTCTGATGATGTACTGAGAAAAAATGAATGAACGACTTCTCTTGATACTGCAAAGACAATTACAAACATTTAATACTTTTACATGTTTAATCACAAGACAAGCTAACTTACGTGGTCACTCGATGATATTTCCACAACCAAATGTCCACAATCTTTTCACCCCAAAAAACAACATTACAGTATTGCAGTGAATAATGAATGTTTGTATTCTGCAGCCCCCAATCCAGGTGTATGGGGTGGAAGGTAGATACGCCCATGCTCTCTACTCCGCAGCCACCAAGGAAAAGAAACTGGATGCTGTAGAGAAGGAGCTGAATTCATTTGATGTAAGTACATCATGGACTTGACAATGTCCCAACACCCCAGTGCTGGCCACAAGAGACAGTTAATTCGGATTTGGTGGTCAGCATGGTCAGGTTGGGGGAATGATCATTGCTCATATATTCAGTCTCTAGCCTTGTCCAGACTTGATTTTTTTTCAGGCGGTTGCATGATGACTATTGCTAATTGTTGTACTTAGTAAATTCACTCAATTCATTTTGTACATATAAGCTCGTTTGTTGAGCTAAGATCCAGCACCATTACCGTGATTGGCATGAATACTATTTAGTGACTCAAGTTTACCTTTTTTTGTATTGACCAGAATTTAAAAGAGTATTTCTGATTGAAATATCCCAATTCTATGTGTTTTGGGTTTCAAAATATTCAAACTGAATTTTCCTTTTTTTTCTCTCTCCTAGAGTAGATCCTAGGAAGCGGCTAGAAGATACACCTGCACTTTGAGAAATGTACTACGACTAAGTAGCTTGAACTGTATTTTGTAAAATCATCAACATATTCAAACAGCGTAAAACTTAACTCGAGGGATGAAAAACATTGCATAACTCTTTTCAAGAGAGTATGTTTGTCATTGCTAAATTTAATCAAATGATGTCAATTATTTCTTGTTACTGTTTTCAGCAATTACTGCAGAAAGACAAGAAGTTGGCTGACTTCATCGCAAACCCCTCACTCAAGAGGGCAGAGAAGAAAGGTAGCTATTGAACTTACTCCACCAGGACTCAACAATCAGATATTCGGGGGACACAATGCCCTTTTCCAAATATTCACTCACAGTTGCACACTGCAGGGATTGGTCTCTAGTATTTCATGCTTGTTTCTCTGCGGGGAGTCCGGGTCAAGATTGGTCTCCAGTACCTTGTGCTTGTTTTTCTGAGGGGAGCCCGGGTCTGATTGGTCCCCAGTACCTCATGCTCGTCTCCCTGCGGGGAGTCTGGATCAGATTGGTCCCCTGTACCTCATGCTCGTCTCCCTGCGGGGAGTCTGGATCAGATTGGTCCCCTGTACCTCATGCTCGTCTCCCTGCGGGGAGTCTGGATCAGATTGGTCCCCAGTACCTCATGCTCGTCTCCCTGCGGGGAGTCTGGATCAGATTGGTCCCCTGTACCTCATGCTGGTCTCCCTGCGGGGAGTCTGGATCAGATTGGTCCCCAGTACCTCATGCTCGTCTCCCTGCGGGGAGTCTGGATCAGATTGGTCCCCAGTACCTCATGCTCGTCTCCCTGCGGGGAGTCTGGATCAGATTGGTCCCCTGTACCTCATGCTCGTCTCCCTGCGGGGAGTCTGGATCAGATTGGTCCCCTGTACCTCATGCTCGTCTCCCTGCGGGGAGTCTGGATCAGATTGGTCCCCAGTACCTCATGCTCGTCTCCCTGCGGGGAGTCTGGATCAGATTGGTCCCCTGTACCTCATGCTGGTCTCCCTGCGGGGAGTCTGGATCAGATTGGTCCCCAGTACCTCATGCTCGTCTCCCTGCGGGGAGTCTGGATCAGATTGGTCCCCTGTACCTCATGCTGGTCTCTCCTTGCAGGGATTCCAGGTCATGATTGGTTCCCAGTTTTTGTATACACAAGCTGTTTTTGGTAACTACAGTTAAATGTAGTTCTTCTGAATGGGCTTTGATGATAATGAGATCAATTTACTAATTGTTTGTTCCATGAAACCATGTAAATACATGTAGTTGAAACTAATGTTATTGTTTGTGCATATTGTCCATTTGTTTTTCAGTTGTATTGGAGGGTGTCCTGAAGAAACAGAATGTCTCTCCACTTACTGTGAATCTTTTCGGTTAGTCATGTTCACTTTCAACTTGTCTTCCACTTGACATGGGGCCATGGGTTTCAATTGTGGAATAGCTCCTATGAACCATGGCCACGGCTAGACCCCATTGGTCTATTCCAACTAATCCACAGCGCATTTCACACAAGTAGTTCATGTAAAGTAGATAGCTTTAGGAGAAATCAAATTGTCCCTCAAGATTTTCACTTGTCTCGGACTAATGGACTAGTGGCTGTATCTGTCCCTGTATCACGGCCTGTTGGCATCTTCCTGTTACTTGTGGATACTGTGTACGTCTGTTTCAGGGCTTGCCTCACTCATTAAGGAGGGCACGGGTGGCCCAGTCGTCTAAGGCGCCGCGATTCGCTGTGCAGAGTTGCGTCCCTTGGACACGCCAGAAACCTGTGATTGTGGGTTCGAATCCCGGTTCGCCCCGATTATGTTTCTAGGTTTGTCAGCACCATACCCGTGCTTGTGGGTTTCACTGAAGTGAAAAATGTCTGAGACCTGCATCACTTCGGGCTTTCCTCCCACATTAAGCTGACACGCCGCGATATAACTGGAATACTGTTAAAAGCGGCGTTAAACACAACTCACTCACTCATTAAGCATGTTAAACGGACATGCTGTGAATTATCTGAAATACTCTTCAAAATGGCAAATTCCATAATTTAGTGTTCTGAATATGATTCAAACTTATCAAAAATTATTTTAATTTCTCACACTGAAGACAATACATAATAAGTTATGGTAGAATAATCAAACAAAGCGCTATATCTAAAATTGAAAACTTTAGTTTCAATGATAAATGAAGTTTTGTGTTACAGGTGCCCTGGCCGAGAATGGTCGTATCAACAAGGTTGGTGCAGTTATTGGTGCATTTGGCAAGATCATGAGTGCCCACAGAGGGGAGGTAGTCTGCAAGGTCACGACAGCCAAGGTGAGAGCCAGGAACTGACTCAATATATCCCACTGCATCAATCATGCTTCAAGCAGTATTATCTACATACAAGTGGTGCTGCCCAGTTTACACCAACCTTGGGTGGAGAGACCATATGAAATCCATGTCATACTGTTATCAAGCTCATCAAATTGCCTTTGTGTCTTACATTGAAATGAATCTGGATTTTTTCTGTGGTTCATACAGTGATTCACTTTCTTATGTCATTGTTGTATGAAGCTTTAAGTTCTTATATAGTCTGTATATTGGAATATGGCAATTGTACAAGGTGTAGGTTGTATTGGAGACAAGGAATTAGTATAAATGGACAGTTTATATTCATTTTCTCAGTTGTATTTTATGACTAGAACTCCAGCTAATGGTGAGATTTGGTACATGTTCCAGGCGCTAGATAATGCCAGCCTCAAGGAACTGAAGGATGCTCTTCAAGGGTTCCTGCAGAAAGGGGAGACAATTCAGCTAGAGGTCTTGGTGAGTGTTACCCAGATATGAACAAGGGGCGTTGTTAGATGTTGGGCAGAACAGTTATAAAAAATACTACCTGGTAAATGAGAGCTCTTCTTTTCTCTTGGTTTGCATATTTATTTCCAAATCTATTGGGTCGCTGAAATTTGGAAAACTGTTTACCAAAGAAATTAGAAAGGGTAGTTTGTAGTGTTACAATTTAAGTATTTCTATAATGGAACAGGCCAACATATCTAGTGAAATAAAAGGAGACTGTTAGTCAAATTTCAGGTCTATCAGTTAAAATAGTAATCATTGCCTGGCATAGCCTCAGATTGATATCCATATAGGTCAGGTTACCATAGTTACCAGTTACCTGTAAGAATGATGGCTTCAGAAATTCACTATCCCCAGCAGTCTGATACTGTTTTTATAATTCTATGTGGATCATCACATAGATTGAATGGTGAACGCATGAGGTGATGTGATGATGCTATATATATTGTAAAATCTTAGCTTAAACTAGGCCAATTCCAATCAGTGTTGTTGTTTGTTTGAATCGTCCATTAGCTGTGGATGTCTAAGGATCTGTGCTGAGTGATAGATAATAGAGCAATTTATTGTTTCAGGTTGATCCTGCCGTTATCGGTGGTATGGTTGTTAACATCGGAGACAAGTATGTTGATATGTCTATGGCAACCAAGATCAAGACGTACACAAATCTAATCAAGGAGGCCGTATGAGCACCCATGATTCTAGAGTGACTGTTCTGTGTTTGTGTATAGTTTGTATCAAGATTGCTCTGGACAGATAACATTAGCTTGGTACTGTAAAAAGTTAAACAAGAAATTAAAACATTCATCACACTCTGCTTTTGTCACGTCCTATTTCAGATAGTCGGTGGTTTTGTCTTTCTTGTAGTCTCTTCAGACATTACACTTCAAATGGCAAAAGACTGCCTCCATGTCTTGTGGATAGAGAGTCGACACAGAAAACGGAAAGTCAGTGGGTCAATCCCAGGCCGCTTCATACCAAAAGACATCAAAAGATGGTACTTGTTGTTTACCTGCCTGGCACTCGGCATCAAGGGGAGGTAACAAGGACTGTGCCTTATTGGCAATCCATGTTTAACTGAGGCATGGTATATCAGTGGGCAAGCACTATAAAACCAGCATTAGTATCAGTCAGTCTCTCTCTCTGTGACTCACTCTCACACACACACACACACACAAACACAAAAAAAAAATAATATAAGTGCCATAAGTATTGGTAGTGTGAATGAGAAGTGTGCAAGTATGATATTATCACTACTTGTATGAGCTCATGTTAAGGGTGTTGCAATAAACTACCTCATGCATCTACATAAGTTGAAGTGGGAGCATGGGGAGTCATAGTGGGATACATATCACATTGTACATCTTATTGTCATACAAGTGCAATAATCTTGAACATCATGAGACACATAACCCATTTCACCTCACCTGTCCTACATAACATATCCTAAAATATACAGTTGTAGACTTTATATGATGTCAATACCTGTTTTAATAGACTGATATTGATACTGCTTTATCGGGTCCATTAAAACAGGTATTGACTGCATATAAACTCTACAATTGTTTAATTATTTAATAAAGATACAAAACTTCAAACAAACGAAGACATCTCATTTGGAGAATACCATCACCAGAATATTCCCATTCCATGCTTAGTCAAAGTCAATAAATTATCAGACTTGACTTGGAGACAATATGCGTGTGTCATTTCTCGAAAAGATGAAATCTTTTCTTAATATACCATATTCGACGTAATAAGCGCCCCGCTCTAATAAGCGCCCACTGCGGTATTTGCTAATATATTGGCTAGTGAACAATCCCAATTAACACCCCTTCTGATTGATCAATGTTCACAAGACTTATTTATTTGCGTACAATACGCACTCATGTGTTATATGCACCCTAAATTATGGGCAATTAAATTCTAGAAAAATATATCTGTCGTACATAAACCACGAAATTTATCTTTCAACTCTGTTTTTTTCACCCAAATAATATTCCAATGAGAGCCCCCTATTTTTAATTGTGAGAGCGCCCTGGGCGCTTATTACGTCGACTACGGTAATAATAGGGATTGTCGGATATGTTATGTTTATATGTGTGATATGATGCATGGGGTGGGGATGCAGTATAATGTGTTCTCAATGAGTACTGAACAGATTCCACACCTGTATCAGTCTACAGTGTAATCCTCTCTAATCTTATACATTGATTGTATATCTTAATGTACAAAACCGCCTCCGTGGTCTAGTGGTAGAGCGGAAGGTCCGGGTTTTAATCCCCGGCCGCGTCATACCTAAAGACGTTAAAAGATGGTACTTGTTGTTACCATGTCTGGCGCTCGACATTAAGGGGCTAAAACAAGGACTGGTCGGCTCGGAGTCCGTATACTGTGTCTGAGTGGGGTATTCATGTTAAACTGCGACATGGTATCTCAGTGAGCTAGCACTATAAATCGTCATCAGTCCGGACTAGTACAAGCTGCCACACAAACACATACACGTACATGCACGTCGCTATATAAGTGCAATAATCTTGGATGCGACGTTAAACCCAATTTCACCTCACCTCACCTCACCTTAATGTACAAGGGTGTTAGTAGTACACACTACAACAGAAATCTTTAGAAGAAAAAATGCATAATTCTTGAATTAGATTCAATGAAACCATTTTATTCATGTCATGCTGGAATGGATGGGACGTCCATATTGCACTGAGAATATTATTTCTCCTTCATTAATTGAGGAAGCTATTAAGAATTCTTGCTCTTCCAAGTTGTAGGACTTCCAATTGACGACAAGAAGATTTCTGTATTTGTGAAGTGTCATCCCTTGCTAGGAACATCCAGGAACAATCACCATATGGATATTTAAATTTGGTTGACGCATGTAGATCCTTGAACATCCTTGAGTCATTAACTTTGATGAGACAGTCTGTAGCTAGGCTGTCAGCTCACCGACTGATGGTGTTCCATCAGTTGTGTGGCAGCAATACGCAACTGTTATGTTTGTGTGTTATTTTCATGACAACACATGGTTAAAACTTGAGCACCACTTTGCCAACTCGCACTTCGTCTAGCGTCTTGAGACTTTCTATCACATCATCCATGGTCACAAGTCGAGCAATCTTGCACCTGAAAGTCACATTTGTAATGAAGCGTGACAGAAGAGTTCTATAATATCTTACATCTTATACATCAAAAGTGAATGATTTTAATTTCATGTGAATGACTTTTAAAAAAGGTACCATATTCTCTGTATGAAGTGCCCTGCTCCAATAAGAGCCCCCTGTCTAACTTGTAGACCAATCTGTAAGTAATCTTTGTATGCACTCCTACCAAAACTTTCAGTCAATTACACATGTCCTCTGTTGAGATAAGTAACTCAGCAACTCAGATAAATCTGTCATGCAGATTCATCCAGATCATGTCAAACCAAGAACCCTCTGAAAGTGCTCACCATGCATACAAAATTTCTGTTCAGACCATTGCAGCATTTAACCAGGTGACAGTGTTGAGGCTGCAGATAATGTGAGACACTCCACGATATACAGTGATGACTGTAACTAATGTACTTACTTGATAACTCCCTTGTCTAGTTTCTCTACAACATCCAATAATATATCTGTTTTCATTAAGGAGAATACATGTGATTTCATGTCAACTTCACAGCTACAGACCACAACATTCTCACCCACATGAACATAAAGAATTATTAAACTGGTACATTTGTAAAGAAGTCTTGACCAAACAAACTATTGATGATCATAAGGTTGTAAGAAGCAATCTGGAAGGTCAATGCTGTAAGATGGTGTTCCAAAGAAATTCTCCATTCAAGTACCATCAATACATATCAGTCTAAGTGACCTTCTGCTCCCTGGGTTAGTCAACTCCAAGGACAAGCATCAGGTCCTGGGTGCGTACTGTGACCTTCTGCATCAAAGTACCATCAATACATATTGGTTTAAGTGACCTTCTGCTCCCTGGGTTAGTCAACTCCAAGGACAAGCATCGGGTTCTGGGTGCGTACTGTGATGTTCTGCATCAAAGTACCATCAATACATATCAGTCTAAGTGACCTTCTGCTCCCTGGGTTAGTCAACTCCAAGGACAAGCATCAGGTCCTGGGTGCATACTGTGGCGTTCTGCATCAAAGTACCATCAATACATATTGGTCTAAGTGAGCTTCTGCTCCCTGGGTTAGTCAGCACCAAGGACAAGCATCAGGTCCTGGGTGCATACTGTGGCGTTCTGCATCAAAGTACCATCAATACATATTGGTCTAAGTGACCTTCTGCTCCCTGGGTTAGTCAACTCCAAGGACAAGCATCGGGTCCTGGGTGCGTATCGTGCCATACCCATTATGTAACCTCATGATATCAATCACTGGATTGTCTGGTCCAGACTTGATTATTTACAGACCGCCGTCATATAGCTGGAATATTGCTGATTGGCGCGTTAAACAACCAACCAACCAACCAACCATGATGTAACCGTTGCAGCATTTCTACAGTTGATGTCATGCATTTTTTTAATGACAATCTTATGCTAATTACAGAATTTCTATTTGTATACAAGTGTATTGTTTTCATAAATACACACTATTGCAGGGATTTATCTGAAATTCCAAACTAATTGTCCCTGTCAGGCAAAGTGGGAAAATTCATTTTGTTCAAAACTCGGATTTTGAAACGTTCAATTTTCTTACATTCTGAGGTATTTCAACATTGCATTCATGGCAATAATGTAACATTAAGCATAAGTTACAACTATATTGAATTACATCAATTTTGACATTTTTAATTCAATTTGGACCTTCTTACTGAAATTTGCAGCAGACTTGTCTCTTGAGCAGTGCCCTGTTCCACAAAGCAATCTTAACACAAAAAGAACCATAACATACTTTAACAAAGACAAAAGTTGTACAAACATCGCCTTGTGGAACAGGGTCAAGGTCAAGATAAAGCCCTGTAGACTTGGGGCTGATATCAGCTTGTGAGCATGTCTACATTAAGCCCTGTATTGGATTTTCTCTCTGACATAAAACCATTTGGCCTATGTGCAAGCTAAATAACAATGAAACTGGACACTCCATATGTGGTTACCGTGATAAACCGTGGGCTCTTGCTACAGACTTGTTGGAACAGTCAATTATTCCAACCTGGCTGTTCAGGGGAAACTGTTACTGGGACATGCCGCGATTCACTGTGCAGAGTTGCGTCCCTTGGGCACGCCAGAAACCTATGATTGTGGGTTCGAATCCCGGTTTGCCCGATTATGTTTCTAGGTTTGTCAGCACCATACCCGTGCTCGTGGGTTTCATCGAAGTGGTAAACGTCTAAGACCTGCATCACTTGGGGATTTCCTCCAAAATTAAGCTGACACGCCGCAATATAACTGGAATACTGTTAAAAGCAGCGTTAAACCCAACTCACTCATTCACTGTTACTGGGACATAACTGAAGGAACAATAGGACCACATCACAAGAATTATCATCTGTGAGTAAGGATACGCTGATATCTGCCCTGTTGCACGTTGGCCAGTGTCCAGGCAGGGGGAAACAGGAAGCTGACACTGGCGCCACGCAGGAGCAGCTGCTGACAGTCCGGAGGGTCCAGCTGCAGAGACACGACATGGGTCAGACTAGAGGTGATGTGTACAGGAGACATGGGTCAGACTAGAGGTGATGTGTACAGGACACATGGGTCAGACTAGAGGTGATGTGTACAGGACACATGGTCAGACTAGAGGTGATGTGTACAGGAGACATGGGTCAGACTAGAGGTGATGTGTACAGGACACATGGGTCAGACTAGAGGTGATGTGTACAGGACACATGGGTCAGACTAGAGGTGATGTGTACAGGAGACATGGGTCAGACTAGAGGTGATGTGTACAGGAGACATGGGTCAGACTACAGGTGATGTGTACAGGACTCATGGGTCAGACTAGAGGTGATGTGTACAGGAGACATGGGTCAGACTAGAGGTGATGTGTACAGGACTCATGGGTCAGACTAGAGGTTATGTGTACAGGAGACATGGGTCAGACTAGAGGTGATGTGTACAGGAGACATGGGTCAGACTAGAGGTGATGTGTACAGGACACATGGGTCAGACTAGAGGTGATGTGTACAGGAGACATGGGTCAGACTAGAGGTGATGTGTACAGGACACATGGGTTAGACTAGAGGTGATGTGTACAGGACACATGGGTCAGACTAGAGGTGATGTGTACAGGAGACATGGGTCAGACTAGAGGTGATGTGTACAGGAGACAAGGGTCAGACTAGAGGTGATGTGTACAGGACACATGGGTCAGACTAGAGGTGATGTGTACAGGACACATGGTCAGACTAGAGGTGATGTGTACAGGAGACATGGGTCAGACTAGAGGTGATGTGTACAGGAGACAAGGGTCAGACTAGAGGTGATGTGTACAGGACTCATGGGTCAGACTAGAGGTGATGTGTACAGGACACTCTCAACATGGGTCAGACTAGAGGTGATGTGTACAGGAGACAAGGGTCAGACTAGAGGTGATGTGTACAGGACACTCTCAACATGTGTCAGACTAGAGGTGATGTGTACAGGACTCATGGGTCAGACTAGAGGTGATGTGTACAGGAGACATGGGTCAGACTAGAGGTGATGTGTACAGGACACATGGGTCAGACTAGAGGTGATGTGTACAGGACACATGGGTCAGACTAGAGGTGATGTGTACAGGACACATGGGTCAGACTAGAGGTGATGTGTACAGGAGACATGGGTCAGACTAGAGGTGATGTGTACAGGAGACATGGGTCAGACTAGAGGTGATGTGTACAGGAGACATGGGTCAGACTAGAGGTGATGTGTACAGGAGACATGGGTCAGACTAGAGGTGATGTGTACAGGACTCATGGGTCAGACTAGAGGTGATGTGTACAGGAGACATGGGTCAGACTAGAGGTGATGTGTACAGGACACATGGGTCAGACTAGAGGTGATGTGTACAGGAGACATGGGTCAGACTAGAGGTGATGTGTACAGGAGACATGGGTCAGACTAGAGGTGATGTGTACAGGACTCATGGGTCAGACTAGAGGTGATGTGTACAGGAGACATGGGTCAGACTAGAGGTGATGTGTACAGGACACATGGGTCAGACTAGAGGTGATGTGTACAGGAGACATGGGTCAGACTAGAGGTGATGTGTACAGGAGACATGGGTCAGACTAGAGGTGATGTGTACAGGACACATGGGTCAGACTAGAGGTGATGTGTACAGGACACATGGGTCAGACTAGAGGTGATGTGTACAGGAGACAAGGGTCAGACTAGAGGTGATGTGTACAGGACACTCTCAACATGGGTCAGACTAGAGGTGATGTGTACAGGACACATGGGTCAGACTAGAGGTGATGTGTACAGGAGACAAGGGTCAGACTAGAGGTGATGTGTACAGGACACATGGGTCAGACTAGAGGTGATGTGTACAGGACACATGGGTCAGACTAGAGGTGATGTGTACAGGAGACATGGGTCAGACTAGAGGTGATGTGTACAGGACTCATGGGTCAGACTAGAGGTGATGTGTACAGGACTCATGGGTCAGACTAGAGGTGATGTGTACAGGAGACATGGGTCAGACTAGAGGTGATGTGTACAGGAGACATGGGTCAGACTAGAGGTGATGTGTACAGGAGACATGGGTCAGACTAGAGGTGATGTGTACAGGACTCATGGGTCAGACTAGAGGTGATGTGTACAGGACTCATGGGTCAGACTAGAGGTGATGTGTACAGGACACATGGGTCAGACTAGAGGTGCTGGTACAGGAGACATGACATAGGTCAGACTAGAGGTGATGTGTACAGGAGACATAGGTCAGACTAGAGGTGATGTGTACAGGACTCATGGGTCAGACTAGAGGTGATGTGTACAGGAGACATGGGTCAGACTAGAGGTGATGTGTACAGGAGACATGGGTCAGACTAGAGGTGATGTTTATTGGAGACATGGGTCAGACTAGAGGTGATGTGTACAGGACACATGGGTCAGACTAGAGATGATGTGTACAGGACACATGGGTCAGACTAGAGGTGCTGGTACAGGAGACATGACATAGGTCAGACTAGAGGTGATGTGTACAGGAGACATGGGTCAGACTAGAGGTGATGTGTACAGGAGACATGGGTCAGACTAGAGGTGATGTGTACAGGAGACATGGGTCAGACTAGAGGTGATGTGTACAGGAGACATGGGTCAGACTAGAGGTGATGTGTACAGGACACATGGGTCAGACTAGAGATGATGTGTACAGGACACATGGGTCAGACTAGAGGTGCTGGTACAGGAGACATGACATAGGTCAGACTAGAGGTGATGTGTACAGGAGACATGGGTCAGACTAGAGGTGATGTGTACAGGACACATGGGTCAGACTAGAGGTGATGTGTACAGGAGACATGGGTCAGACTAGAGGTGATGTGTACAGGAGACATGGGTCAGACTAGAGGTGATGTGTACAGGAGACATGGGTCAGACTAGAGGTGATGTGTACAGGAGACATGGGTTAGACTAGAGGTGATGTGTACAGGAGACATGGGTCAGACTAGAGGTGATGTGTACAGGAGACATGGGTCAGACTAGAGGTGATGTGTACAGGAGACATGAGTCAGACTAGAGGTGATGTGTACAGGAGACATGGGTCAGACTAGAGGTGATGTGTACAGGAGACATGGGTCAGACTAGAGGTGATGTGTACAGGAGACATGAGTCAGACTAGAGGTGATGTGTACAGGAGACATGGGTCAGACTAGAGGTGATGTGTACAGGAGACATGGGTCAGACTAGAGGTGATGTGTACAGGAGACATGGGTCAGACTAGAGGTGATGTGTACAGGAGACATGGGTCAGACTAGAGGTGATGTTTACTGGAGACATGGGTCAGACTAGAGGTGATGTGTACAGGACACATGGGTCAGACTAGAGGTGATGTGTACAGGAGACATGGGTCAGACTAGAGGTGCTGGTACAGGAGACATGACATAGGTCAGACTAGAGGTGATGTGTACAGGAGACATAGGTCAGACTAGAGGTGATGTGTACAGGAGACATGGGTCAGACTAGAGGTGATGTTTACTGGAGACATGGGTCAGACTGAAGGTGATGTGTACAGGAGACATGTGTCAGACTAGAGGTGCTGGTACAGGACACATGGGTCAGACTAGAGGTGATGTGTACAGGAGACATGGGTCAGACTAGAGGTGATGTGTACAGGAGACATGGGTTAGACTAGAGATAATGTGTACAGGAGACATGGGTCAGACTAGAGGTGATGTGTACAGGAGACATGGGTCAGACTAGAGGTGATGTGTACAGGAGACATGGGTCAGACTAGAGGTGATGTGTACAGGAGACATGGGTTAGACTAGAGATAATGTGTACAGGAGACATGGGTCAGACTAGAGGTGATGTTTACTGGAGACATGGGTCAGACTAGAGGTGATGTGTACAGGAGACATGGGTCAGACTAGAGGTGATGTGTACAGGAGACATGGGTTAGACTAGAGGTGATGTTTACTGGAGACATGGGTCAGACTAGAGGTGCTGGTACAGGAGACATGAGTCAGACTAGAGGTGATGTGTACAGGACACATGGGTCAGACTAGAGATGATGTGTACAGGACACATGGGTCAGACTAGAGGTGCTGGTACAGGAGACATGACATAGGTCAGACTAGAGGTGATGTGTACAGGAGACATGGGTCAGACTAGAGGTGATGTGTACAGGACACATGGGTCAGACTAGAGGTGATGTGTACAGGAGACATGGGTCAGACTAGAGGTGATGTGTACAGGAGACATGGGTCAGACTAGAGGTGATGTGTACAGGAGACATGGGTCAGACTAGAGGTGATGTGTACAGGAGACATGGGTTAGACTAGAGGTGATGTGTACAGGAGACATGGGTCAGACTAGAGGTGATGTGTACAGGAGACATGGGTCAGACTAGAGGTGATGTGTACAGGAGACATGAGTCAGACTAGAGGTGATGTGTACAGGAGACATGGGTCAGACTAGAGGTGATGTGTACAGGAGACATGGGTCAGACTAGAGGTGATGTGTACAGGAGACATGAGTCAGACTAGAGGTGATGTGTACAGGAGACATGGGTCAGACTAGAGGTGATGTGTACAGGAGACATGGGTCAGACTAGAGGTGATGTGTACAGGAGACATGGGTCAGACTAGAGGTGATGTGTACAGGAGACATGGGTCAGACTAGAGGTGATGTTTACTGGAGACGTGGGTCAGACTAGAGGTGATGTGTACAGGACACATGGGTCAGACTAGAGGTGATGTGTACAGGAGACATGGGTCAGACTAGAGGTGCTGGTACAGGAGACATGACATAGGTCAGACTAGAGGTGATGTGTACAGGAGACATAGGTCAGACTAGAGGTGATGTGTACAGGAGACATGGGTCAGACTAGAGGTGATGTTTACTGGAGACATGGGTCAGACTGAAGGTGATGTGTACAGGAGACATGTGTCAGACTAGAGGTGCTGGTACAGGACACATGGGTCAGACTAGAGGTGATGTGTACAGGAGACATGGGTCAGACTAGAGGTGATGTGTACAGGAGACATGGGTTAGACTAGAGATAATGTGTACAGGAGACATGGGTCAGACTAGAGGTGATGTGTACAGGAGACATGGGTCAGACTAGAGGTGATGTGTACAGGAGACATGGGTCAGACTAGAGGTGATGTGTACAGGAGACATGGGTTAGACTAGAGATAATGTGTACAGGAGACATGGGTCAGACTAGAGGTGATGTTTACTGGAGACATGGGTCAGACTAGAGGTGATGTGTACAGGAGACATGGGTCAGACTAGAGGTGATGTGTACAGGAGACATGGGTTAGACTAGAGGTGATGTTTACTGGAGACATGGGTCAGACTAGAGGTGCTGGTACAGGAGACATGAGTCAGACTAGAGGTGATGTGTACAGGAGACATGGGTTAGACTAGAGGTGATGTGTACAGGAGACATGGGTCAGACTAGAGGTGATGTGTACAGGAGACATGGGTCAGACTAGAGGTGCTGGTACAGGAGACATGAGTCAGACTAGAGGTGATGTGTACAGGAGACATGGGTCAGACTAGAGGTGATGTGTACAGGAGACATGGGTCAGACTAGAGGTGATGTGTACAGGAGACATGGGTCAGACTGAAGGTGATGTGTACAGGAGACATGGGTCAGACTAGAGGTGATGTGTACAGGAGACATGGGTCAGACTAGAGGTGCTGGTACAGGAGACATGAGTCAGACTAGAGGTGATGTGTACAGGAGACATGGGTCAGACTAGAGGTGATGTGTACAGGAGACATGGGTCAGACTGAAGGTGATGTGTACAGGAGACATGGGTCAGACTAGAGGTGATGTGTACAGGAGACATGGGTCAGACTAGAGGTGATGTGTACAGGAGACATGGGTCAGACTAGAGGTGATGTGTACAGGAGACATGGGTCAGACTAGAGGTGATGTGTACAGGAGACATGCGTCAGACTGAAGGTGATGTGTACAGGAGACATGGGTCAGACTAGAGGTGATGTGTACAGGAGACATGGGTCAGACTAGAGGTGCTGGTACAGGAGACATGGGTCAGACTAGAGGTGATGTGTACAGGAGACATGGGTCAGACTAGAGGTGATGTGTACAGGAGACATGGGTCAGACTAGAGGTGATGTGTACAGGAGACATGGGTCAGACTGAAGGTGATGTGTACAGGAGTCATGGGTCAGACTAGAGGTGATGTGTACAGGAGACATGGGTTAGACTAGAGGTGATGTGTACAGGAGACATGGGTCAGACTAGAGGTGATGTGTACAGGAGTCATGGGTCAGACTAGAGGTGATGTGTACAGGAGACATGGGTCAGACTAGAGGTGATGTGTACAGGACACATGGGTCAGACTAGAGGTGATGTGTACAGGAGACATGGGTCAGACTGAAGGTGATGTGTACAGGAGTCATGGGTCAGACTAGAGGTGATGTGTACAGGAGACATGGGTTAGACTAGAGGTGATGTGTACAGGAGACATGGGTCAGACTAGAGGTGATGTGTACAGGAGTCATGGGTCAGACTAGAGGTGATGTGTACAGGAGACATGGGTCAGACTAGAGGTGATGTGTACAGGACACATGGGTCAGACTAGAGGTGATGTGTACAGGAGACATGGGTCAGACTAGAGGTGATGTGTACAGGAGACATGGGTCAGACTAGAGGTGATGTGTACAGGAGACATGGGTTAGACTAGAGATAATGTGTACAGGACACATGGGTCAGACTAGAGGTGATGTGTACAGGAGACATGGGTCAGACTAGAGGTGATGTGTACAGGAGACATGGGTCAGACTGGAGGTGATGTGTACAGGACACTCTCAACATGGGTCAGTTTGTTTTTTACTTATCGTCGCACTCAGCAATATTCCAGCTATATGATGGTGGCCAAAATCTTTCTTGGATCAATGAGGGAGGGTCCTGGCAACCAACTGAATTATGGATGTGAAGACAGCTGGTGATGGAGAATGGGGGAGGGTCCTGGCAACCTACTGAATTACGGATGTGAAGACAGGTGGTGATGGAGAATGAGGGAGGGTCCTGGCAACCTACTGAATTATGGATGTGAAGACAGCTGGGGATGGAGAATGAAGGAGGGTCCTGGCAACCTACTGAATTACGGATGTGAAGACAGCTGGTGATGGAGAATGAGGGAGGGTCCTGGCAACCTACTGAATTACGGATGTGAAGACAGCTGGTGATGGAGAATGAGGGAGGGTCCTGGCAACCTACTGAATTACGGATGTGAAGACAGCTGGTGATGGAGAATGAGGGAGGGTCCTGGCAACCTACTGAATTACGGATGTGAAGACAGGTTGGGATGGAGAATGAAGGAGGGTCCTGGCAACCTACTGAATTACGGATGTGAAGACAGCTGGTGATGGAGAATGGGGGAGGGTCCTGGCAACCCACTGAATTACGGATGTGAAGACAGCTGGTGATGGAGAATGAGGGAGGGTCCTGGCAACCTACTGAATTATGGATGTGAAGACAGGTGGTGATGGAGAATGGGGGAGGGTCCTGGCAACCTACTGAATTACGGATGTGAAGACAGGTGGTGATGAAGAATGAGGGAGGGTCCTGGCAACCCACTGAATTACGGATGTGAAGATGGAGAATCGGGGACTCACCTGAAGATCTGGTTGCGCGGTGATCCACTTCCCAGCAAATCCCAGACAGGAAATGATGTCATACTTGTGAGGAACTGGAAATTTGTAATTTTCACCAACTAAAGCTTTGTCTTCCTCTGTAGTAAACATGCACACTGGAATGAAGGGTACAATTGCTTCAAACAAATGCAAGGTCATTTTGAATATTCTCATGAACTTATGTTGTTTTTTTTATACTAAATATTTTCAAGTCATTTGGTGGCTGTCCCAAAGGCTAGTCATAAATCCTTTTTTCGTGACTGATACACATTCCTCCACTCCTTCCACTGCATGGACTCTCCATGACGTCAAGGATACAGTCCTCTCCTCAACCCCCATCTCCACCATCTTCTGGAGGCAAGGGAGTTAACTGACCATAATAGTCCAGTTTCCACCCTTACTAGGCTGGAATTCCAGAGTTACATTTTGGCTGGACTAAGTCAATGAATAGTCCAAGCAAAATTAGGTAACAAACTACCAGACAACATGGATTTCAACGTGCAGGTTTTGGACTGCAGGATTTGCAAAGCATGTGCACTGTCAACTGGGCATCGACAGATACTTTCCAAATCTTTTCATGTTTTTAATCAAGGTGTTCTAGTGATTTGATGCACTTCGTGGGGTAGACCCATTTTGTTACAAAATAGATCTTGATTATCGATCAGATTGTCTTGGACTCACCCCCGTCGTCCACGATACAGTCCACACCTACTCCTCCTGTCTCCTCCTTGACACTGCTCACCAGGATGTTGTTTCGTTTGTTGAGCTCAATCACCTGGGCTGAAGAGACACATCTATCTATACCTATAGTGACAGGTTACATGGTCAAGGAATAAATGTAAGTCTTGAAAAATCACTCAACTGCAAGTGAGAAAGGTTTATGATTTCATCTTTTGTCTGCTACTGTTACTTGTGATTTGACTACTGCATCACAATGACATAATACCTAGATGTTCATATCTCAAAAGCTCACAGGCAGATTCAATGTTAAGTTTTTGCAATTTGACTTACGTTCACAGATTTACATTTGTAGATGCCGACAGAGACAGGTGCAGACACTCACCTACAGACAGACAGACAGACAGACAGATGCAGACACTCACATACAGACAGACAGGCAGACAGACACACAATTGCAATTTGACATACGTTCACAGATTTACATTTGTAGACGCCGACAGACAGACAGGTGCAGACACTCACCTACAGACACTCACCTTTAGACAGACATATGCAGACACTCACCTACAGAGACAGACAGATGCAGACACTCACATACAGACAGACACACACACACCTACAGACAGACAGACAGACAGACACTCACCTATTGGGGGTTGGATTCCCTCCAGGTGCTGTCTCTCTGCCTGAGTATTGTATGTAGCAAGCACCTGTTGACATACAGAATGCAAGATTAGCACCTATGTGGGTCAGCATACAGCATGTATTGATAATTTACATGTCAACTGCTTTAGTCCTTCCGATCCTCAGCAGACTTCATGACCTCGTCCCAACTTATTAGTATCAATTAGCCTTGGTGAGTGAGGTGTGAGTTCGGTTTTATGCCGTTTTTAGCAATATTCCAGCAATATCACGGCGGGGGACACCAGAAATGGGCTTCACACATTGTACCCATGTCGGGAATCGAACCCGGGTCTTCGGCGTGACGAGCGAACGCTTTAACCACTAGGCTACCCGACCGCCCCTATGAAGAGGAAGAGGCTAAAAGGCTTAGTATTAGATTATTGTACTGAACACTGTGTTAAGATTACTGTATCCAGTAACTACTTTAACCCCCTTTCCATCACAATACCATTTTTCATAACATGATAAACCTCCCTCGTTTTTTAAAACAACTATTTTTGTTTGATAGATTCACTGACATTTCCCATTTACAACAGTAATCATGCAAGATATTCAGCTTCATTTGTAAGTTGTTGACAGTATTGCCAAACCCAAAAAGGTCATCCGCAAATAGAAGTAGAAAAATATGAATAATTTCCAGATGTAACTGAACACCAAAACAACAAATTTGTTCCATTTCAGTAACCAGTAACTAAGCTATAAGGCTTAGTATTAGACTATTGTACTGAAAACAATGTCAAAATATCTCTGAAAATAAGAAAAAAAACCTTTAAAAACATTCCAGTTATGAATAATTAAACAATTTGTAAGTGAAGGAACTTAGTTTGGAATCCTAGATAAATCTTTGAAGTACAAGCTGTGATTACAGTCTAGTGTGTTGTGAATCACAGACATGGCATAGTGGAGTGAGTGAGTGAGTTGGGTTTAACGCTGCTTTTAACAGTATTCCAGTTATATCACGGCGTGTCAGCTTAATGTGGGAGGAAAGCCCGAAGTGATGCAGGTCCCAGACGTTTACCACTTCGGTGAAACCCACAAGCACGGGTATGGTGCTGACAAACCTAGAAACATAATTGGGGAGAACCGGGATTCGAACCCACAATCATAGGTTTCCGGCGTGCCCAAGGGACTCAACTCTGCACAGAGAATCGCGGCGCCTTAGACGACTGGGCCACACCTGCCCCCTAGCATAGTTGAAGAAATTCAGGCAGACATTCTTCTTTCCCGAATCTGATGTTCTGTGAAACCAAACTGGCTAGGAGTGAGTGAATCAGTCTGGATTTATACAGCTATTAGCATTATTTCTGTATGGTGGGGGAACACTAGAAATGTGCTCCACACATTCCCCTTGTGGGGAATCAAACCCAGGCCTGTTGTGTGACTCAGAAATGATTTAGCCACTGTGCTACCCACCACACTTACCGTATTCGACGTAATAAGCGCCCAGGGCGCTCTCAAAATTAGAAAGAGGGGGCTCTTATTAGAATATAATTTTGGTGAAAGAGTTGAAAGATCGTAAATTTGTGGTTTATGCTGACAGCCTGAAATGATACAGAAGAAAAGTCTGTATGTATAAGACACGCCAGATATATTTTTCCAGAATTTAATTTCCCGTAATTAAGGGTGCATATAACACACGAAGGGTGCTAATTGGGATTGTTTACTAGCCAATATATTAGCAAATATCGCCGTGGGCGCTTATTAGAGCGGGGCGCTTATTACGTCGAATACGGTAATTAGCTAGGATGGCTTGCATATCATTTGCCCCTTCTTAAAAAATGGTTTCATTTCTTTGTATCATCAAGTTTGTTTAGTTTATACTAAATACACATCTATTATGCACTCTCACCTTTGCCCCCCAGCGTTGTCCAAGCTGCACCAACACGTTGCCAGCAGCAGTGGCGCCCCCTATGACAAGTAGCGTGTCTCCTGCGCACACCTTGGCGTTGTAGTGCAGTGCAGTGTATGCACTAACGCAGTCACCAATAGCAGCAGCTGCATCTTCAAAGGCGAGTTGAGATGGCTTCTTCACCACGTCGTATTCGCTGATGCAACAAAACTCCCCACATCCTGAGTAGCGGCTGTCCAATGGCATAATACCTTAGCAGTGACAAACAGCGATTCTTCAGTCCCTTGACATATATATGCCCAATTACATACTCCCTCAAACACAACAAATTAAACTTAGGTCTCATGTTTTATCTCACATGGATGAAACGACTAAAAATGTGGATCAAAATAAGGTTCTAACATAAAATAAAGAGTTGAGTGTGTTAACTGATTGGAGTATTAAAAAAAACTTAAAGGCTCATGGGAGTGACAAGTAGCCCTCTGACTTGTCATTCAGCATTCATAAAAATATATTTCTTTCATTTTTTTAAATATTTTCACTGTTCAACAAAACTTCTAAGGGATCACTGAAAAAAGCACAAGTATATTTCTTCCACCAAAACCTGTGGTTGAACCAAATATCCATAAACACCCTCAACCATCTTTGTGACCCCTCCCCCATCTGTGTTACTCCCTCCCCATCTGTGTGACCCCTCCCCATCTGTGTTACCCCCTCCCCATCTGTGTTACTCCCTCCCCATCTGTGTTACCGCCTCCCCCATCTGTGAGACCCCCTCATCTGTGTGATACCCTCCCCATCTGTGTGACCCCCACCCCATCTGTGGGACCCCCCATCAGTGTGACCCCCTTCCCATCTGTGTGACCCTTCTTCCCATCTGTGTGACCCCTTCCCCATCTGTGTGACCCCCTCCCCATCTGTGTGACCCCTACCCATTTGTGTGATGCCTTCCCCATTTGTGTGACCCGCTTCCCATCTGTGTAACCCCCTACCCCATCAATGTGACCCCCTCCCCCATCGGTGTGACCCCCTCCCCCATCGGTGTGACCCCCTCCCCATCTATGTGACCCCTTCCCCATCTGTGTGATGCCCTCCCCATCTGTGTGACTCCCTCATCTGTGTGATGCCCTCCCCATCTGTGTGACCCCCACTACATCTGTGTGACCCCCCCATCTGTGTGACCCCTCCCCATCTGTGTGACCCCCTCCCCATCTGTGTGACCCCTCCCCATTTGTGTGATGCCCTCCCCATCTGTGTGACCCCTCCCCATTTGTGTGATGCCCTCCCCATCTGTGTGACCCGCTTCCCATCTGTGTGACCCCTCCCCATCTGTGTGACCCCTCCCCATTTGTGTGATGCCCTCCCCATCTGTGTGACCTGCTTCCCATATGTGTGACCCCCTGCCCCATCTTTGTCACGCCCTCCCCATCTGTGTTCCCCCCCCCATCTGTGTGACCCCCTCAGTATCTGTGTGACCCCCCTCCCCATTTGTGTGACCCCTACCCATCTGTGTGATGCCCTCCCCATCTGTGTGACCCACTTCCCCCTCTGTGTAACAGAAATTATAATTTCAAATTCCATGGCTCAATCGTAGTGCCACCAGTAGTGTCCCTCCATCACTTGCATTTGCTTCAAACAAAATCTGTTTGATAATCAAGATCTTTATTCTATAATACAACATGTCCTACCTTGCAATGTGTATCAATTGATCACTTGGATCAAAAACTAGGAAAGATTTGGAAAATATCCATCAATGCCCAGTTGCCGAACATATGCTCTGCAAATCCTGCAATCGACCAAAGCCTGCAAGGCAGTCACCACATTGTTTATGAACTGGATTTTCATTTCGTTACACGATTGACCCCCTCCCAACTGTGTGACCCCATATCTCATCTGTTTGACCCTACCTTGTCTTGTGACCCACTCCTGTCTGTGTAATGACCCCTGCTATATCCTGGCCTGGTCTACACGGTTTTGTGTTGAGTACTCACCAACAACGGCATCACCTGCCTTGTAGCTTGTGACCCCCTCCCCAGTCTGTGTAATGACCCCTGCTATATCCTGGTCTACACGGTTTTGTGTCGAGTACTCACCAACAACGGCATCACCTGCCTTGTAGCTTGTGACCCCCTCCCCCGTCTGTGTAATGACCCCTGCTATATCCTGGCCTACACGGTTTTGTGTTGAGTACTCACTAACAACGGCATCACCTGCCTTGTAGCTTGTGACCCCCTCCCCAGTCTGTGTAATGACCCCTGCTATATCCTGGCCTACACAGTTTTGTGTTGAGTACTCACCAACAACGGCATCACCTGCCTTGTAGCTTGTGACCCCCTCCCCAGTCTGTGTAATGACCCCTGCTATATCCTGGCCTACACGGTTTTGTGTTGAGTACTCACCAACAACGGCATCACCTGCCTTGTAGCTTATGACCCCCTCCCCCGTCTGTGTAATGACCCCTGCTATATCCTGGCCTACTGGATATGACTCCCGTATCTCCTTCTTGAAAATCTCAGTCAAGTTCTACAGAAATGTAAAAATATCAACATGTAAGCATGGCCTGTGGTACAATGAAGAAAGATAGAATGAGTGAGAGAGGACACAGCAATGATCTCAACGTCATTCCCACCATGACATGCATGCTTAATGTGGGAGGAATGGTGTTTAATATATCTTTATGTTTCAAATCTTTTTTATTCATTCATCCTCTTTATCTAAAAATATTCATAATGAAAAAAGGTCTTAAATAGACATACTACATGAGCCTACACAATGTTTTGCCGTATTTTCATTTTCTGAATATTCATACTAATTCTGAGAGACATACTATCACTGTCAATTAAACAGCTGATTATCACACACTATGACAAGTGAGCAACACATGATTGACAGGTTACATCACCATGACGACAACCCCAGCCCTACCTTGTGATTTATGAGTGACAAGCCACAGGCTTTCACCTGAACCAACAGCTCGTTCTTGCCCGGACTAGGACGAGGCTCCTGGACATAACAAATATGTTAAAACATATATATTCTGGAAAATATTACCTTTAACCTAACACATTTAAATGAGAAAACATAAAAATCATTATGGATACACAGCTACTTAAAAAATACATTCGTCAAGATACAATTTAATATGACACCATATCTAAATAATAAATAATTTGCTGCTGTCCTTTGAAAATTATTTTCAGAAATAATCATACTCACATTGTCTTCAAGAAATAACTTGGGCACATTACCATCCTGGGAAGATGCTCTCTTGATGCACCTCATGGTTTCCTACTGGTCAGATAAATGTAAATTAGGATACAATAATGTCAATGATCAATTATAACTTAAGCTTTATTGGCTCAGATAGCAAATGAGACAAGCCATTTAGCAAATGAGAAAAGCATCTGCATTCAGACTGCACTAAATTGATATATTGTTTGAGATGTAACTTTGGTGTTCCAGTAGGATCTATATCAGAACTGAAATCTACCATCAGCACTCTGACCACTTCTACTATCTTGAACTGCTATTCACTTGACAACTTTGAGCTTCCCCAGCACTTCTAGGTTTCAATGTACATAAGAGGTTATATATCATAGCTACCCTAGGGTGTGTATTACGTTCTGGGGACCTTCATAGCTACCCTAGGGTGTGTATTACATTCTGGGGACCTTCATAGCTACCCTAGGGTGTGTATTAAGTTCTGGAGACCTTCATAGCTACCCTTGGGTGTGTATTACTTTCTGGGGACCTTCATAGCTACCCTTGGGTGTGTATTACGTTCTGGGGACCTTCATAGCTACCCTTGGGTGTGTATTACGTTCTGGGGACCTTTATAGCTACCCTTGGGTGTGTATTACGTTCTCGGGACCTTCATAGCTACCCTTGGGTGTGTATTACGTTCTGGGGACCTTCATAACTACCCTTGGATGTGTAATGAGGACTGGAGACATTCATAATTACCCTTGGGTGTGTATTACGTTCTGGGGACCTTCATAGCTACCCTTGGGTGTGTATTACGTTCTCGGGACCTTCATAGCTACCCTTGGGTGTGTATTACGTTCTGGGGACCTTCATAACTACCCTTGGATGTGTAATGAGGTCTGGAGACCTTCATAACTACCCTTGGATGTGAATTACGTTCTGGGGACCTTCATAGCTACCCTTGGGTGTGTATTACGTTCTCGGGACCTTCATAGCTACCCTTGGGTGTGTATTACGTTCTCGGGACCTTCATAACTACCCTTGGATGTGTAATGAGGTCTGGAGACATTCCTAATTACCCTTGGGTGTGAATTACGTTCTGGGGACATTCATAGCTACCCTAGGGTGTGTATTAAGTTCTGGAGACATTCATAGCTACCCTTGGGTGTGTAATGAGGTCTGGTGAACAAATCTTTAATCATTGAGCCATGTTAATAATAAATGTTTTTAGGGTGTTACCAATTCAATAATCCCTTTTTGTTAATAAAAAAACCCCATGGTGTTAGAAAGTGGCATAACACAGCATATGATTACCACATATGCCCGTCCAATTTTATTGTAATACCTTAATCCAGAGACCATATTATATGGTCTTTGCTTAATCTGGGTAATTATTTAGCATAATTCAACATAAATAATTATAAAACAGGTTTTGCATGAAAACCAAGGAGTTGAAATGTTAACGTATCCAGTATGTCTCAAAAGTAATTCATAAATTAAATTTATATAATGGCCACACTGCCATTGACGAATTTTCTTTCTCTTTATTTAAGCTACACCAGCATGTACTGGTTTCAGCATGATCAAGACTTGGTCTTCAGTCGTGATCTTGCACTTCTCCCGCAACAAATATCAATGAAAGTTTTGATTACAATAAAAAAATGGATTGTTACAAACTTTAAATTCCGACACATCCAATCAAAACAACTTGTTATTTACATGAAATCAAAGAAATGAGTGATCAAAACATGACAGTGTTGATTGTTGGTCGTTCTAGTCGGCATACACAGCTTCCGGCTTCCAGGGAACGCCCACACTACCCAGAGTGCTTTGCGCCAATTGATGCAGACGGAGGGATGTCAGCTTGAGATTTTATCTGATTATTTAAAGACAATTTGCGAAAATCTAAGGTACCCTTCGCGCATTTGGATTCCTATTTACTCACAGACACTCTTGCTGACTGCATATAAACATCTGATATTCACTGGCGTGTAAAGGAATCCGAAAACGACACTTGTGACACCGGAAATATGGCTACCGCCTCTCTCCACTGGAACTTGGCCAACATCGATCGTATGGATGCTCTAATATAATTTAACAACAGGCAGGGTAAGTCTCCTAATTAAGCAGTTTCATTATTTTATTTATTGAATGTTTGCAACACATTTCTTTGATAGTCTGTGGCAAACCAGACCAGGTCACAATCCTTGTTTACTTTTGAAGCGTAAAATGTCTCCTAATTTCGTTACCCTCCTTACTTATACCATATTACTGACAGTGACATTGACAATTTTAAAACTGTGTTACATAAGAAATGAAATACGGCTTGATAAGCTGTTTCGTAATTCCGTAGTTCCATATTATTTTTTCAATCATTTCACACGCATATGAACGCCTCGGGCATCTTTCAGTGATTTTGATGAAGGCAAATGACATGATTTCTTCTCGATTTTGGCAAGTTTTGAAGGGACAGTTTTCGTATCTTTGCTAAATTTGAAAAAAACAAACATCTTCAGGACATTTGGATGACAAGCATGCAATGTCCTTGAAAATGAACTGATATTAAACCCTGATCTTTAATATGACTCTTTAATGATGTGGTTATGATCACATTAGTATGCCCAGCAGAATTATGTCAAAAGTCGTGTCATGTCATCATGATAGGCATATCAGCATAACATGATGTGGTGACCATGTTGATCCAACTGTATGCCATCATATTAGTTGTGAAAGTTGTTGCTTTTTCCTGGATATGTTTCATTTTTGTTAACATTGATTATGATTATGATAAAGCTGCACAGTATTACTGTGATGACCAGGAAAACATTATGCAAACTTTTTAACATATTTATTGTGATATGATCTAACTGTGTGAATAAGTGTATGTTTGGGGTTTTCTAAAAAATGTAAAAAGAAAGAGTAAACATCTTCTTTGTACAGCTAATCCAAGTCTATTAATAATATTTCTGGTATCACACTACAATCTGTAACTACATATTATCTCTCTTGATCAAGCATTACGAATGGCAGTTAAGCCTCTTGACTACATGATCGAAAAATGTGAGCCATATTACACAGCGGTAGAAACTAACATTTTTTGTCCACTAGTCTTTGTAATGATAACATATTGCAAAACCCTTAAAAATGGCAAATGTGCTAGATACCTTAACTATAGTATTAGGAAGTTTGGCAAGGACTATAAGACTAGTGCCAATTTCTAACGCTGTCACATAGACAAATTTTATATTATTTAGAACATTTTAACCCTCATCATGAGGGTTTAAATGTTCCGGATGATATGAGCATTGTTAACATAACATCCACACTTTACTAAATGACTTATGTCTTCTTTCATCTGGAATATTTGCTGCATCTACTGTAACATCTACTGAGAACATGGATGTAGCCATTGAGCACCATTAGTTATGTAGCCATAGCAGAGTGCTTTGTGGATAATGTTTGAGTATTTTTATTGTTAAGTATAACATTGTATACTATAAGTAGTGTGTCATCTAGCTTTCGTTGGTTTTCTGATTCTGTGTATGAATGTTAAAATGTGAATCTATTGGCTATGACTAATGAAAATTGATTGACATTTCTTATTTGACAACAACAAACAAGTCAAAATCAGCAACATGTATTTTTAAGGAGAGCTGTTAAATTCATTAAGATTATTAGAAACAATGTGTATTGTTAGAATCAACTTTTCTTCATGACCTGGTGCCTGTTTCATATATGTCTAGAGTTATATGGGGAGTTTACAGATTAGAAAAGGGTGTTTTGCTTGACTTGAATCAGATTTGCCAGCACTGCCAATTGGCTGAGCCTAGTCTCCCTGTAATACATTCTACTTTTTTCATCCATGTTGATCATGCTACTCCTGAAACAGAAAAGGAAGGAAATAGAGACTGCTTTTGAATATCCATGATCATGAAAATATGGGGAAGAAGACAAATACTACTGAAATAGATGTAATCATGGTCATGATTATGAATAATCATCAACATCAACAAATTGCCACTAATCTGCCAGCCAGTCTGTCTGTCTGTCTAACATAATTATTGTTAATTGCATCTTCATATGACTGTACATATTTCCAAATTTGATAATTTTGAATTAAATATATTTCAATTCAAGTCATTGTGATGTTTTAGTTTTTCAAACATCATGAATATGGTGGTGGTGACTTTCTCCTCCGTGATAACAAGACCGATGAAGAGAGAGAAAAAAACTGTTACGCTTAGCTGCTTAGTACATTCTGTTATTGCATTGGACTTGTTGAATGCAATGCTAAGATCAAGATGTACCATGATGTACCTCTGAACATTTCTAGATATATTTAAAACAGGACATAAACAATATTATGCTTTTTCCCAGTTTGCCTTACACAGTTTCTAAGTTCAAAATCCTAGGTAAACATGATCTGTCACTGAGAATTAGAAATATTTGAATATTTTATTAATTTAGATTCTATTTCAAAATATTTGACAGGTTTTAACCAGTTTTTGAAATTAGGTATGATCTGAAAGTCGAGGGGTCTTGTTATGTGTTAGTGTTAATCTGTAAACAGGGGCTTCATGTAATCAAATGGTGTCATTCTACAAGTACCTCAGCATGTTCAGTAGCCAAATACCACAATGAACCCAGGAACGCCTTAATTTCTACAAATGATATTACATCCCCATACCTGTTATATAATTTTATCATACAATGGGTAGGTTTCTCGGCAGGATAAAGCCAACTGATAAAAACGATATCCGTTGGGGTCATATGCGGATAGAGATGCAAATATCAAAGGTTAAGTAGGGACTACTTTCGCTGTTTATAAACAAACATGGCATCGCCCTCGTCATTCGGCGATCAAGTCAGAATTAACCATCCCGAATCTGGATAAACTACAGGGATAAATGCTATCATTATCAAAAGAACAGTCTAATATACTGAAAATCAGTGTCTAACTGTGACGTAGCTAAGGCATTTTATAAGTTTTAGCAACTTTGGAGATATACATTTCGAACAATTTTGCGAGGGCACGAGGCCTAGCCAAGCGGGATCAGTAGCCATATCTGTGGTTGTAACCCTCTGCGGCTTGAAACCTTCTCCACAAATTAAAATAGTTGGATTTGGCCGAAATATGTTCGAATTGTTACCTTGTTTCGTTTTGTCGCTTTGTGTACATCTGACTACACTTCTTAACGTTATGACAAGACAGACCGACTGTCAACAACATCTGACCATGGCCGTGACGTCTCATAGACTAGGGTTAGAGTAGCTTCCCTTTGACAAAGGGCAGTTACTCTAGCGGACAGACCGATGGATTGCCGCGAAAGGCAATTACAAGGCAATTGTTTTGCGTATATGTTCCTTCGCCACTGTATAAGAAACAGATTTCAGTTGGAACTATATTGGCTACTGTCACTGTCCGACTGACACATCACTTACCCTATGACGTAATATATATTAATGCACGCATTCCAGGAAAACTCGCAATGTTTCGGTAATGATTGTGAGAGAGAGAAAGCAATTTTGAAGCACAGAATTAAAGAATGACATTATATGATAAAGAGGTTATCACGCTTGTGTGTTTGGGGATGGTAAATATCCTGTATTAGGAATAAACACTATGTATTTAGCTCGCCAAGGCTCGCTAAATACAATGTTTATTCCTAATGCAGGATATTTACCATCCCCAAACACACTCGCGTGATAACCTCTATATATATGGGGTATTAATATTAAATAAAAAAGTGCTTTGTTTACTTTTTAATTGTAATCATGGTAATGTAGAAGCATGATCAAGTTGACTTGATTGATCATGTTGATCACTGCTTTGAGCATGATGGCGGTTATACATGATTGATGAGAGAGGGGGCAAAACTGTGTATTTTGTCAAATTGCCTTGCCTCCTGTCATTTCACCATGCTCATATGTTTCGTTGATAGAATGATTGAGCGGCTTTGTATCACATGTATGACATCTTTTGATTATTTTTTTGTTTTCAGGGATATTAAGAGGAATATCAATCAAAATCACCATGGCAGGTGCAGGTAACTATACATCATAATCATGATTATGTTTATGTATTTCACATGTATAAATGGAGCATTAGCATGTGGAGCATGATCAAGATGGCAAATTAATGCAATTTGTATGGTGTTTAAAGATACAGTATCTGATCATGCTGATTTCTGCAAACACCATTGTCAATCAACATGCAGGGATTTATCTAGACCTGTTCAGAGGCTGATATTTGACCCCAGATCTGCAGCGAATTTTCGATTAAAATATCTAAATTGAACATTCCCAATTCCATTGTTATATTTATTATGATGACTTGGTCAGGTCTACTTTTATTTCACTAATATTGGGACCAATTAACATTGATCATGTTGATAAAGAGGAAGATTATTGCATGTAATGTTGTTAATATACAATGTTAAACATGTTCAAGGACCTGAATTTGATACAATAAGAACCCCATGTTCCCTAATTTGCCTGCCAAGGGCTTAGGTTGAAATGCTAGACAAGTCCCTGACATGATACTGATATGGATATTGCAGGTGTGAAAGTTCACTCTGTCAGTGTGTCAACTTATATATGTGTTTGTGATTGTCACTGAATAAGTTATTATAATATTAAGTCGTGTAAAATATGTAACAAGAGCTAAGCTAGACATGCTAGCAAACCCTGCATTGATTGGTTTCAAACCATGAATTTTCTATTTTCTTCCAACTGAACGAACTGAATTATTGATGGCTGTTAACTGGAATAATTGCCTGTTGGTGGTGAGCAAATGGTGAATTGGTCCTAAATGTTTAATGTTTGCTATTTGGAGGTGGCGATGTCTGGCGCATCACAGGAGAGGATCGTGCAAAACATGATGCCCAGTTCTTCCAGCTTAAGCCTGTCAATGGATTTGTGTCCGGTATGTACTGAAAGATCCCATGGTGGCTTGTAACACCATAATGAGAAATCAATTTCTGTCTAAAAATAATAGCTTGGCACCATCGCCTGATTTCTTGTTGCTTAGAGTGATTGATCTGTTCATGCTTGCATAGATTTGATACACAGATAATGGTCACAATGGATAGAATGATAGATGGAGTGAGTAGAAAAGTTTTTTGATGATTCTGAATATGATCTGATGATGAAATATAAGTTATATTATATTGTTAAGTCAAGAATAAACATTATAAGCATAGATGCTCAAGATAATATGGTGTTCAGAGAATGTGGGAGTTTCTCTATTGTATATATGTCTTTTTTGAGCATGTTGAGGTGTATTGAGCATGTTGAGTTTTGGATGAAGATTATACAAGAAAATCTACAAGTGGTAGTTATACCTGTAAGGCTAATCTGTCATACAGACCCTGAAACAAATATTTTCAATACATCCCCTGCAAGTCTATAATATTTGGCAAGTCTAGATTACTGTAGTATCTGAAAATGTCTCTTGGCTCCTTTTTATTATTTTTTATTAACCATAGTATAATTTAACAGCTGTTTTTTTCTGTAAAATATTTTAATTTCAGAGACAAGATGTTAGTTTACTGTTAGGCATATGAAATGCTCTATGTCTTGGATGGTGCTAATTGTCATACAGGGGCAACGTCTGTCAACAATGTGTTCTTTGGTTTTGGTTGGATATTCCAGGAAGTGGGCAGTGTCCAAGTATTTCCAATACTAGAGTAGACGATCTTAAACAAAGAGTTAAAGATATGTTAACTCAAGTGTGGGAAAGATGGTTAAGTATAGACTAACATTTTTTAGTCTATGAAATCTTATATTACACAATACCCTTCTCGACTCTTAAAATTAAACAAATAATTTTCCCTATGCTGATTCATGTGGAATAGAGCCAACTAGAGATGGCTAGACTTGCTTTTGTATACATTTCTAGATTGTTTGTTTTTCATAAAGTAAATATATTCCACAGTCATGGTGCAGGACTAGGTTAGGTAGTCTATGTTCTAGTAGTAGATACCAGACCTCCAGATAAGCTGCGTATCTGCGTAGAATACGCATCAGAAATGCAGAAATACGCAGTAAAATAATATCCAAGCGTATCAAATACGCAACGAACATTACAGATACGCTACAAAAATAAAGCTTGTGCCTATCATCAAAATGTTATGAAGTAACCCTGCATATTCGATTGGCAAATCAGCAACATATTTTGAAATTATAAACGGGCATTCCGTCAACCTTGCCAAACTGCACGATGATCATTTGCCATCACACTTTCTTGTGGAAGTATCGTGGTATATTTGAGTCCTATAAAGCTCTCGAACCCACACAACACCAGTTTGCAGGGACTAGATGAATAGTGTTTTTAAATATTTAACTTAAATACCCACATGTGTAAAAACAAGTGGGTAACAGAAATGTGAAGACCCAGATAGAATTACTGATACCCAGTGATTTTAAAATGCATGGGTAAAATACCCACAAAAGCTTATCTGGAGCTCTGGATACGATTTATACTTGGCACTAAAATTCAAATTAGAACCTGAATTGTATATTGTAGATTCTTAAATTTGTTTTGTACTGTCACCATGGTCACTATTTGTCAAAATTCTGTACAGGTATGTCCATGTTAACTGTGGAACAAAGAAGATATAACTGGATTGTCTCATCCAGAATGGATTATTTACAGGCTGCCATCATATAGCTGGAATACTGCAGAGTGCAGCATTAGGCAACAAACAAACCAATTGTGTCGTATACCATGTAAGTTGTATTAGAAGTTAGAGAACCATATATTTCTTCCAGGTGAACAAGCTAAAGGATTCTTCCTTCAGTCCGGGTTGGATATGCAGAAACTTGGTCAAATCTGGTGAGGATTAATCATTTTCTTTTGTCTGCTTAATAAAACTTTGCTAGTTATTTATGTCAGTAATATCTGTTCAGTGTTAGCAGTCATGTATATAATATCATCATGACAAAGGGACGGTTGGGTAGCCTAGTGGTTAAAGCATTCGCTCATCGCCCTGAAGGCCTTGGTTCGATTCCCCACATGGGTGTTATGTGTGAAGTCCATTTCTGGTGTCCCCTGCCGTGACATTGCTGGAATATTGCTAAAAGTGGCGTAAAACAATACTCACTCATCATGACAACATTGGCACTAGATATCCATGTTATTTAATTGTCAGCTTCCAAGTATATTATGGGAAGATTTGTGATGCGTTGTAGGCCAGGCCATGAGGTATCGTCGGATCATAGGTTTTTTGACGTCATACGTTTTTGGATGGCTGTGTTTATCACGATTACTCACGCTATAACGTGGAGTGTAACATCACACAGGAATTGTAAATACTCAGATGATGGCTTGTTTTTAGGAGAAAATTGTCTTTTATAAGTAAATGAGATATTTTACAGTTGTTAAAGTTATTAAAGAGAAAACTATGAATGTTTCTTAAGTGTCCGAAAACCCATAACACAGGGATATATTATTACTCACTTTAACATATTTGAGGAATTTTTCATTCAAGGTCACTAGCTGACATGAACAATGATGGGAAAATGGATAAGAAAGAGTTTTCAATTGCCATGCAACTCATCAAAAAGAAGTTGCAAGGATACGAGCTGCCGAAGACTTTGCCTGCCAGTATTAAAGCAGACCCATCTCCAGTCATGGGGTCATTTGGGATGCAGCCAATGGGAATGCAGATGGGCGGGGCTCCAGGGATGGGTGCTCCTCCACCTATGGGCATGGGAATGGGTATGCCAGGTGAGATGCCAGAACATTTCGATACTCTCTTTCACAGATGTACATGATGTAAGCTTCTAATATTCACTGACATGTGCAAGGAAACCTGTTGCTTGAACCTATTCCTTTTCTTGGCCTGTTTTCTTTGTATGTTTCTTATATCTGTAAACATGGCTTTTTTACAATCAGTAAGCTAATGCAAGTTTAGATTGCCTGTGATCATGGTAAAGAAAGTTTTAGGTGGTCAGATATGCAGAATATTCCATGTATAATGCAGTTTAATTTTCATGATAAAAATCCTTCAACTATGACCATGTTCATATTGAGACAAGAAAATTGTTTATTTCGCATATTTAGTTATCGACATAGTTATGTATTTGTATGCTCAAGTTACCCATATTTGAGAAGTGAACAAAGACAGAACTTGCTGTTTCAAGAAACATTATTATTCACAAGTAGTTATTTGTTTCACTTCAGAAGTTTCATGTTATATATTCTCTATGAGCACGCACAAGCCATATGGTTGACTGACCTCTGCAGGAATGATTCTAGGATTGGCTACAGGCAGAAAAATAAGAACAAATAGACTGAATCTGATGGTATTTTTGTGTGGGTTCCCACTGCATGTTTACGAGAAATCCACATATGACTTAAGTTTCTTCATGGGGTAGTCATGGCAATGGCCCAATCTGTTCTGATACTGGCATATGATTTGTTCCACATGGTCTATTATTTTTGTTAACTCTACATACATCTTGTACTTCTGTATGGTGTTGGGGTGGTGGGGTAGCCTATTGGTTCATGCGTTCGCTCATCACCCCAAAAGCGGGGGTAAGATATCCCACACGGGTACAATATGTGAAGCCCATTGCTCGTGTGCCCTGTCGATATATTTCTGGAATATTGCTGAAAGCGACATAAAACCATACTAACTCACGCACTCACTCACTCACTCTTCATAGTGTTAGTATAGTGTTTTACAGTCAGTGGGTCGATGTGGTCAGCTTCCAGACCTAAAGTTATCCCTGACTCTGTACTGTACTGTAAATCTGTCCACATTTCTGGTATGTTTTGTTTTTGAGTTGTTGTTGCACACTGTTTGGTTGCTGGCAGGGGCTCCCCCAATGTCAATGGGAATGATGCAGCCTGTAGCCTCACTTGGCTCGGGCACCATGACAACAGGCTCTGTAGGGATGCCCATAATGGCCAATGGGGTCCCTCCAATGGGAGGACAGCAGGGATTTGTGGGTAAGCAGTAAGAGAAGAATACACATGCTTGATATTTGTGTGTGTTTGCACTGTTGTAGATAATTCAACATTTCCATGATGTAGATGAAATGAACACATACATGTAAAATGGTGTTCTGTGAAAACATTGTGATGATTATCTGTCATCAAGTCATATGGTTTGTTTTTATATTCCTAATTTGTTTTCAGTGTGGTAAATGTTGCTCTAACTTGTGTAACTTGACCTATGTAAGCACGGTTATGCTATTAACATGATTAATGATAAATACAGCATTACTATACAGGATGTATGTTTAGCATGATCATAGTGGTTTTTTTTATATAGAACTTGTAATAAGTATATGAACATGATGAAGGCAGTAGCTACTTTTCACTCTATTGCATGGTCAGCATTTTATTCATTTTCTATTCTATTTTCTATTTCAAATCCTATCCATAGTCATGATATAAGCATGAGTATGCATGGCATAACAATAAGTATAGTGATCCTGTTTTTAATTGATTGTTTTGTTATCATTGTTATATTTATAAATAATATACATAATGACAAATTCAGATTTTGATTTGATGTCGACATAAGCAAATATAAATTGTGACCATTTGTAGTTTTCATGACCCGAAAGGATTGAAAGTAAGTTAGAAGTTGAGAATAACACTGGTGGTGATTTCAGGGATGGGGATGCCGCCTCCAGGAGGAGTGGTCGACCCTAAGGCAGGGATGAAGCCTGTTGGGTAATTACTTTTTCATACTACAGTATTAACATGATAAGGTAATTCATAAAGATTTTTTTATATCTGATCACTGCTGTTATATAAGTGAGTCTGGTGTCCCCTGCTGCTGGAATATTGCTAAAAGCGGCATAAATCCATACTCACTCACTCACTCACTATAAAAGTGAGATCTTAGAAAAATGTAATATTTGAAACTCAAGTACTGTATTTGACGTAATAAGCGCCCAGGGCGCTCTCAAAATTAGAAATAGGGGTCCCTTATAAGAAAAAAATTTTGATGAAAAAAAACCAGAGTTGAAAGATCGTGAATTTCGTGGTTTATGCTGACAGCCAGAAATGATACAAAAATAAAGTGTGTGCGTATTATACACGACAGATATATTTTTCCAGAATTTAATTGCCGGTAATTAAGGGTGCATATAACACATGAGTGCGTATTATACACGAATAATAAGTCTTGTGTAGATTGATCAATTGAAAGGGGGTGTAAATTGGGATTGTTCACTAGCCAATATATTAGCAAATATCGCCACGGTCGCTTAATAGAGCGGGGCACTTATTACGTCGAATGCAGTATGTTGTTATTGATTTTTATCCTGTGAGCCTGCTGCTGCTGTTGACATGATTATCAATGGTAGTTTGTCTTTCCTTGAGGTGTCTGTCACCTGCATCATTATGTTTTTCCAGAGCTGTAAGCTGGGCCATGCCGCATCAGAGCAAGTTGAAGTACACACAGCTCTTCTACTCCCATGACCACAACAAGAGAGGCTTTCTCACAGGTAACACTGCAGGCTTCATCTGCTTGCCTTTGAAGTAATTGAAATTATCAATCTTTTTTATTTTGTTGGGGGCACAGGTGGCCCAGTCGTCTAAGGCGCCGTGATTCGCTGTGCAGAGTTGCGTCCCTTGGGAACGCCAGAAACCTATGATTGTGGGTTCGAATCCAGGTTCACCCCGTTTCTAGGTTTGTCAGCACCATACCCGTGCTTGTGGGTTTCACCGAAGTGGTAAACGTCTGAGACCTGCATCACTTCGAGCTTTCCTCCCACATCTAGCTGACATGCCGTGATATAACTGGAATACTGTTAAAAGCGGCATTTAACCCAACTCACTCACTCACTCATTTTATTTTGTTCTTAATATTTATCATATGCATGAAATGATGTTAAACAATTGGTTATTCTGAGATGCTTTGCTGAAAGATCAAAGGTATGAACCATACTTCATACTGCCTAATCCTGGAGGTGTCCTTGTGTTGTAACTGTCATAATTCAGGGCAAAGGTATGTCTTTAACACAAAGTAGCTCAGAAGAAGGAAACATTTCCTTGTTTAATACTGTGTGAAAACTGTAAAATTAAGAACAGTTGAGTATGATAAGTGTGCCTGCTGTGTCAATCAGTAATTGTAATGAATAGGATAAAGTTAATTTTAAAAAGGTTTCTGTTGCTAATACTTTCACAGACAACGCACTTGTCCCTGCAATCAATAAGCTGTGTTAAAACTTAAAGTTGAATGCATCATGACCCATGCTTATGATTTGCTGTCAATAGAAGATGACTGAGGTTTCGCTGTAATTGTCGCTTTTTGTACAAGTTGTATCATCTTCCTGAGGCAAGGGAGTTAACTGACTTTAAAAGTCCAGTTTCAACCCTTGCTGCACAAGCTGGAATTTTGGAGTTATATTTTGGCTGGACAAAGGAGTCTATGCATAGTCCAATCACAGAAGGGACGTAACTCGCCATAACCACTGGTGGCACTACGATCGAGCCCAGAAATTCCAGCCTAGTTCGGCAAGGGTGGAAACTGAACTGTTTCAGTCAGTTAACTCCCTTGCCTCAGGAAGATGAGGTTGTATCATCAAGAGAATACTAGTATCATCAGTGTACAATAGATGCAATAGTAACAGCATAGATGACCAAACTCAGTGACAAGTGGATATTTGCCATCATTGGTAACCTTGGTAACACTTTCCCATCTGTTGCAGGTGTGGAAGCAAGGTCTGTGTTGCTGCAGTCTCATCTCCCTCAAGCCATGCTGGCTCAGATATGGTGAGGGACAAACTGAACTCAACATCACTTAAGTCACAAACAGATAACATTTCATCTCTTTCCTCTTTTATGGATAAATGCTGCATCTCTTTGAAAGTGATTTGAGGTTCTTGACAATATTGAACAGAACCCTGACATCACTATGGTGGATTAAGAAGTCATACTACTGTTTTTGATGATACCTAGTGATTCTTCAGATATGATTTCTTGTCACAGATAATTGTAACAATGGCATCCCAAAGTAAAAGTGTTTAGAAAGGCTTATTAAAACTGTTCTGGTCAAGCTTAGATATGCATTCACCTAACTGTGAAATTTGCAGAAAAAGTGTGTACCATGTTCGGAGAAAATGGGCCATTTAGTACACCACATGTAATTGATTTGCGTAATAATTTAACTTATGTGCATATATTTGCAATAGCATTTTGAGACAACCTTCTTATTATAACTTATGCATAAAGTAACATTTACCACAGGAGAATAGAAGTGTGACATGTTTTGTGAACACCGAATCTCACACAATTACAATATATCAGTTTGTCCAGCTGATAAACCAAAAGGGTAAGAAATGTTCTTCCTTTCTGTTTAAAGTTATTTTGATGAGAAGCTGTTGTTAAAAAATAATGACACGGCATTGCCACACGATATCCTGTTCCGTGTAGGACCCTGTCTGATGTTGACAATGACGGCAAGCTGACCAGTGATGAGTTCTGTATTGCCATGCATCTGTTGGACATTGTGAGATGTGGGCGTCCACTTCCCTCTAAGCTCCCTGCTGAGCTCTACCCAACTGGAGCCAAGGGGCAGCCCGGGGCTGTCCCGCCCGGGGCACCAGGTGGCGTCATGCCGGCTCCAGGTGGCATCGGGCCTGTTCCAGGTGAGTGAAGCAAGGACTGGATGTCAGTAATCATCTGTGCTTGTCACAGGCAGTGATGTGATGAAAGTTGATTAAAAGTTGCTGATAGTATGTCACCGTAGCACCTTAATTATGCTATCTATCACTGGTTGGCTTGGCCCCAACTAATTAATTACAGGCTGCCATAATACAGCCGGAATATTGCTGACTGATGCTTTAATCAAGAAACAAAACAAACAACTGATGTTGATTGATGGCAACATACATCTTGATTGTGAACATTCATTGCAAATTTTGTAAATATTCACTGCTCAAGCTTGAACATTCTATCTTTCTTACACATGCTTTTGATAAACAAGAAATTGTTGACACTTGTCAGGTGATACATGATGACATGCCTTTGTAGTTGCAGCCCCGCAGAAGGACATGTTTGGTGACTTGCTGAGCAGTTCGGGAATCAGCATACCACCCCCACAACCACTGGCACCACCCCCCCAGGCGGCCTCCAACGGAGATGCACAGCAGCAAGACGAGTTTACTTCACCTGGTGAGTCTCACAAGTAGACAGTGATGAAGCTGTAGAGGAAACATTGTCATCCTTTCTGCTATTGTTTTTCACCAAAGATAATGTGTGTCAGCTGAAATAAAAACTGTGATTGTATGCCATGTGTACACTGATGTTATTTTTATCAAATATTTGACAGAGTTTATTATTGATACATACTTCCACACTGATGTGAGAGGAAAGTCAATTCCTATTTTATACTACTAAAATATAGTTAAGGACCATGTCTTTCATGTTACTGTAGTCAGTCAGGCATGCCATGAATGGGGCGATTCCTTACTTTTTTTTCTTGGTATATATGACTTGTATTAAAATACCTGGTCTTTGTTATTCATGTAATCTCTGCTTATTATTATACTGTGTTGAAACATGTTTGGTTGACTGAGGGTCTCACAGTTCGTAAGGAAGTTTCCATGATTTTTGTTGTAGTGACATTTGAAGACAAACGTAAGATGAACTTTGACAAGGGTCAGGCGGAGCTGGAGAAGAGGCGGGCGATGTTGCAGGAACAACTGAAGAGGGAAGAAGAGGCCAGGCTGGAGAAGGAGAGACAAGAACACGAGAAGAGGGAACGTATCAGGTACAGCATCACCTGACACCTGATGGCCTTGAAGTCACAATACTGCACATACTGCAGTATTCCAAGGGGAATTTAGGTTTATTTCAAAGCTTTTGGGGGGACGGGTGGCCCAGTCGTCTAAGGCGCCGCAATTCGCTGTGCAGAGTTGCGTTCCTTGGGCACGCCAGAAACCTATGATTTGTGGGTTCGAATCCAGGTTCACCCCGATTATGTTTCTAGGTTTGTCAGCACCATACCTGTGCTCGTGGGTTTCACCAAAGTGGTAAACGTCTGAGACCTGTATCACTTCGGGCTTTCCTCCCACATTAGGCTGGCACGCCGCGATATAACTGGAGTACTGTTAAAAGCGGCGTTAAACCCAACTCACTCACTCACTCAAAGCTTATTTTAGGGCATAGGCTGTCCTTGCCAGCATCCACTGATCAAGGGTTAATGCGTCAGATTCCACTCAGTAAATGCTCATGACACTACATTATTATTACCCTGCTCTATGGATCAGTGTGCATTCGACTTTTCAATCTCAGCTTCCTGGGAAGTATACAATATTGTTCCAAGCCCCATAAAACCAAAGTCTCACTAATTCATTACTTAATTTGTTTTAGTGACATAAGTAGAAAATTCCTAATGTTGATCATGAGTGTGGCATTTTGTTGTAGACAAGAGCAGGAACGCAAGCGACAGCATGAGTTGGAACGCCAGATGGAGAAGCAGAGGCAGATGGAGAGAGAGCGAGAGGAACAGAGACAGAAGATGATGGAACAGAGAGAGGTTTGTCTCTCTAAATACACCTAGCTTTTGCAGTACAGACATGCTTGAAAGTGTTTCATAAATGTGTAAATATTGAATAAAACTGGTCTGTTTTAAGTCACTTCTACAGATATTCTGGATGAATCATGTTAATAGTTACAGAATTATTAAAATGAGAGAAGGAGTCAAATACCATGTGTCAAGTATCATGATGAATCAATACTACAGTATAGGAGAATGATAATGTCCGTAACGCAGGAGCAGCAGTAGCAGCAGCTACCAATGGTTTCATTCCTGAAAGAAACTTTATACAACAGACATAACTATTTATGATGCCATACATTTGTGATTAGATTGGAGAAGTTTGATTGAGGAAATGTCAGAACAACACTTTCACATTCAAATTACTAGTTAGTCAAATGGCTTCTCTCATGTGGACCTGAATGATCCCATTGAGACATGCCCGTCATTGTGTACGAGTGAGGTGACCGGTCTGTTGTGTTTGTGTATTAGGCTGCACGGCGTGAGTTGGAGCGGCAGCGGCAGATGGAGTGGGAGCGGCAACGGAAAGAGCAGCTGCTGGCGGAGAAGGCACGGGAGTACGAGCATCTCTCCACGCTGAAGACCCAGGGCAGCAACCTCAAGTGTGAGCTGGAGTCACTGGTAGGAACTTGTCCCTGATAACAGCTAGATCATTGTGCAGCCATAAACACTTTGTGTATTCACATTTATCATAATGTCATACTTTTTTAAGCAGAGATTTGTAATATTGTATTTCAGTAGTATAAGTAGGAAAGGGTATAAGAAGTGAAAATGGCTAATTTTTAAACTTATCCTATCTCACACTATGAAGATCTCATTCTTCTGTTGGTCCTAAGCTGAAACATGCCTAAATAAAGGTTTCCAGCTTCTAAAAACATTTTACCCGAACACACCCAGGATCACAATAGTCACCTCCCTGGGTCATACACGATTTTCACCTTGATCGACCTACACATGCTGAACACGCACCAAGTCGATGTTACTACTGTCTTTGAGAATGAGAAATGTATTGTGTGAGATAAGTATTATAAATATACAATTTGTTGTAAAAATTTACAAATTTGTAATGAGTATATACATAAATAAATAGTATTTAATGTTGTATGCTTAGAATTAGTCATCTAGGCTTGAATGGTACTAGCTCCTATTATATACTAGCTCCAGACTGTCACAATAGGTAACAGTCATTTGTTTACTCTTTCAGGATGGCAAGAAAACCGAGATTGGTCAGAAAATCACACAAGTTCGGAGTGGTGTTACAGACTTTACCTCCAGTATAGAAAATATGCGAACATCAAGAGATCAAACACTTGCAGATATTGACAGATACCAGAAGGAAGTACAGGTATGGCAAGCTAAGAATTAAAGGGTGGGGTGGGGGGCTAAAGGCTCGATGACCTGGTGTCCATTTTCAGTCTATGTCTAAACATTAGTGACAAGTGTCAAATCTGAAACCGTCTCTGTGGGTAGTCATCAAATACTAGATTGATATTGACAATAACATTTCATGTGTGTGGAATTACTTGAATCAAATTTGTTTGGACAGTTAGCCTGACACCCATTAATTAATCTCCTATTAATCTGTTTGCTGATATAAGAGGACATAAACAGGACTTTCAGCAGGTTGCTGGTTTCGGTTTCAGTAAAAACTCAAGCATATTCTGACTTGCACATTGGTTGAGTCACAGTGTTTCCTGTTTTTTCCATCCTACCTTCCTCCAGTATCTGAGCAGGTTTCACAACCACACCGATATTTCCTTCATGTACTGTGGTGAATCTAGTCTCCTGTGTTGACATGTATGTGATGGAGAGTCTTTTCACCGATCTTTGCAGGACCTTGGGCAAATGCTGTCCCGACTTCAGCAAGAGAGAGAACAGTTCACAATTCAAGTACAAACAATACAAAGCACGCCGATGTGTAAGTGTTGATGAAGCTGCATGTGACATTTATTCTGTAGAAGTCTCCTTTATACTGAGACAAATGCTGATGAATGAAACTAACTTCAGTATCAAGATAAACTGGTCATGATAATGGCTACAACGCTTGCTGTGGCTTTTACATGATTAAGCACAATTAAAAATAAAATTTGGTTTGTTGCCAGACTTATCAATGTTGTTTAAACGTCTATAGAGAACGTGATGAGTTAGATCTGTCTTTACATGTAAGATGCTAATGTGCACTGCTTGTTTGACAGCGGACACATACCGCACAGTGATGCACAGTGTGGAGGCGAAGAAGACCAACGTGCAGAGACTGCGCAAGGAGATGGAGCGAATAGAGAGAGACACTGAATCCAAGCTGACTGAGATAGATGCAAGCAATGTTCAATTAAAGGTACATGTTTTGTTTCAGCGAGCCGTATGGGAAAGAATGTGTCACAAATATCCAGGGGATTCCAGGGTAGCATAGGCCCCAGTACCCAATGCTTGCCTCCCATTTGGGATTCCGGGTCAAAATAGTGAGTGAGTGAGTTGGCTTTAACGCTGCTTTAAACAGTATTCCAGTTATATCATGTCATGTCAGCTTATTGTGGGAGGAAAGCCTGAAGTGATACAGGTCTCAGACGTTTAGCACTTCGATGAAACGCACAAACACAGGTATGGTGCTGACAAACCTAGAAACAGGGGCGAACAGGGATTCAAACCCACAATCACAATAAGTTTCTGGCGTGCCCAAGGGACATAACTCTGCACAGCGAATGCCCCCCCCCCCCAGTGAGGCAAAATAGCCCCAGTACCTAATGCTTGTCTCCCAGTGGTGATTCTGGGGTAAGAAAGGCCCCAGTACCCAATACTTGCCTCCCAGTAGATATTCCTTTGTAAACCACAAGTTTATCTTGTCCAGGTCTGATTATTTGCAGCTAGAAATGTTTCTGACTTCAACATGAAAACAACAACATATACCATGATATACCCTCACAGTCATCATATAATAATGTAAACACAAATCTGTTAATCATGTCTTAATCTATTGTTGCCCAGACTTCTTCGGTTGAGATAACTCGCCTGCAGCAGGAAGTTCAGTCAATCCAGCAACAACAGAAACTTCGTCAGTCTGAGGCCCAGAAAAAGCAGCGGCAGCAGGAACAAGAGGACCAGGTCCGCCAGAAAACAGAGAAGGAAAAACAGGAGAAGCTCAAGAAAGACCTTGAGACTCAGAGACTCAGGTTGGTTACCCTCTTTTTAGGGTGAGATGGATACAATGTCAATGCGTGATTTGAATATTTCTCAAAGCAGCTTTGAGAAATATTCAAATCATGCATTGACATTGTATCCAAAAGTCCCTCCCTCCTTACCTCCCTCACTCGCTCCCTCACCCACAGGCACGCACACCCCAAACCCACCCTTCCAACCACCCCAATCAATCAATCACTGTATGAGTGGGTTGCATAGTCATGTAAAAGTTTTGCCACATGGGTACAACATGTGAAATCCATTGTTATCAGTTTTTGTCAGTCCATCCTTTGCCTTGATATTGATGCTGTAATGGTAGAAAGTGCCTGTCGTATGTTGATTATGTTGTTTTTAGAGACTGAGACATTAGTGAAGGTTACATCACCTACCTTTTTTATTTTACAGAGAACAGGAATCCAATAAAACTGGTAAGTGTGGAGATGCCATTGTTTTCTTCATCTTCTTTCCTATTACTTACAGCAACAGTAATCATGGTTATTATTGCATATTGTAGTTTGTGTATAATGCTCTTGAACACCTGGTGTCTTCACTGATTTTAAGTGATCCATTCAAATAAGTTTCATTGCGATATTGCCCGTTATGGTGAATGGAAACTATTTCGGCAGATAATCGATAGTGGTTATTCTCTGGCATTAACGTTTCATATATTTTGATGAATTCATGAAAATATGTGTTATCAGTGTTCCAAAATAGAATTTAGTCAAGGTTTCCTTGTCATAATCCCAGTGTTGAATGTTACAGATTGAAGGAGTAGAATGTTACGCTATAGTATTGCGGTAGTTCATTTCTAACAGATCGTAATGGCACACGCTTACTAACCTATTATATATGTCATATGCAAAATGTTTTTTGTCCTTTGTTCAACTTTTATGACATATAAATTAGGATTGACCAATGCTGATTTTCTTTTCCGACTTCGGTAAACAAAGTACCTGTCATTAGCGACTCAAGGGCAGGCAACTCTATTTTTGTGGTGTTTTGTGGTGTGATACGTGTGGAATATGTTGTTTGCATCACTTCCTGTTTGGGATTAAATACGGCCTAAGTTGGGCCGAGGGATATCGTCCAAACAAATGGGTTCTTTTCTAACCATTTTCGAAAGGAGGTAGGGGTAATTCCGCTTAAAAAATATTCCAGAAACTATCATAAAAAAAGTTAAAAGGTATACATACAAGTAGGCCTGACACACCGCAACAAGTCCTGTATTCGATCAAAAGATGAAATATCGTGCCCAGATAAGTGAGCAGTCGACAGAGTGTGTGTATTACGACTTTTACCAATACCATGATAATACAAAACATATATCATGTATATTCAAATATGAAAATATTGCTCAAAGAGCAAACTTCAAGATCCATATAGTAGATAACTATCAGCTGTTAGATATTTGATACATTGATTGAAAAGCAGTCTTGTAATTTCTTACTGTCTCCATGAGGTAGATATTTCACCTTTTTGAATTGTGTGTTACAGCTGAAGGTTCATGGGCTGACTTTGGGAGTACTGGTGCAAAGACAGCATCTGAGTCAGCATGGGGTAATGCTTTCCCAGCAACTGATTCCAAGCCATCAGGACAGGGTGTTTGGGGCTCAGATCCATTTTCTAGTCAGAAATCAGGTAAGTTGAAGCTTTACCATACTTGCAGAAGCCCTATTGTGGCCCTACAGAGGCCCGGTTAGGGGCACAATCCCTGTCATTCATTTTGAACGAGATATGTATGAACTGCTTCATAAAATTACCGATTTTCTTTCTTGCATATTTGTGACTGTTACATTTGTTTGTGAAACTGATGAGAATATCTTTAATTTCAGGAGGAAAGAAAAGATACAGATGTTTATATGCATTTGAAGCAAGGAGTGTTGATGAACTATCACTTAATGTTGGTGATGTTGTGATAGTAAGTATTTTGTTGTGTAAGCTTTCGCAGGTGTATAATTTTGACTTAAAATTCCTAATTATCAAATGTTCAGTGCTGTGATCGAAATGTCTTGCTGTTTTCATGATGAGAGTCCGCTCAATTATTTCCTAATATTGTTACAGCGATTAATGAATGATATTAGAAAAGTAACTTTTCTTGTGCTTGTTTTCAAACATTGTTGATATAGTTTGTCCAAGTATGTTCACTGGTCGCTTGGCACCCCCAGTACCTCCTGTGTAAGACAGTTGACCCCCAGTACAACCTGTGTGAGTCAGTTCACCCCCAGTACCCCCTGTGTGAGTCAGTTCACCCCCAGTACCCCCTGTGTGGTCAGTTCACCCCCAGTACCCCCTGTGTGAGTCAGTTCACCCCCAATACCCCCTGTGTGAGTCAGTTCACCCAAGAACTCCTGTGTAAGACAGTTCACCCCCAGTACCCCCTGTGTGAGACAGTTCATCCCCAGTACCCCTGTGTGAGTCAGTTCACCCCCCGTACCCCCTGTGTGAGACAGTTCACCCCCAGTACCCCCTGTGTGAGTCAGTTCACCCCCAGTACCCCCTGTGTGAGTCAGTTCACCCCCAGTACCCCCTGTGTGAGTCAGTTCACCCAAGAACTTCTGTGTAAGACAGTTGACCCCCAGTACAACCTGTGTGTCAGTTCACCCCCAGTACCCCCTGTGTGAGTCAGTTCACCCAAGAACTTCTGTGTAAGACAGTTGACCCCCAGTACAACCTTTGTGTGACAGTTAATCCCCAGTACCCTGTGTGAGACAGTTCACCCCCTGTACCCTCTGTGTAAGACAGTTGACCCCCAGTACCCCCTGTGTGAGTCAGTTCACCCCCAGTACCCCCTGTGTAAGACAGTTGACCCCCAGTACAACCTGTGTGTGTCAGTTCATCCCCAGTACCCTCTGTGTGTGTCAGTTCACCCCCAGTACCCTCTGTGTGAGACAGTTCACCCCACAACCCCTGTGTGAGTCAGTTCACCCAAGAACTTCTGTGTGAGACAGTTGACCCCCAGTACAACCTGTGTGAGACAGTTCACCCCCAGTACCCTCTGTGTGAGTCAGTTCACCCCCAGTACAACCTGTGTGAGTCAGTTCACCCCCAGTACCCCCTGTGTGAGTCAGTTCACCCAAGAACTCCTCTATAAGACAGTTGACCCCCAGTACAACCTGTGTGTGTCAGTTAATCCCCAGTACCCCTGTGTGTGTCAGTTCACCCCCAGTACCCCCTGTGTGAGTCAGTTCACCCCCAGTACCCCCTGTGTGAGTCAGTTCACCCAAGAACTTCTGTATAAGACAGTTGACCCCCAGTACAACCTGTGTGAGACAGTTCACCCCCAGTACCCCTGTGTGAGTCAGTTCACCCCCAGTACCCCCTGTGTGAGTCAGTTCACCCAAGAACTCCTGTATAAGACAGTTGACCCCCAGTACAACCTGTGTGTGTCAGTTAATCCCCAGTACAACCTGTGTGAGTCAGTTCACCCCCAGTACCCCCTGTGTGAGTCAGTTCACCCAAGAACTCCTGTGTAAGACAGTTCACCCCCAGTACCCCCTGTGTGAGTCAGTTCAACCCCCAGTACCCCCTGTGTGAGACAATTCACCCCCCAGTACGACCTGTGTGAGTCAGTTCAACCCCAGTACCCCCTGTGAGTCGGTTCAACCCCAGTACCCCTGTGTGAGTCTGTTCACCCCCCAGTACAACCTTTGTGTGTCTGTCAGTCACCCTGTGTGGTAGAGTGACCTGAATAGCCCTTGTGATGTGGAATCAGTCAGTTCACAATCCTTGCATCCTGTTCAGATCCCAGACGACCAGGGCGCCCCGGTCGAGGGCATGGAGGAGTGGTACAAGGGGGAGAAGGAAGGACAATCGGGCTGGTTCCCCAAGGCCTATGTGGATCTATCTGATGACCAATCTAGTCTGGACAGTGCAATAGATAAAAATAATTTCAAGTAAGTTTTATGGTTCTTACCTGTCATTTTCTGGGAATAACATACTGCACTGGTGGTAAAGAAAATGATATATACCATGATATAGTACAAGGTCTTGCTACTTATTTAGCCATTACTATTACAGGCAGACAGGGAGATTTGTTCAGGAAATATCTCCTGCATTTCTTTCATTTACCCTTCAAGCACATAGTACATTACTAATGCATGCAAGGTTAGTATAGATCTTTTATGATTAGCTCCGCTGGCCCTACTGTTAGTCTATGACTGATCAGTATGGATACTGTTTGAATCAGTGTACGCAGTTAATAGCATAGACGTCAAACGGTCATGGCACCTTTGTTAATAATTAAATATTTTGGGGATCCCTAGTTTCAAATGCTATGAGAGTAAGCCTCAAGGACCCAAGGAACCCAATTAATTATGTCTCTACCGTCTTCTTCATCCTCACACTATGCAAGTTCATCAAAACCCAGACGTTTATGAACTTCATGTATGGAACATACCATGCTCAATCTCACTAGAAGGGGATATTCAGACATCAGACAGAGCAGCCAAGGCAGTCTCCCAAGCCCATCACAGATCTACGAGGAATTTTTACGATGATGAATGGAAGAGCTTTGACCAGTTTGCCACCTATAAAGGTTTTACGGCAGCTACAGCTACCTTACCACAATTAGCAGAATTTCATTTGGCACTTATGTCATTCAAGGAATCTCAAAGGTTCAGCGTTAAGAACCTATCTTGCAGCGATTAGTTTGCAGCAATTAGTTCCGTTTTAACAATGCATAATGGAATTCAAGTTCCAGAATTATTAGCCTGATTAAGGTTTGATGATCAACAGAAGTAATTCAGAGCCCCAGCCTCGGATCTGAATGTTGTGCATAATCACCTTACCAATGAAGCCTATGAACCCTTGCGACAAGCTGATATTGAACATCTAACTCAGAAGACGTTATTTCTACTAGCCACGGCAGCTAAAATGACAGTGATTAATGCAATCGATTTTCTCGTACACAATTTGACATAGGCAAGAATGCATTGGAACATCTCGGCCTGAGATTGGATTTTATCGCCAAGAATGAACTACCTGGTCAGACAGACATACAGTTTCATATTCCACCACTTTCATTGATCTTAGCATCCGAGGACACCAAGGATTTATCCATATGTCCAGTTTGAGCTTTACGCATCTACGTAAACAGATCAAGCTAGAGACTATTCATTCCTTTATCTAGGAATAATACCACAGAAATATCAAGCATAGCTATTTCCTTCTGGATGAGAGCAGTAATCCTCACAGCCTTCAGGGCGGCAGGGCTAGCCTCCTGTCAGCCTCCAACCCACATGAAGTGAGAGCCATAGCGTCTACTTTAGCGCTACATGGAAACTTCTCTTTTCCGACAATTATGGAAGGCTGTTTCTGGAGATTTGATACGGTTTTCGCTAACCATTACCTCAGATAGTTTTCTTCACAAGATGTGGTCGGAATTCACCGGTTATGACCAATAGTGGTCGCGCAGCAATTAACTATCCCTTACAGAAGATAGGCTTTATTACCAAAACACTCACCCAGTATTCACATAGACTTATTGATGTCTGGTTACTGTTCCATAACCAACAATCGAAAGTCCATGTTCTCCTATTTTTAGCTATGTAATGTTAAGATTATGTCCTTTTCTTAACTATCTTATTTGTTTAAAGAAAGTGGGGAAAAGTCACTTTCCCTTAGCAAACTTTACAAAGGTACGAAATCTAACAGGTACCCATTTGATAGAAAGAAGAATATCACGTTCCCAGAGGTTTAATGAACAGATCTAGAACTACAAACAGTTGGAACCCACCCCCAACCGTGGGATTCAAGCAATAAGTATGAGTCAAGATAAGATAAGGTGTGCATTTTTTTAGGTAAAAATATTATTTATACTTATTCTGACTCATATGCTAAGCGCCCACCCAGCCGTCCCCTCTTCCCCTGTTTCGATCGAATAAAAATAGGAAATTAGAGAGTGACGAGTAATTGTCCTGCTAACATGCTTCCGGTGCGCATGCACAGTCCAGGGGTATGTTCGGGTGAGATGTTTTCTGTTCTCCAGGAACACAGTACAGGAAGTTTCCTCTAACTTTTGGAAATGAGAAGAGATAAGCAATATGTATGAGTCAGGATACATATTAATAATATTTTTACCCTAAAATATACATTATTGTTACATTTTAAACAAATTCGTATATTTTTTCAAAACTGCTTGTACTTTATCAACAGTGCGTTCTCTGGGAAGACTGCTGAGTCAGGTCCTGTTGGAGACATAAGCCAAGAGACAGTCGACGCCCCCAACTTGCTGCCCACATCCACAGACTCCCCATTTACTGCTGTATCTCCAACACAAGGACAGGTAGGTTCATGTTTGGTGTTGGCAGGTCAGTTCATATCTAAGGGGGACAAGTGGAGTCATATCTTGGGGGGACAAGTGGATTCATGTCTAGTTGGGACAGGTGTGTTCATGTCTAGTGGGGACAGGTGTGTTCATGTCTAGTGGGGACAGGTAGGTTAATGTTTGGTGTGGGCAGGTCAGTTCATATCTAGGGTGGACAAGTGGGTTCATGTCTAGTGGAAACAGGTGTGTCCATGTCTAGTGGGGACAGGTGTGTTCATGTCTAGTGGGGACAGGTGTGTTTATGTCTAGTGGGGACAGGTGTGTTCATGTCTAGTGGGGACAGGTGTGTTCATGTCTAGTGGACAGGTGTGTTCATGTCTAGTGGGGACAGGTGTGTTTATGTCTAGTGGGGACAGGTGTGTTCATGTCTAGTGGAGACAGGTGTGTTCATGTCTAGTGGGGACAGGTGTGTTCATGTCTAGTGGGGACAGGTAGGTTAATGTTTGGTGTGGGCAGGTCAGTTCATATCTAGGGTGGACAAGTGGGTTCATGTCTAGTGGAAACAGGTGTGTCCATGTCTAGTGGGGACAGGTGTGTTCATGTCTAGTGGGGACAGGTGTGTTTATGTCTAGTGGGGACAGGTGTGTTCATGTCTAGTGGGGACAGGTGTGTTCATGTCTAGTGGAGACAGGTGTGTTCATGTCTAGTGGGGACAGGTGTGTTCATGTCTAGTGGAGACAGGCGTGTTCATGTCTAGTGGGGACAGGTGTGTTCATGTCTAGTGGGGACAGGTGTGTTTATGTCTAGTGGAGACAGGTGTGTTCATGTCTAGTGGGGACAGGTGTGTTCATGTCTAGTTGGGACAGGTGTGTTTATGTCTAGTGGGGACAGGTGTGTTCATGTCTAGTGGGGACAGGTGTGTTCATGTCAAGTGGGGACAGGTGTGTTCATGTCTAGTGGGGACAGGTGTGTTCATGTCTAGTGGGGACAGGTGTGTTCATGTCTAGTGGGGACAGGTGTGTTCATGTCTAGTGGGGACAGGTGTGTTTATGTCTAGTGGAGACAGGTGTGTTCATGTCTAGTGGGGACTGGTGTGTTCATGTCTAGTGGAGACAGGTGTGTTCATGTCTAGTGGGAACAGGTGTGTTCATGTCTAGTGGGGACAGGTGTGTTGAAACAGGTTCCTCTATTTCCAGGCCAGTCAGTTATCATGTTTAAAGCTTTGGCCTATTGTAACTGTAATTGCCATCCACACAGGGCCAGGAGGCACCAGAAGGGTTGATGGCTAAGGCGACCTACCCCTGGAAGGCGAGACAGGACAACCACCTCACATTCAACAAAGACGATGTCATCACGGTCAAGGAGCAGCAAGACATGTGGTGGCTCGGGGAGCTTAATGAGAAGGTGATGACCACAAGACATTGTAATTAGTGAACAGTAACGTTATGTTACGTCATGGCTAGCAAATAGGTTCAACTGCTACTAAAACAAGATGATACCTGTATGGTCTTTATCATTTTCAACTACTTCTGAAATATAACTCAACATTATTTGATGTTTTAAAGGCAGGGAACATAATTTTGACTGAATTGTCTTTCAGAGTGGATGGTTCCCTAAGGCATATGTGAAGCTTGTCAGTGTTGGCTCATCCAAAAATAGGTGAGTTACCACACTGACTTTAGATTTACTGTGGAAGTGGAAAGATGCTCCCACTGTTTCTTGTTTAATGCCTCTTATGACAACCATGGATGACTGGGAACTAGTTCTTGCCCAGATCTCCATTGGCATGCTGGAAGAGTTTTACACAATGCCGAAATGTGCGTCCAGTCATTTTTCCTGTTAGGACCCTTAAAATTAATTATGGAGGGTCACTTGGACCCCTAGTTTAGTAGGTCAAGGTAAAACCCTGATACCAGTGTAAGCTGTCACAATCATTATTTCTACCATATCTATAGCCTGTATTTCGTGATCTAACACTGTTGTATGCATCTTTATTCATCAAGTGTAAGCCTGTCACAACTTTGTCTACAAGAATGAATGTTATTACCAATGCTGATGGTGGTGATGATATTCTGGCATAGTTAACTATATGTGTTTAAGGGGAGGGGGGCATGGGGAAGGCAGTCTCTAAGAACCCTATGTTCGTGGGTTCGAATCTCTGTTCGCCGCAATTATGTTTCTAGGTTTGTCAGCACCATACCTGAGCTTGTGGGTTTCACCAAAGAGGTAAATTCTGAGACATGCATCACTTTGGGCTTACCTTCTACAGTAAGCTAATGTGCCATGATATAACTGGAATAGTGTTCAAAGCAACGTTAACTCCAACTCACTCATTCACTACATGTGTATAACACATGATGTTCCACACTTAATCATGTTTCTTTTGTTGTGTACTTTACAGCTCAGCAACACCAAGTCCGTTCAGCACGTTGGAGAGAAATGGAAGCTCCAGCTCTTCTCCAGCTCCTGATAAAAAAGATGGAGGTTTGTGTGAAAACAGAAACAACATACCTTGCTGCTGCAGTTTAGTGGCATCGGAAATATATTTTCATACTGATCAATACTGATTTCATTTTAACTCATTCATAGGGTCATTTGTGATCTATGTTATTAATGGAATCATATCTGACAGTTTTATTCATTATTCATATGGCAGTGTTAGAAGTTAGGAGGGGCGTTATTGTTATTGTTTTTAGATCTAAGAATAAGCTGCTTTGAATGCTTCACTAATACAGAGTTAAAAAAGTCTCCATGCTGTTTGGCCGATTAAACCTGGCATGGCCTCTAAGGGAGGGTTTGTCATACCTTGGAATTGACCGAGAGAGGTATCAAATCAGAGTCATTTTGTTGAGATTGAGGAACCCCTGACATTTTAACTTTAACATTAGCCTTGTGACAGTAACCCTTCATTCTTTATTTTCAAAAAATGGATGGAAATAATGGACTGAAATGAATAATAAAAGTGAAAGTTTGCACAAGTGATGGGTTACTCACAATCTCAAAGTCTGGACTTGAAAGAAAATGTTTAAGAAAAGTGTTCTGTGAAGGAACTACTTATTATGTAATGATGGAATATCGTGTGTTTCAGAGTACTATGTTGCCATGTACAGCTACACTTCAGAACAGGAGTCGGACCTGGTATTTAACGAAGGTGACATGATCCAGGTGATCAGCGTGGAGGGCGACTGGTGGACGGGGACTATTGGAGACAAGACGGGCGTCTTTCCCGCAAACTATGTCAAGAAGATGGACATACAGGTAGGATAACCGCTCTTACTTTGGAGCAAGAGTGTACACAAAGTCGTCACGAGAGAACAACTTGTAATAGGAAGCATTACACTACACATAAGCAGACAACCCTCACTGCGAGGCAAGGGTGTGTTGAAGAAAGAAGAACGTTTCTTGTTTACTGAACATTTGTTATGGCGACAGCCAAAAATATTTACTTTATCATGTTGAATATGATCTCTTCTTCAGAATGATTTTCAAGTGTGAGTGGATGAGTGATAAAAGATAAGAGAGATTTTATTCCCAAATAGTCCCTAATATTGTCATTGGTCTGTCAGCACCAATGCTTGATTGTTTTTGGATACCCTTGTTTGTTATTCAGACACACTGTGATATAAGTGAATTACTGTTGAAAAGTTAAAACCAGAATATTCTTCCAATAAGTTATGTTGTACATACACCCTGATACTAGAAGAAACATCCTCTCATTTTGATGTTGAGAATACTTATTATGATACTTTGATACTTGTTATTGGTGAACAAATTGGTTGGTGAAAAAGGTTAAAGTATGAATACAGCTGTTGCTCGTGTCATTGGTAAGACTTTTGTTGGCAATTGTAAATTGTATGATATTATATCAATGTGTGTTATTTTACATGTGACTTTAAGAATCAGTTTCATTATAAAGTATCAGTGAACTGCATTATGAATTGTCATTTACTGCACATTGTAACTTACACCACGTTACCGAGCTACCCTCCCACACACTATCCTGAATCCAATGTGAGAAGCACACCAGACAACTGAAGCCAGAAATGCACATCCCAGAACCGCCACGGATCAATTCCTGACAAATATCTTCAGTCTTGCCAGATTCAACCTTGCATGGAGATTTAACGACCTCCATCACGTGACTTGTCACACAGCCTCCCATCATGTGACTTGCTGTCACATGACTCCACATCATGTGACCTGCCAACATACGACCTCCTGTCATTTGTCCTTCCTCATGACCTGCAATCATGTGACCTCACGTCACGTATCCTTTACACGACCTCCCATCCCGCTACCTGCCATCACACAACTGGACGACCTTCCATCAGGTGACCGTACTTTATGCCATCTTCCATCATGCAGCCTCCCACCACAACATGTCTAATGTGCAGAACGTGTCATCCACTTCCTCCTTAGAAGCCCTCTGTATTCCACTGTGCAGAACACGTTATTCACTTCCTCCCCAGAAGCCCTCTGTATTCCACTGTGCAGAACGTGTCATCCACTTCCTCCTCAGAAGCCCTCTGTATTCCACTGTGCAAAACACGTTATTCACTTCCTCCCCAGAAGCCCTCTGTATTCCACTGTGCAGAACGTGTCATCCACTTCCTCCTCAGAAGCCCTCTGTATTCCACTGTGCAAAACACGTTATTCACTTCCTCCTCAGAAGCCCTCTGTATTCCACTGTGCAAAACACGTTATTCACTTCCTCCTCAGAAGCCCTCTGTATTCCACTGTGCAGAACACGTTGTTCACTTCCTCCTCAGAAGCCCTCTGTATTCCACTGTGCAGAACATGTTATTCACTTCCCATCAGAAGCCCACTGTATTCCACTGTGCAGAACACGTTATTCACTTCCTCCTCAGAAGCCCTCTGTATTCCACTGTGCAGAACACGTTATTCACTTCCTCCTCAGAAGCCCTCTTTATTCCACTGTGCAGAACACGTTATTCACTTCCTCCCCAGAAGCCCTCTTTCTTCCACTGTGCAGAACACGTAATTCACTTCCTCCTCAGAAGCCCTCTGTATTCCACTGTGCAGAACACGTTATTCACTTCCTCCTCAGAAGCCCTCTGTATTCCACTGTGCAGAACACGTTGTTCACTTCCTCCTCAGAAGCCCTCTTTCTTCCACTGTGCAGAACACGTTATTCACTTCCTCCTCAGAAGCCCTCTGTATTCCACTGTGCAGAACACGTAATTCACTTCCTCCTCAGAAGCCCTCTGTATTCCACTGTGCAGAACACGTTATTCACTTCCTCCTCAGAAGCCCTCTTTATTCTACTGTGCAGAACACATTATTTACTTCCTTCTCAGAAGCCCTCTGTATTCCACTGTGCAGAACACGTTATTCACTTCCTCCTCACAAGCCCTCTGTATTCCACTGTGCAGAACACGTTATTCACTTCCTCCTCAGATGCTCTCTGTATTTCCTTGTGAAAGCTGTTTCACTTGTCAACCATGGCATGCAATTTGCTGATGTCTGCACTTTTTTTCAACATCTTTTGTTTTTTTGCAATATATATCTTCCTGTATATTCCCCGCCACAACAACTTTTAACCTTAGTTTACATGTTGAGTTAGAGGAATAATGGTGGTTTTTTTTACATTTAGAATTTCATTATTAAAGTGATCCCAAGCAAGCTCTATACTATTGGCATCCTTGGGCACCTCAAAAGACCCCCAATTTAAAAACTGAAGATTCCTCCATGATAACAATTCAGTTAATTTCAATGTAACTTCCAATCAGGAAGGATGAACAATAAACACAATTGTAAGCGTGGGATATTGGTGACATTGTCCCCCTGTACCTCCTGCACTTCTCCCTCACAGATTATGTTGTTGTGTTGTGTTTCTTCTCTAGGTTGTCTGTCTTCTGTTGCATGTTTGTGTGTTGGTGTTGTACAGCCCGACTTGGACGACACACCACCACCACCTCTTCCACCAGACTACCCACCCTGTCCCACAACAGGGGGCGGGACAAGCACCACACAGTCAGACAGCCTCTTCAGTGGACTAGATCTTCAGTCCGGACACACAAGCACAACCCAGTCAGACAGCCTCTTCAGTGGGCTTGATTTCCAGTCTGGAAGCACAAGAATCGTACAGTCGGATAACTTGTTTGGTGGAATGGACTTGCAAACAGGCATCACTAGCACAAGTCCTAACATAGAAGGACAAGATCAAAGTCTTGGAACAGGCATGGATTGGGGAACAAATGCTCCTGCTGACCCTGAAGAGAAGATAGGGTTATCTGGTACATCTGATCCATTTGCAGGGCTTGACTGGGGAGGTGGATCAACATCAGACCCTACTAATGGCCTTGGTGATGGGACTGATGGGACTGATGGAACTCTTGCAGCAGCATGTAGCCAGCCTGGCCTGTCATCACTGCTGGACCCTCTGGATTCAGGAAGCAGTCTCTTACCTACAGACTCCTCCCTGAGACCGAGTGGCAGCAGCAATTCCCTGGACCTGATGGCTGAGCTGGACCCCATGTCCCCATCTCTCTCGCCAGCAGCTTCTGCTGCAATGAACATCTCTGGCCAAGCCACTCCTGATCCTTTTGGTGACATACTGAATGTGCAAGAAACACCCTCCTTTGACTTGGCAAGCATGGAAGCTGACAGCCTGCCACCCATACCAGTAGAACTCACAGACCCTGACATGTTTAAAACAGTGGCTTTCAGTGGACATGAAGAAGATCCTAATGATGTGTACGAGGATGTTATTCCTGGTCTGCAGGCTACACAGACAGACGCTAACACACGGCCAAAATCTTCAACACCTACCATTACTATCACTGACACAGAGGCAGGAAAAACAACATTGGGGAATGAATCAAATAAACCGCCTCGTCCTCCTCCGGTACTTTATACATTCATTTCCACTCACACATCCATGGCATATATCTTGTATCCTACATTATATATATCCTAGGTATCATATATATATCTTATCAAATACTATCTAGACATAATTCTTCATTTGTCTTAACCATGTTAACAAAATCTTGAGCTTTATTGTTGGGACCAGTGCCTCAGATTTATTTCTTATTGTTGTATCTAAGTTCTGATAGCTTTCTGTATTAATCAATAATCTTTCAGCATGTACATTTGTTCAATTTCTCAGCAGTTTCCTTTTCTAATAGTTTACTAAAACAAATATCTACAGTAATCATGTTACTTCTTGGGTTTTTCAGCCAGGACAGAAAATTGTCAAGAAACCAGGTAATAATCTTCTTCCACCTCATCCTCCACATCTCAACATCTCTGTAGTGAGATAAAAATACTACTCAAAAGAAGTTAAAGAACACCCAATTCTTTCATATTACTATAGTTTATCTCACATGCCAAGACAGATTAACTATAGTAATATGAAAGAATCGGATGTTCTTTAACTTCTTTTGAGTAGTATATATACTGATGAAATGTTAAATTAAGACAGACTCAATTGCTAATATTTTGTTAAGAAAATGAAACCATGGATTTATGTCAAATGAAATGGAAATATGCAAAGGTAAATGTCTTAAACTCAGTAACACATCCTAGTTATTGACAAATTGTTTTTGCAGAGATTGCAATTGTGATAGCTCCCTACATGGCAACTGGCAATGGCCAGCTGTCCCTGGAAACCGGCAATATGATCCAGGTGCGGCAGAAGAGTCCTCGTGGCTGGTGGGAAGGAGAGTTACAGGTAGGCTGACAGTTTCAGTAGTTGATAGGTCAAACCTAGTAGGGAGGTGTAGACTATAAGAGTTGTAGAGAGCTTGCCACAGTATTCTGGAGGTCAGCACAGTAGTAGGGAGGTCAGAACAGTAGTAGGGAGGTCAGCACAGTAGTAGGGAGGTCAGCACAGTAGTAGGGAGGTCACCCAGTAGTAGGGAGATCAGCACAGTGGTAGGGAGGTCAGCACAGTAGTAGGGAGGTCACCCTGTAGTAGGGAGGTCACCCAGAGGTAGGGAGGTCAGCACAGTAGTAGGGAGGTCACCCAGTAGTAGGGAGGTCACCCAGTAGTAGGGAGGTCAGCACAGTAGTAGGGAGATCAGCACAGTAGTAGGGAGGTCACCCGGTAGTAGGGAGGTCACCCAGTGGTAGGGAGGTCAGCACAGTAGTAGGGAGGTCACCCAGTAGTAGGGAGGTCACCCAGTAGTAGGGAGGTCAGCACAGTAGTAGGGAGATCAGCACAGTAGTAGGGAGGTCACCCAGTAGTAGGGAGGTCACCCAGTAGTAGGGAGGTCAGCACAGTAGTAGGGAGATCAGCACAGTAGTAGGGAGGTCAGCACAGTAGTAGGGAGGTCACCCAGTAGTAGGGAGGTCAGCACAGTAGTAGGGAGGTCACCCAGTAGTAGGGAGGTCAGCACAGTAGTGGGGAGGTCAGCACAGTGGTAGTCAGGTCACCCAGTAGTAGGGAGGTCAGCACAGTAGTCTGGAGGTCACAACAGTAGTAGGGAGGTCAGCACAGTAGTAGGAAGGTCACCCAGTAGTAGGGAGGTCACCCAGTAGTAGGGAGGTCACCACAGTAGTAGGGAGGTCACCCAGTAGTAGGGAGGTCACCACAGTAGTCTGGAGGTCACAACAGTAGTAGAGAGGTCACCACAGTAGTAGGGAGGTCACCACTGTAGTCTGGAGGTCACAACAGCAGTAGGGAGGTCACCACAGTATTAGGGGTTGCCACAGTAGTAGGGAAGTCAGCACAGTAGTAGAGATTATTGCAGTAGTGGAGAGATGCCCACAGTAGTATTAGATATTTTGGTTATACAATGGAACCAGTCTGACCATGAAATGAAGTAAGAATGTTTTCATAAATCTGTTAAAAAAGTGATCAAAGGGATTTAGTAGACCTTGAATCTGGTCACTGAAGTGTTTGTATGCATGGCCATGGGGCAGTATAAGGGTGGCACAAAGTCGTATGTTTCTGGAGTAATGTGTGTATTCTGTGTGTGAAAAAGATGTATCTTGTGTAACATGTGTATTTTGTGTGTGACAAAGACATGTATCTAGCGTTACTGACAAGGACATGCTAGCTCGCTAGTGTAACATGCATATGTGTGTGTGTGACAAAGACATGTATCTAGCGTTACTGACAAGGACATGCTAGCTCGCTAGTGTAACATGCATATGTGTGTGTGTGACAAAGACATGTATCTAGCGTTACTGACAAGGACATGCTAGCTCGCTAGTGTAACATGCATATGTGTGTGTGTGACAAAGACACGTATCTAGCGTTACTGACAAGGACATGCTACCTCGCTAGTGTAACATGCATATGTGTGTGTGTGACAAAGACATGTATCTAGCGTTACTGACAAGGACATGCTAGCTCGCTAGTGTAACATGCATATGTGTGTGTGTGACAAAGACATGTATCTAGCGTTACTGACAAGGACATGCTAGCTCGCTAGTGTAACATGCATATGTGTGTGTGTGACAAAGACATGTATCTAGCGTTACTGACAAGGACATGCTAGCTCGCTAGTGTAACATGCATATGTGTGTGTGTTACAAAGACCTGTATCTAGCGTTACTGACAAGGACATGCTAGCTTGCTAGTGTAACATGCATATGTGTGTGTGTGACAAAGACACGTTTTTAGCGTTACTGACAAGGACATGCTAGCTCGCTGGTGTAACATTCATATGTGTGTGTGGGTATTCTGTGTGAGACAAGCAGATGTCGCTCGTGTAACATGTTTTTTTTTCACAGGCTAAGGGTCAAAAGAAGAAGATAGGCTGGTTCCCAGCTAACTACGTGAAATTGTTGGGTTCCGCCAGTGCGAGGTCTACACCGGACAGGCAGCCAATGTCCGTCACTCCAACTCCTCAACTTTCAGTGGTAAGATGCACCTGACAATATTAGATAATTCAACACATGGTCTTTTCTCAGAATCATCTGTTGAACAACCAAGTCAGTGAACATATGGAATTTGTACTGGTAATAAGGATTTTATAAAACTTGTATTGACCATTCCAGCAATCTACAACAGGAGGTGGAAGTCGGTCAACGACCCCTCAGTCTACATCGAGCCAGTCATCACAGCCGTCACAGCCACCACCCACAGTCCCTCCCCCTTCAGGTGCGTGTCCATCACTATGTATCCACTGTACTTCTTAGAGAAACTATTGCAGTTTTAAGGAGGTCACGACAGTAGTGGGGAGGTCACGTCATTATTAGGGAGGTCACCAAAGAAGTAGTGAAGTGTGTCCATCACAATGTATCCCTTGTATTTCATAGAGAAACTATATCAGTTGTAAGGAGGTCACGACAGTAGTAGGGAGGTCACCAAAGAAGTAGTGAAGTGTGTCCATCACAATGTATCCCTTGTATTTCATAGAGAAACTATATCAGTTGTAAGGAGGTCACGACAGTAGTAGGGAGGTCACGATGTTACTAGGGAGGTCACCAAAGAAGTAGTGAAGTGTGTCCATCACAATGTATCCCTTGTATTTCATAGAGAAACTATATCAGTTGTAAGGAGGTCACGACAGTAGTAGGGAGGTCACGATGTTACTAGGGAGGTCACCAAAGAAGTAGTGAAGTGTGTCCATCACAATGTATCCCTTGTATTTCATAGAGAAACTATATCAGTTGTAAGGAGGTCACGACAGTAGTAGGGAGGTCACGATGTTACTAGGGAGGTCACCAAAGAAGTAGTGAAGTGTGTCCATCACAATGTATCCCTTGTATTTCATAGAGAAACTATATCAGTTGTAAGGAGGTCACGACAGTAGTAGGGAGGTCACGATGTTACTAGGGAGGTCACCAAAGAAGTAGTGAAGTGTGTCCATCACAATGTATCCCTTGTATTTCATAGAGAAACTATATCAGTTGTAAGGAGGTCACGACAGTAGTAGGGAGGTCACGATATTACTAGGGAGGTCACCACAGAAGTAGTGAAGTGTGTCCATCACAATGTATCCCTTGTATTTCATCCTATGTGGGGCTGCTTGTTGGTAAGGATAACCACTAGCCTTAGACTTAGGGGTATTCATGTTAAACTGCGGCATGGTATCTCAGTGAGCTAGCACTATAAATCGGCATCAGTCCGGACTAGTACAAGCAGCCACACACACACACACACGTACATGCACGTCACTATATAAGTGCAATAATCTTGGACGCGACATTAAACCCCATTTCACCTCACCTCACCTTTTAGATGTAGGGACTGAGATCTCTGCAGTGTTTTGCAGACAGGAAAGATGTGAATTTGGAAATGACAACCTTTCACTATCATAAAACAGTGAATTTGTGCTTTCCAAAACCTGCCTTTAAACTGCAGGAATTTACATATAGGGAGTAAGTGGTAAATAAATCTAGATTAAGGAAAGGATTTAGCTTCCCAAACAGCTTGCATCCATTATTTGCTGCTGATGTATGAAGCATATTTAACCCCTCTTTCTGTTGTGTTCATGCAGTGGCGGAGCAGGTGGTGGCTCTCTACTCGTACGCTGCTCAGAACGCTGACGAGCTTACATTCCAGAAGGAGGCTGTGATTACCGTGCTGAACAAGGACAACCCTGACTGGTGGCAGGGAGAGCTTGAGGGCAAGACGGGCGTGTTCCCTGCCAACTACGTCACCCCACACACCACAGCATCATGTGAGTAACAGCTAGCAGTATTATTTCTTTGTGTTTGAGCATGCTGATCGTGTGTCATCGCACACAGAGAGTTTGTATAGTTGCTCATTCAGTCAACCACTAGTTTGTCTGTCCCAGTCTGGATTGTTTACAGGTTGCAGTGACATAGCTGGAATATTGCTGATTGCTGTCTTGAACAATATTCACTTATTATTTGCGAGTCCTACCTGAAAGAGACGGGACCACAAACCTCAGATGTTACTAATAATGTCTTGCTACAGTCAGCTGCATATACATTGTTGAGATGCTGATAGTACACACAGGGGATGGAAAGTGCATGCAGCAGCATCTATCAAAACTGGACTCTGGCTAATCCAGACCTCTATTTGTTCTGGACCACATTATTCTGGTCTAAATTAACCTCAATGAAGCAATGCTTTAACTGCAATCTCTACATTCATGTTTGTGATGCTGATGAATAGTACACTGGAATCTCTCCATACCTGCCTTCTGTGGGACCGAAAAGACTGTCTGGTTTAAAATGAGAGGAAAGATAAGATTGAAAAAGGTTTTATTTATTGCAGTAAATTTGGCAATGTACTTGTGGCCCAGTACAGACACGGATCCGGATTGTTCAGAACCCAGTTTAGACAGATAGCACTGTATGTAGAAATTGCAGTAAAAGCATTGCATCATTTGAGGTTAATTTAGAACAGAAATCAACATCAGACACAATAACACAAAAGTCTTAGCTAGCTTTGGTCATTAGGATCTTAAACCTACAAATGAACCAGACTGTCATCCTAATGTTTTGCTGCTACTGTCCGTTATGAAAGTGACTCTATTTAATCTGCTGCCTGTTCTTGTCTACAGGATATCGTTGTTGGTGCTGCCGAGTGAGAAGAGATTGTTTGAGCCAGTACATCCCCCTGGCCAGTCACAGATGCTCCCACTACACCCCGACACACCCCCACCTGGCCCCTCCCATCCACACCTACCCACTTATCCCGTATGAAACGTGGATAATGCCCACCAACACCAGGGTGCTACCATATTTGCATACAAACCTGCAGAAAACTGCATAGTTTCTTCAAATATGGACCATTTTATCATTGAGTAGTTCTATTTTATTTTCAATTTCATTTTGAAACTAAAATCTGGTCCTATGTGAAGTAGTTTAGCTTTGGTGTTAATTAAGATATCGTACATCAGGTAGAAAATCATTTGTGGCAATATTATCTGCAATGTACTTAATTGTCAACGTTTGTCACAATGTTTTCTTACCTGTGAATAGTTTTAGAGCCTAATTCTAACAAGTGCATGGCATGTTGATCGCAGTGTTGATAAACAAATGATGTATCTATATCAACTTGAACATGTTAATCATATAAATCATTCAATTCCTCATCAAAATGACAAATGTACCTGAGCATGCCCCTTCCATGGTTTATCCCCTGCACAAAATTCATGCTTAAATTGTCTCCCCTCCTGTGTGAAACTTCACCACACAACTGCATGTTTTGATGCCCATGCTTATTCAAAGGAAACAAAGTTTAAAAACTTGCTGATTGTACACCCATTACTGTTTTTGCAACACCCTTTAAAAGATGTTTGAAATGGACACTTTGAGATTCCTATAGTGTGTAATGAATGGACAGTAGTGACAAACGTGTACATCGGCTGCTGCCATGATGTTGTTGCTCATGATGAAGCTGACTACACCACTGTGCATGCCGCCAGGGTAGTACCTATGTATCTATTAACACCAAGACTTACTCACATACTGCTCGTGGCATGATGAACCAAATATGCAAATATGGTGTCACATCACTTTCTACGCATTGTGATTGGTAATATGCAGGTGACAAGATGCGGCTCGGTCGTCGCCACCGGCAACGCAGGAGTTGGGTCTCCACACAGCTCTAGTACTGGCTCAAACAATCACTTCTTGGCAAAACTTGGTAGTCAAATTTAAACATTTTACCTTTCTTTCTACTCCTTTCCTTCCTTGTTATTTTGACCGCTTTGGGTGTGCCATGATTTTAAGAGTTCATCTCCTCTCTACTGTAGCCTCATCCTCACAAGCATATTACCAAATTCCCAGCTGTACTCAATAAGCGATCATTTGCCGAGCTGACTGTGTTTAATGAGCGATCACGTTATTGCCCTTATTGGCCACCCTACAGATGTACACAAAGGATGGGGATGCGACCATTGTACGAAATGAACATAAGGCCACTAGTCTGAGACTTGTAAAATTCAATGAGGACTAGTGACATTTCCTTGAGGACTACCATTTTTTCCATTAGGTAAATGGCAACCCTGTAGCAGATAATTTTTGCTGGCTAGTGTAAATGAATATAAAGTGGCACCAGTCCTATCATGCTCAATGGTTTTATTATCCATTTTGCTGGTGGACGTTACTGAAATTTGTAGGTATTCACAAAAACATGACAATGAGAATAGAAATAACATGAGAAATTCATTGTTTCTAAGTGACAGTGTTGAAATAATTTTTAAACCAAACAAGATGGACAGGTGACCCATAACTGTTCAAAGTTACCTGCCTGCATTCAGACATTATAAATATTGAAAAAATTGCAACAACAAAAAAAGGGAAAAAGGAGACAAATCGAATCTTGATTCAGTTGAAATAATGCAAACAATCACTTAAGAATGTTGAGGAGTTATATTAAAACTGAATATGTAAGTAGTCTTAAAATTACCTACTAGACAGTGGGGCAGGTGGAGGATAATGTTTATGCAGCCCGACAGAAAAGTTACCAGCCAGAGGCAGGGAGGCAAGCAGTTATTTTGGACACTGCAAAGTGATAACTTTAATGTGTTAGCCCCCAGAATCATCCTCATCTCGTGGTCAGCATCCCGATCCCCTCTGTGTATGTCTAGTGGGGTGGAGGTTGATAATGTTATCATATGGCAATCAAAATGTTCCAATGTATGTATGTATGTATGTATGTATATATGCTGCCTAGCTACATATCTTATATGATGGCCTGTATGTACAGGTGTAGGGTGTGTGTATTCATAATAATTAGTCTGTGAATGGCATTTTATAATGGTGCTTTTTGCTTAGCTGAGCACTGGTGATACAATGGCATCAAGATCCCAGCTTTTAGATATATAATGGTGATCATTGACTGGACATAATCACAGTTTCATATTGTCTTACTGTATTGTAGATAGTATGTGTGAGTTCAAAACTAAACCAGTTGTGAATGTGGATTTCAAATGAAACAGTTGCAAGTATCAAATAAGTGATTGATTACATGGGAGATTAAACCTAGTATAGATGTCAAACTTAATATGATCGATCTCCAATACTGTAACCATGGTAACTAGTTTGTATGTTAATCCAAACTTCCCTTTAAAACCAGAGAGATTTGTTTTCATAAAGACAACATATTTCTCGACTCAATCAATAATACCAGAAAGATAGTGTTTAGGGTTTTAGTTATGCCTCATCCTAGTTGTGTGTTTTTACTGATTTAATACTCACGGGTTCTTGTGCATATCAACATAGAATAGACACGTGGCTCAGTGGCCCTGCGTGGGTTTTGTATGACCCTCAAGAAACACTACACAATCTGTATGTAGTTCCCTACTTGATATACACTACACATTTTATGTGTATTTCCCAACTTGATATACACTTGATATTGAAATAGCCTATATCTGAATCCTGGACGTTACTGTGTAATAGTTAGTAGATATTTATATGAGGGCAGGTAACCATGGTTACCTGTGTACTATGTTAACCAGCCTGATTACTAGTATATTTAATGTGTTGTAGAAACTTTTGTACATGTTCCTGGTATTAGAAGGGTAAACAATACATTTTTCCCAGCAATTAACCCGCTGAGTGATAATACATGGGCAGGTTATCAAAAGTAAGGGATCCCCACTCGCCTTAATGGTGTTGTCTGCACGAGGTAGATTGCTTTGGGGGAGTGGGGGGTGCCTGGTTCCTTGTTCCTTCTATTTATGTATTATGGGTCCCTTGTCAGTGGCATCTGAACAAGGCGCCTTCCACGTTATGTATGCAACATGATGACAATACCGAGATAGGTTGATAGTTCGTGATGAGTAGCTAGAGATTAGTGTGGTGCTGACCGTTTCATATTCTAGGGGAGCCTGGTTATTTTGTTCTAAATATTTAATAATAATTTGTTACGGAAAATACTGTGAATACATCAATTTGTCTCGGGTTTAAAAAAAGGCAATTGTTTTGTTGGACATGGTGAATGTACTGAAAGAAATTTGATGTTTGTGGCCTCTTTTGTGGACAAATAGTGTATATCTTGAAGCAGTGACCGAAAAAATATTCTGTCTCTAAAGAAAATTAATCTCAAGGCAGGGCTTTGTCAAGACCTGCTCAGAGGCCAATATTCAGTCCCAAGTCTGCAGCAAGGCAGGGTTTATCTAGAGCTGCGCAGAGGCTGATATTCAGCCCCAAGAATAGAAATAGGGTGGAAGGCAGCTGGTGCTGTTCCCAAACTGGATGTTAGTAATAAAATGCTAGTTACAGATTGTTTCTTGTTATTTTAATTATTCACAATTTCAAGATCAAAGGTCGTTTCACACATTCAACTATGTATGCAGTATTGTTATCTTTCTAGGATTAACAGAAATAGCAGAAACAGTATATACATAACGGCTGAGAATCACCAGATAGATAAACATGGCAAACCTATAAGCCAATGAAAATAGTTGTCACCCCGTTGCCGTTGGCTTTAGACCACGCCCCCAAATAGGTTCTTTTTGGAAGCCAACATTTAAACACTTTCTACGAATATTATGAATGTTTCTCTTTCAGAAATTGACTAAATATTAGGAAAATTAAGTATTAAGGAATATTTTATTAAAAATTGACAATCTTCTTTTTCACTTTACTTTCCCTTTAATGCAGTTTTACATTATTGCATTGAATGTAAAGATAAAATACCTCATAATTTACGAAAATCATTTATTTTTAAAAATCACAATTTTGACCAAAATTATCA